TAACAATTTTCATTTCCAGTAAGGTACAGACTTTCTCTTCATACTCTGGTTTCATGTTGGTGAATGATTTGCATTTAGAACTGTTTAGGAAAGTCTGAAAACCAACATATCGAATTGTTGTGGCCTAAATTGCTCACAACGATCACACCATTTGATTTTGGAAGAATCACACGATCAGCTCTGTAGATGAAGATTGATGATTCTAGATGTCAGTTTCAGCTGAAACCAGCTGTGATTTCTCCTGCACTTGGCCCTCTGTGAACCCAAGTTCAGCAGGAGATACACAGGGGTCAAGTGCGTGCACATGGTTGATATCAACTCGAACTTGAGCTTGAATCAGGAATGGCATCATTTTCCACAAGGAGAAAATATGCTGTAAATCAAGTTTATAGTTAGAATGCAAAATTAGTTAGAAAACTTAGCAAGGATTAGAATTGATTGAGTTATGCCAACTGAACAAGTGAGAAAATAAAATAAGTTAAAGACAAGATAAAATGAAGTAAAGAATAAGGTGATAACTATTTTTTTTCAAAGCATCAATCCCCAAGTTTTCATTGCTGACCCCTAAATGTTCTTGGTTCTAACTTGCAATGAGATGACGACAATTTGAATACTGATGACCAAACATGGCATTAGGTTATACTTCAGAGCCCTGTACAATGCATTGCATTGGTTGTGATATAATTCTCCCTGTGTGCCATGTACATGTAGAAACAGCCCAGTGAGAACTATGACTATGAGAGAGAGAGAGAGACTGGTTTATTTGTACCATACAATTACACACAAAGCCTGTAAGCAGCCATATTTGGCTGAATTGAGAAGGCTTTAAACACAAAAAGTGCTTATAATACAGCTATTTGGTAAAAGTTTGTTACATTTGATAAAAACCTATTTGTTGCATATTAAGTTAACATAAAAAATTACAACTCAATATAAAAACAGTTGATTCAACGCTAACTTTAAGTTAAAATTACCGAAATAATCTACAGTTGTAATATGCAAGGCTTGTATACGTAAAGGCTGATGAAGTAGATCATTTTTCATCGTTCAATAGCAACTATGATGATGGTAACCGACGACTGTGTTTGAGATGGCCCACACATGTCCCTGCATCAGTCAGGCCCAGAACAGCTGGCCATCCCATCCTATCCCATCCCAGCACTGGCATAACATAACACCAATACAGGACAGGGTATTTTAGTCGTACCCTTCATGTTTCCACCCGCTGGAGTTTTCGGGACGAGCCGTTGTGATTTCTTCAACATGGGAAACAAGATTGTTATCCTGCGCTGAAGTGTGATCTGCTTCGTTACAGTGTTTCATAAAGTTTTGTAGCAGAGAGGGAGGCTTTTGTGGTGATCCTACAAGCTTTACTGGTAAGGACATTAGGCCTAATCCTTCTGTTTCATCTGTGCTAGTGAACTGCCAGTTGTTGGGAATAGCCTATGATAACATTACTGTACTTACAGTATTATTTGCAGACAGTTTCCTGCTTTGAAAAGGTCTGACTTTTTTCTAGATTTGAAACCTTTTGTAACATGTGCTTTAGTCATTATATAAGTCAAAACATTTGATTACAGTTGCAGAGAACAAGTGTGCAAATAAATGTAAGGCATGATTATAGAATTGCACCCCGAAATTTTTGCATTAGATCTGGTGAAAGAAAGACTTAAACTAAAGCCTTAAGGACCCCTAAGACTGTGTTCTCCTTGTTATCAGAATGAGATTTGACTTGCCTGAACAGTGATTGAAGAGTCATTAACCTCAGGCGTTGGCCCAGATTAACCTCCTGTATTTCTCTGCAGTTTGTTTATTAGCCTCAAGGTTGTTCATGGCAAAATCAGCCAATATTTCTGTTAGTTATCATCTAGGGCTATTCTGAGGCGATGGCAGTTGTATTTGTTGGTTCTCAGCAAAGTTTAAAGCTGAATTATGTAACATTTGGGTGACAGAAAAAGTGAAATTTAAGGCCATTTCTTAATGACACTACTGAATTGCGAATAAGTGTCATTCAAGAAGTGGAGGTGCCTAAATATTATACCATATGCATGAACATGTTTAAAAGTTTGAAACACTGACGGTCATGTTTGTTTACATTCTGGTATTTTGTGGTGGTGCCAAAAAGTGAGGATGTCTTGTGTGTGCTGTTTTATTGCCTACCATAACTGTTACGAGTAGAAATGTGAGAATAGCACAAATATAATTGACAAGTGGAAGTAAATGATAATCACATGAAGGTTTTTAATTAGATATTTCAATATTTGGTAGCTATGAAATATTTGTGATAGTTTTGTATTTAGTAGTTTTTTATCCTCCTACTCTTTGAACTGACACAAGTCCAATTTCGTATGTTAGAAATTGCAGTTTAGACTTGTTTTATAATGGTTTCTACATGTACCAACACAGATGAACTTTCAAGAAAACATACAAAATTGAAACATGGTGGGGGTAGCGACATATATAGAATTTAGAAAAGTAATGATCTTCCCCCATCAACCTCTGCTTGGAGAATGACATAATTCATGTCCTTTAGAAGTCCCAAAGCATCACAAACTTGTTAGTATTTGTACCAAGTTGTTAAAGTTAGTCCCCCCTGTGTTGGAAATTACAGTTTAAACTTGCTTCATGATTTTTTGGTTTCTACCAACACAGATGAACTTTCAAGAACATGCATAATTTCATGTCCTTTTTAAACCCCAAAGCATCACAAAGTTGTTAGTATTTGTACCAGGTTGTGAAAGTTATTCCCCCCTGTGTTGGAAATTACAGACAGTTTAAACTTGCTTCATAATTGTTTGGTTTCTACCAACATAGATGATCTTTCAAGAACTTGCATAATTTCTTGTCCTTTAGAAGTCCCAAAGCATCACAAACTTGTTAGTATTTGTACCAGGTTGTTAAAGTTAGTTCTCCAACACATGTGCAGGCAGTTCCCCTCTCATGAGTCTGTGATAACAAGGCCAGGGCCTAATATGGCTTCTCCCAGATCACACAAATCTTGTGCCGGACCTGAACCATTTCTACCAAACCATGTAAAGGCATTTAGCTGGTTTCTATTAGCTTGTACAGGGATTTCTCAGCATTCCTGAAACATGTTTCATCTTTTCTATGTCGTAACTAGATGCTGCTGTCCAAGATGGAAACAGTGAACAATATAACAAGATAGCCAAGAAATCAGTCAATACAAATGGTTTATTATTATATAATAATCCTCTACATGTACATGTACTTTATGTCCTTTTTATATCATACCCGGGCCGCGATAACGTTCGATAACGGGTTCTGGACCGGGCCGTACTTTACGGTACGGCCCAGTCCGGAACCCGTTATCGAACGCTTCCATGGCTTCCATAAAACGATTCGAACGCGTTTCGCCCTAACTGCGTGTGCCCCTTTTGAAAATTTGAATACAGAATCCAGACGTTGGAACTGATGTTGTTGCATTTGAGGGTTTAGGGTCACCAACTTTTGGCTCATATTGCATTGAAAGGCGCGTTTTCTTGGGTGGGTATGATATAAATAAAATACAACACGGTGTATTCTGCATCGCCCTCGGTACCGGCCCTCCCGCGAGTCGGATCGATACCTCGGGCGATATGGAATACCCCGTGTTGTATTCTATATATATGTAACTCTCAGTACGTAACAGTCAGTGCTTTATACCTGAAGTTGTACACCAAAAAATCTACCTCTTTCACTTTTTTACATGTATACATATGTACTTGCAGGTTGGTTGATAGTACAGGAAGTAACTGAATTGAAACAGCCTTGTGCTTGTATAATGCCTGTACATGGCAGCCATCCTGCCCAGCTGTGTCTACTGTAGTGGCAGTGGGACTTGACATGTTAGTGTATTGCCTGGTATAAATATAACATTGTGAAAACAGATGGGCACAGAATCAGCACTGTTAACGTTCCTCACAACAGTTTTGTAGTCATGTAGTGTACCTCCATTCTGCAGCTACATGTACCCGTACATGTAGGTGTTGTTGGGAAGACATGATGGAGTTTTGACCTGTGTCATGACTCATCTTTAACTAAGTATATGCTAAGGTAGCTGTTTTTGTACCACATTTTATATTGGTTATGGTTATCAGAAGTGAGTCCTGTTTTTATTATATGAGAGACTCTTTTACTTGGAAGTTAATAATAATTATGATAATATAAGCCCTTTATTTTGTTCTTGGCACTTCCAGCCCATATTATGGAAATATTCCACAATGTATGCACAATGGAACAGAGCCAAAGTGCTGTCATAAAATACTGGTAGTAATGTTTAGCAGATCAGTCTATAAAAAACACTTTGAAGTTTATCACAACACACAAGTGATGGTAAACGTATTTGTACTATGGGAGTAGGTCAATTGTTATATTGAAGAACTACAATGAATTTTTTATCGACCCTGAAGGCATTCTGACCAGCTGTGCAAATATCTGTCTTCATTGGCCAGTATATTGCCCAGTATAAATTGAATTGCTGAATAGGTTCAAAACATTTTTACTGTTACTGTAACAAAAAAGGATCAAGGTATAGGAGATACAATGCATAGCAAGGATGTCTACATGTGGGAATACCTTAACTTAAGTTTATAGTTAAGGCCATAGTAATTGAATTTCTTGGTTCTTAAGATTTTTTGCAGAAAATTAATGGAGCAGAAATTTTCACCTTGACACAAGCATAAAGAATCCTGTCTATATGGTCATCCACATAGTCCAGATTTTATCAGTTCAATGACTGATCGTCACGGGCAGTTTTGACTTTGTTTTTTTGTTTGTTTTACATGTATGAAAATCCCCATTACCTGGTAGTGCAAATTTCACACTGTTCTTTCTGGAGTCCATATGAGTGAATCACCAGACACTGACAGTATAGTACTTGCACCATTGCACACCTGGGAATGCCCCTACTCTTTTTTGGAAGGTGTGGTGGGTTCTTCAAAGCGTGTGGCTCTCTCAAAACATGGGCCCTCCATTTAATGTATTTTTGTTATTTGTTGCAGGCACTACCCCCAGAGCAAGCCGACGGTCGTATCAGAGACACCGGAGATTGCTCGTGTTATGCAGCAGTCGCAGCAGCAAAGTCTGGTAAGACCCACGCACGTCATCGGTGTGAATGGTACACAAACAAACAAACAAACAAATACACAAAACACAACCAGAAAACAATCCATGCACAAGGACAGTGCATGTAGGTATCCAGGTATGTATATAAATACAGAAACAAAACATACACCATGACATAACAGAGGGTGGTAAGTCCTCTATGAATGAATGGCTACAGGACACAACAATATTTCTCACAATGCATTATTTTGTTACACAAAACAGTCTGTTATGTAATTCTTTCCCCGAAATCACATAATAGAAAATACAGGTGATGCCAGCAGTGATCAACTAGTCTAGAAGAAGAGAGACAAGACCACCAGTGACCAGCAAGCCAGTCAGCCACAACCATTGCTTGAAACCTCACCGAGACCGCTCCTCAACAACTGACTTACTAACTTTCAGACAAGGTAGCAATACGACTGTGACAGACAGACACTGACAGATGAACTGACTGAATTTTTTCAAAGGTTTGTTATTTTTCAGTTGCCCTTTTTTTCTTTGACCCAAAAACTGTCACTTTTAGTATCAGTCTGTCCTTAATCCACTCTGTGTTTTCAGAAGTTTTCTATTTCCAAATTCTTTTTTCTCTTCTTTTTCTGCAATATAATCAGAAAAGTTGTCCTCAGCCTATTCATTACAGTTTCCACAAAATCATTTTAAAGCCTCAGTACCTTCTTTGTACACTCTCTTCCCCTTATTAAGTGTACAATCTAATGCATATGTTTACTTTTTTTATATTATCTTCCACTGTACTTAAGCTCTAGTCTTGCCTAATGCTACAATAAGGCTGTGTATATACATGTATGTATACAATTTTTCCTGTAAAGTCTGTATAGAATTTACCTGTACCTGTATCTTTCAAATCCTCAAGTTATATATAGTTAGGTATACCAGTAAGTCTAGTCTATCTGTGCTGTCTTAGACAAGATGATTTAGATTTCATAACTGCAGAAAAATAAAGAGAAAACTACTATGTCACTGCGACTGTTGTTCTTTGCACCAGTCCCATACTTAATAATGACATGTGAATTCTGAAATGTGTGCCACACAAATTAATATACACTCATTTTCTGTAACTTCCCTATAATTCCTAATCTGCTTGAACTTATGACTTCATAAATATAAAAGTTTGTTTCCCACATTTTAAGGGCATCATGTCCTAAGTCCTATATTCTAATTATTGTAGTAAATGTTTGTTAGAAGTTTGAAAGCATTTAAAACAAATAAGATTAAGAAATGCCATTGACATTGCATGACATTGAACAAGACATATAACAGCAAATTTATTATTTGTCGGACATTATGTTCTTTATCCACATGTATATGTTCCTCTCCCACCTTTAGCCTAAAAAGCGTATATTACATGTAGTTCTTTTTTCTGTTATATATGCCCGTCTCTTCTTGACTTTATAGCTGAACCAGCACTGTTTATGGAACAAACGATTTATATTTTGCACATTCCCCACTCACTTACACAACACGACGTAAACACACTCCAACAATTTTGCTCCTTTCTTTCCTTTCACGCTGTCTCATTTGATGGTTATATTTGGTAGCTTATGACTCTAATGGTACAAAAATATCCTGCATTGTTGTTATGGGTTTGCCTTGACTCCTCTTACATTTCTTATTAACATAATTCTTTGGCTTTCATCCTTCTTGTAGTAAACAACCTTCTTTACTTGTTTCTTTAATTTCTTTTCCATATTTCTGTACCATTACGCTTATCCTTTTTTCTGTTCTTTCTTTCTGTCTTCCCGCTGCACAAAACACAGTAATTTTCCCATCTGGAAGTTGCTCTAAAATCGTAGCCTACCAAATCTGAGCCCCAGTTCCTGTGACACGCCCGTCCGACCGGGGTAACCCCACCCCCAAAAGCGTCACCCCAGCAGAATTGCTGCATATATAGCGGCTGATTGACGGGCACACTTGTGGGAGAAAGCTGGGAGGCACGGGCTGGCTGCATCATCATCATCTGACCGGGGGATATATCGGTTACCAAGTGGCTTGCATACCCGGATTACTGTGTGGGACCGTCCCTGGTCCATCTCCTCTTCTTTCTTGAAGTCCGGATAGCACCGCAAACATGGTAAATATCCAGCCGCGTTTCTACCCATCCGTTTGTCTCCTTCTTTGCCTCATAAATGCTGTACTTGTTGCGCTTTTTTTGGTGTTTTTTTATAAGGTTTTATACTACCAGATAGACAGCCTTGTAGAGTGGATATATCAACGAGGCATGTGTTTTATTATGCTTCAAATAATGGCTAGAATCAAAAGACATGACAGTTTCTAAAGCAATGTTTTCAATCAATATATTATAGTAAAAGAACAAAAAGACATTAGAGGCCAGGAAATTTTATGCTGATATGATTTTTGGGCTTAATTTTGCTGTAGGGCATGGAACGTACTGTAAGCGCAGCCATATTTGTAGAGGAATGCCAGGGCTATTTATGTATGCTTCGTCTTTCCTTTTCCATAAAAACCTAACAGGCTTAAGAGTAACCAGATAAGATATTAGATTATGTAGAAGTTACAGTCGCTAAGGTTGTTGTATGAGGTTGTAAGACAGGGTGTTGTGAAAATGTTTTATTATGTATATAGCTGTCGGGTCACCCTGATAAGATTGACGTTAAATTAACGTCCTGATTCAAGAAATTTCATCAAAGACAGCGAGATTTGAAGTAGTGTATCTTGCTTAATTGCCATTACATTATGTACCTACATGATTTTTTCGAAAACTCTCTGGAGTTTATGAGAGTAAACGAAGTGTTCAGTTGGCAATTGTAGATAAGGCATAAATGTTTTCATATTTTTAGAAGTTCTGAAACTTGATATGCAAGTGGCATGCCTGGAATAGTATTTTGGTCTGCATTTGCCTTGCTGCAACGGATGAGAGAATGTGTAGCATAGATCTACAAAAGGACACAGGGAAATGATTAAAGGAGTGTCCCTAATCTTGTACACCCTGTAATCTTCATAAAGGGAAACTGGTACAGTGTTATATACTGTAACAGACTGTTTAGTATCTGTATTAGTTAGCCCGAATATAACCTTACACGCTGGATTATTTGTGCCATATCTGGTTGACATCATTTTCAATTGTCATACCATGATAGGTGTGGGGAGGGGGGCAGTATAGACAGAAGCATTACGTTCTTATGCGTTATAGACAGTTCCTTAGCCAGGGAACCTGATAAATTAAGATTATTTGATTTTCTCTGATAAACAGAGACTAAAAAAGATCCCGCTTTATTAAAGTCATGGAATATCAAAAGTGATGCATTACATGTATGTATGATGTAGCTTCCAAAATGAATGTTGTTAGTTAGTGATCTGTTTACTACATTTAAGAATAAATAAACAAACAAACAAACGTGTTGACTGTTGTTGGTGTTGTTTCAGGCTGACAAGCCCTGGGACACGCCGGAGACCAAGCGCGTGCGGGAAATGAACACAGTCCAGAGCGAGGTAAAAAACACAGCAACACAGGAGCACGGCTGTCGCTAGCAAACAACATCGATGTTTTGAGATGTTATCAGAATGTTATCAAAATGTCTCTGCTTCTTGTGAGAGTCCAAGACATGTTTCTTAACTCCTTGTAAATCCAAGTCCTTGTCCATCAAGACGTGTTTCTACTTCGGCTGTCATTAGAAAAGATGTCACGATTGTCTCTACTCCTTGTGAAAGTCCAAGACATGTTTCTTAACTTCTCGTAAAAGTCCACTAAGTCATTTTTCTATTTCTTGTAAAAGTCTAAGACATGTTTCTCAACGTCTTGTGAAAGTCCAAGACATGTGTTCCACCATGCATGACATGTCACCGTGTCTTAGTACATTCCAAAGTGTGTCATCATCCAATGTGTTACCCATGATGCCCCGAGGCCATATACCAGCATGCCCTTTGACAACCTTGTATTCAAAGTCATTAGTCATTACCCAGCATACCATAGGAATTGTGGTATGTTGAGTAGAACTAGAAGAATATACCAGAATTCTAGAGTTGCCTGTAAAACTATAAAACTTAAAAGTACTGTTTACAGCGTGTCTACAACTGCATAGATGGATGAACAGAAATTTTGGATATTCTAGAAAAACTGGAAAATAGTTGTGGAAAACATTGAAGCAAGGAAGTTTCATGGTCTTCCTACAACAGCATAGTTTACTGTGCAGGATCGTAGTGAAGAAAAGAAGGAAGTACTAGGATCTTTTTGTACATGATCATGTACATTTATACCTATCATGTTTCAAATGAGTTGCGTAAGCAGGATTGGTGTATTCACACAGGGGGGTATTACTACTATAACTGGAGTGGAAACCTACTCGGATTCAGATGAAGAAGTGATCATAACACATTACACCACGGAGACTCCTGGCACGGCAGGCCATTACGACGTGGAGTATGAAACAACCGAGTGGGAGCGGACACGAACAACAGAAGTATACGGGACTGCCCAGACAGAGTCATCAGAATATGAGGAATATGAGTCAGAAGAAGAGTCAGAAACATCCTGGAAAAGACAAGTTTCAGGCAAAGCTCGCACTTCGGTACAGGGTTTTACTTCTGCAAGATTTGAGCTCTGATTTTGGAGCTGGCTGATCCTGATTTGAAGGATCCTGTCATTTGCTGCTTTTTATACAGTACTAGTCTTGAGCAACCAGCTTCATGTTGTTGTTGTTTTCTTCATTTTCCATGCTTTATGACTATGACATAATTTTTTTGATTTGTCAGAATTCCATTCTGCCAAGCCCCACGGCTGAACTCCTCTTGAGAACCTCTCTTCAAAGTATCCTTGTTTTCTTTGCAACTCAATCTGCAAAAACATCCTATTCTTAAATCCTCGAATAACGGTCTGTCCGTCTGTCCCTCCGCTCTTCCTCCGTGATGTCTTTTGAACCATTCAATGATGCATGAGGTATTCTGAGGAATACCTTCTATTGTGCATCATTACCTTTTCCCCCCTTTTTTCCTTGATTCTTGCAGTATTCTGAGGAATACCCTGTTGTGCAAGATACAGTCTTGTTTCCCTCTCATTTCCATTATCAACCGCATGCTTAAATCCTTGTTTGAATAAATGCCCCCCCCCCCGCTCCTCTGTCATCCCTCAAAGTTGACCCAGGTATTCTGAGGAATGCAACATTTTCTTTTTTCGCTCACAATCTCACATCATCTGCAGAAATGTCCCATTCTTAACTGAATAAATTCCCCTCTCCCCCTTCTTTTGAACCAACGATTCTTGTGGTATTCTGAGGAATACCCTGTTGTGTGAGAGTTGACCCTTTCCCGTGATGTCAAATCCTACATTTTTCGCTTGAATAAAAGCCCCCCCCCCTCCATCGCCCCACAAGGTTGACGTCTGTTGAACCTGGTGTTCTGAGGAATACCGTGTTGTGCGAGAGTTGACCGTTCCCCGTGCTGTTTTAGGCGGAGATGGCAGCTGAGATGGAGCTAACCGGTGAGCGGGCTGAGCAGCCCTATGACACACCGGAAATCGTCCGATGTCGGGAAATGAAAGATCTCCAAAGCGAGGTAATGACACGTTGTCGATGGCTTTAATGCGATGCGAGACAAGCTCAATAACTTGCGCGATTAGCTAATGTTGCAGCAGAAGATGTTCCTACTATACTTTGATGTGTTTCTGGTTTTTAAGCAGCAGAGACCAATGGCTGGCTTGGACTGCTCTCTTTTTATCAGAAGCAAAGTGTGTGTCTGCTGCGTGGTACATTGTGATGTGTGATGTATATGAATTTTTTGGTTTGGAAGCAGCCACTGGTCTGACTCTGAAGGAAGCCAGCCTGCCCTGACTTGTTCATATAGCAGGTTGCTGCTGTGATGTCAACTTCAGTTGCATGTTGAGCAACATTATCCTCTTCATGTATGTTACCAACTTCATACCCATTTATTCATTCATTCCAACTTCAGGAAGTGATACCTCAAGATTTGGTTGCAAAACCATCCAGTATCATTCCATCCTTTCATACTTTCATCTTCATCTTTTCATACTTTCATCTTCATCTTTTCATACTATCATTTTCTCATCATACTTTCCCATGTACATTGATTCATGCATTTCACACCTTGAGCTTACATGGAAATACCAGCATTTACAGATCTTGCATTGCTGGCTGTAATGCCCTAGCTTGGGCTGCCAAACCATACAGCAAGCTATCCTCTTCCCTTGCTTTTCCAATTCCATTCCCCATCCATTTATTCATCACCAGCCTTTTTAGTCCAACCCAAGCATTTTGCTTGTCTTTGCTGTTTTTTTGAGGACACCTCTTTCTTGCACTGCTGGCCGCTATGCCCCAGGCAAGCTATATCCTCCTTATACTTCCTTAAGTCCTTTTTGCCTCTGGATCCCAACTCTTGCCCTTTGCACAAGCTTGTGCTGTTGTTATTGGGCATTGCTGGCTGACTTTGTGTCCTATGCTGCAATGCTACAGCTCAAGTTTGGGCTTTTGCTGAACCGTTTGGCCACAGGAGATGCCAGTGAGCTTACTTTGTCCTTCGCAAGGATGCAAAGCACAGCAAGGGAAATACTGACTGGCAAATACCAGTCAGTGCTTGGTACATAGCAATGTCATACTGATGACTTGCATGTACGTGTACATTGTACATGTATACTTGGTCTGCTGGTGGCTTTTGCTGGAGCTGCATGTTTATGTGTTTCTTTGGACTGTGGAATTTTTGATGTGTTAAAAACTTGGCCCCATGGTCTTGTCTACATGGGGACAATTACACGCTTTTGTTTTACAACAAAGCTTGTTTCAACAGTGTAGACCTTTCCTGCTTACTGTAGGTTTTGCTGGTCATTTACTATACAGTCATGTATATTTGACTACATTGTATCTATATGTACTGTACTACATGTACTTACAAATACAGTAGAGGCTTACACTACATGTATGACTACAATACTTGTGTTCAGATATATCTACATGTAGGCATGTTATGTAAAATCCATGCATGTTATCATGTGTAACAATCACTGTCAATTTGTCACCATATCAGATATTGTGAACTCCTATATATTTGTTCATTTTGTACCTGCCAATGGCCCCTATATGTACAGTTGTACATGTACTACCTTGACTAGCATCTACCCCATTGTGTACCATATGTGTAACCTGTGCCCACCCTTCACCCGTGTCCCCCCCCCCCCCTTTACAGAGAGTGTACAAGGAGAGAGCTAAACAACAAATGAAGGGTTACGTATCAGTTCCAGACTCACCTGAAATTGTGAGATTAAAAGAACAGCAAAATCTCAGCGAGGTACATTTTAGCTCTAGTTGGTTCTTAGGTCACACCAGTTTATTCTCTTGGTTCTCACGTTTTAATGAATAGTCATTCTAAATTATAAGCTCAAAAGTGTGAGAGAAAATGCTGTAATTTGGTACGCACAGTTTATACACACAGGAGTTTTCCTCCCAGCCTTCTGTTATTGTGATGTCCTCTTTCTGAAACTTAACATAAAAAATGATTGAGAACTAAAAAGATAAAATTGGTGTGGCCTTAAGCTTGTCTTTCTGGATGCTTGCAAAACACCACAGGTTTACCAGGTTTATGCCTGCAAAACTGAAATAAACTCAACGAGTTTCATTTTTTTTTGTTCACAAGAACAATGCATTTTATGGAAGTCAGAAAAGAATGAATGCAGGCCTGATAAATGGAAAACAGATGCATGTTAATTCTACTAATAAGATTGATGGCTCTTTCTGTTTTTTTTTAATTTGGCAAAAACAAAATTTATACAATGAGGAAAAATGTCTTTCCCACCCTTACATGTTGTTGACAATTGTTGTTACATGTTGTATTTTGTGTAGAAAAAACATTTCAGCAACAATTGTTTGGCAACTGGAAAAGTAGTTTTTGGCAAAACAATGTCTCATTTCATTCCCTTTTGTTTCCATTTTATGTTTCACCTTTTCGTATTAATGATACACAAATGTCTTCTTGTCAGAATGTTGTGACTTGAACCATAACATTGTATATCAGTGTTCGAAATACCTGTCTGCAATCTGCAGATAGATTTTCAAGATTGCAGAAGAAAAATTTATACAATCTGCAATTTTGCAGCAGGAAAAATTGACACTTGGGATTTGACACTTTTGGCCCCAAGGACAGACAACACTATTTTGCATCAACCTTGTCTTGACTTGTTTATCTTTTGTTTCCTTTTGGACTTCCAAAAATTTGTCTTCACTAATTTGCATATCAATCAATACTTCATGCTTATAAACCTGCAAGATTGTAGTATGGAGGCTTGTGTATTTGCAGAAAGTATTTCCAAATTGCAGAACAAAATTTTTACTCTTCTGCAATATTGCAGAGCACTGAAAAAAAGTATTTCGACCACTGTATATGAATTAAGAAAAATCAAGTGTTAAGGTGACATGGTAGGGTGTGTTGTTGTGCATGAGTACTAATGCATCTATTCTTATTCCTGCTGGCTTTGCCATACGTTTTTGGTCCACAACCTTCCCCCAAGTGAAACTACGGTAATGTCTTGAATGAATACTTCTATTCTACTTTCCAAGAAAATTTTTGACTGCTTGATATATGTAGGTTCTTGGGCCATCCCTTTACTTGTATTTTGTAGCTGAAGAACTATCAAAATGTTGGTAGGTGAGAAAAAGTTGATTGTGATTATAAAAAACTGTAATATCATAATCATAGTATGATATCCCAAAGCAATGAAAATTACATGCACTCAGAGATAAAAGAACTAACAGTATACATAGTGAGGGAATGGCCCAAACCAAAGCATGGGCTTCCGAGGTCCTACATTTTTCGCTTCAAGATAAATAACCAGTGGCTACTCCAGTCCGTAACCCTCGGGTTTCTCCCAGTTTGAGTTTTTCGCATGCCGACTGCCGAGAGCTTTGCCGAGAGTTTTCCCCGTGTTGCCATGGTAACCCGAGCCCTGATGACTGTGATTGGTTGGATCTCTAGGTAAAATACCACGAGGCCTACGAGAAGAGCAAGGCCAAGGGGTACACGCCTGTCGTTGACACGCCCGAAAACATCCGCGTCAGGGAGTCCGGAAAGATCGTGAGCCAGGTAGGACCAAAAAACACCCCCTTTGAGTGTGCCGTGGTTTCTCCCGTACTTACCTAACATCCCACCATATCCTGGCGTGATTGGAACGTACCATGTCTTAACGGGGAAGTTTTTTCTAGGTGATTGAACGTCCACAGGAAGAGGCCACTGTGGAAGATTCCATCCAAGCAGTGACTGCTACACACCTTCACATCTTATTCATACAAACAAGAAATACCTGTAACAACTTTCTTTCTTTATACAAACACTACATAGTCTCCCTCATGATACAAGCACAGCATAGTGGTTTTAAACCACACTATTATCCTTACCATACACATGTACCCGCAGTCAATATTGGTGCCTCACATTGCGAACACAACTACGAAAGAAGTTTTTCAAGCGATGTGCTCTCATGAAAATGGGACACTGCGCGCTGATTTTGACTGCACCACCATTCAAGACTTGCAGTGGACCCCATGTGTGCATGCGTGCTACATGTACATCAGGAGTCGAATCAAGAAGTTCTACAAACATCAGATCCACGAGAACAGGTAGCATAGTGAAGATCCTCTACCTGATGTGATGGTGAGTGTTTCAAGTATTTCTTTGTCAGGCTGGTCCATTCTAAAATGTACAAGGGGGTGTACAAATCTTTCGAAAATGTAGTCTTGATATTTGTTTCTTGCTAGCATTTTGCTTGTATGTTTTACTTTTCAATTTTCCTTACTGTTGTTTTTCGCTCTACAGCTTTTGAACTTTTCTGGACTATTTTCTTTTATGACATAAAGCTTCTTTTTTATCACCCCCAAGCTTTTAAGATGGACCAGCCTATAGTTATGACATAAGCCAGCACCCAGGGGTGCTTAGAACTGGACTAGGCCACTTTGGGATGGCATGATTCCTCCTGGTTTGAAAGGCTCTAACATAATGACATACTTGGCAGGTGAAGTGCATAGAAGACTTTGAGAAGCTGCCCAAGCCGGGGATGCTTCCTCCAGATACCTCGGAAATAACTCGAATGAAGAAAGTGCAACAGATGCAGAGTGAGGTACAGGTTGCACTGGGGACATCTGGCAGTTTTGTCTGGTATTGCAGGGATTAGACATGCCTGAGATTTGAGAATCCTACAGTAGTGTTGCCATGGGGTCTGTAGAGATGGAATGTTTTAGTGGTTGCTTCAGTTGCTGTAGAAAATGCAGAAAGGGTCGTGGTTACAATGGTCAGACAGTAGGAGTAGTTATATGAGTGGATATCATTGAAAGAAGGCTTTGACGACGTAGTTGTTTGAACTTGAAGTCCCATCAGAGGATGAATCAAGATTGATATGGTTAAGATGTGAGAAATTGAAGTGGCATGTATGGTTGGCTACCAGTAGACTTCATTGTAGTCCCCTTGCTGTAGTGCTTGTATAGCTGTGTGGCCCAAGGACTGTAGAATTGGAGGTAGGCACAGCCCTATACACCATTATGGTGTTGGATGCACTTTTACTAAGTCTTATGTATGGTCTGTAGATGTAGAAAAAAGTTCTTGTTTGGTCATTTTGATAGAAGTGTGGGCAAAATTAGTGGCAACTTGTCATAGCTTTCAACCCGTCAATTTCTTCAGATTCCTTACAAAAAGGAAGTAAAGGAGAGTACAGGCAAGTTCTTCCCTGTCCAAGACACCCCGACCTACCAGCACCAACTACAATTGACTAAATATCAGAGCGACCATGTCTACTCAGATGAGGCTAAGTACATCATGGAGAAGGGACACAGTCAGTACCCCTTCACTCCTGAAATGACTAGGGTACAGGGAGCTGAGAAGGTCAAATCTGAGGTAAAAATAAAACAATATTCAGAAAAAAAACAAGCTAGAACCAACTGTCAGTTTTTAGTGGGGAAAAAGACACAACAAGTGCAGAAAAGTTTCAGATTAGTTAAATACAATCCTCATTTTTAACAGTGATGATTTGTAAAGTTAGTGCTGTTTTCAGTGCTCACCTTCAGTGAGTTGAGCTCGTCTCAAGCATGATGTTTCTGACATAGAGAGAAGATATCCTGTTCTAGCCCTACTTGTGTAAACCATAACCATGAAGTGGTCTTCGGATCTTGCTATATGATAACAGTAGAGTGGAAATGATTATATTATAAGGAAGTTTGTTGTACTGAGTGGCTAAGTTCCTCCTTTCCTCTACCCAGCGGTTATATAAGGAGAGCTACGAGAAATGGAAGTCCACCTTTACTCTTCCACCAGACACTCCTGTCATTGTTCACGCTAAGAACATGGGTGAACTTCACAGCGAGGTACTTATACATTAGCTTTAATGTTGAAATTTCTGTCCATGAAATTCAACATATCTTTCAATCACGTTCAGCTTTTTGGTGCTTTTTTAAGTGGTATTATATGATTCTCTATTTAAAGTTTTTGCTTGGAAGTGAACTACTTGTAAATTTGGTATCAGAAAAATGATGGATACATTTCTTGGGAGTGCACATTGTCAAGTGTTGCCACATTTCAGATGAAGTACCATGAACTGTATCAGAAAGAGCTTGGACTGACCAATAAGTTGCCACCAGACGCCATTCTGCTCAGGAGTGCCAAACAAGCTGTGAAAATAGCCAGCGAGGTTTGTGGATGTGCCTCTTGGTCAAAGAAACCTTCTCTAAATACGTAGTACCCTTTCAATAACAATTGAATCTGTCAAGTTGTCAATTTTCACATCTTTATCAAGTTGATTTTCAAGTTTCCCAAGTTGTTCAGGACTGGTGTTAGCATAACTGGAGCTGGATGAAGATATTTGAATTTTTAGGAATACTCTGCCTCATTTCAGATTGAATACAGCAAAAAGTCTCTCCAAGAGACTAGAAAGATGCCATACACTGCAGTCGACTCTCTCGCGTACATGACAGCAAAAGCAGTCTCAGGCATGATCAGTCAGGTACATGTACTTTGAAGGCAAACTTAGTGTAAATGGTGTGCAGGTTTCTGTGTAGGTCATGTCTAGCAAAGTGTTGAACAGTTCCTGTTTTGCGCCATTTGTCTTTGTCTCAACTGGTGTTATTTGCCAAACTTTCATAACTGGAAAGCTGTTTTCTCTGTCGTTTGTCTCTGTACAGCTCTGGAATATATTGAAATAGTGTACATGTACAGTATCTGAAAAAGAAATCTTGCGCTACCTTCTTCCTTGAAGTTTTGTGGTGTTGTCTTGTTCTATTTATTATGTGTAGATTGAAGTGTTGAAAGCGTTGTCAGACAGGTTTTGGTTGTGTCCTTAGGCTAATTTTAGTTGTCCATATGGTTGCACTGCAAGGTTGCCTGTGTTTTGTGTCTGTTAGGTGATGTCCAACGTCTTGGTGTTCTGTGTGAGTATATATCAAAGAAAGAAGTTGTATCTGTATCTGGAACTATCCTTTTCAAAGACTAGTTGCTGCTGTTCAGCATTGAAAATGTCATAGACCAAGTAAAATAACCTTTTGGTGTACAGTCCACTATCTTGTTTTGTATCTGTGTCAACTTGAGTCATCTGCTTGGTTACGAATGCGGCTTGAAATGTCTTACTGAATGTCGACTGCAATGTGCTAGATGTCTGCAAGCTCTAGATGTGAATCCACTTTACTATATACTACAATCTGTTAGGAATGTTGCCCTCTTGATCCACTCCTGTAGGTAGAGTATACCAAGCAGCTTGGCAAGACTCTATCGCAGTACAACATCACGGCAGACACACCAGCAATCCAGCAAGCGAAGAAGGCACAACAGATACAGAGCCAGGTATGACAGCTGCAATTTCTCAAACATGAAATCTTTTACCAAAGAATTTTCAGTTAAAGGTAGAGAAAATGTAGGGTCATATACCAATACATTTTTTGTACATATCTGGATGTCACCTCTGTGTGGCTGATGTTCACCAGCAAGGACAGACATGTATAACTTTGTGTGAATGGTGTTCAGCACCAAGGAAAGGCATGTTCAGCACCAAGGACAGGCATGTTTGCCTGTGTGTGGATGGTGTTCAGCACCAAGGACAGGCATGTTTGCCTGTGTGCAGGCATGTTTGCTTATGTGTGGATGGTGTTCAGCACCAGGGACAGGCATGTTCATTTGTGTGTAGTTAGGCCTGTTAGGCCAGGGTTAGGCCTGTTGATCTGTATGTGACCTGGGACAGATTATATTTCAAATATCTCTGAATGGTGTTTATTATGATCCCTTTTCAGAACACCTATACCAAGGACAAGCCCACCAACTACACTGCAGTGTACGACTCTCCACTGATGAAACAGGCCTCGAACCTGTCCAAGATACAGAGTGATGTACGTACTTTACTGATTGTGTTGTTATAAATTCCTGCTAAACTGTCAAATGTTTGGTACAAAATGGTATAATGCCCCCTTAAGGAGTGTGTTAAGAACAAATTTAACCTACGTACATGTGCAGGCTAGATCGGCAGAACTTAACACAGATATGTCTTCATAAACCATTACAGATTCCCTACAAACAAGAAGTAAAGGAGACTACAGGCAAGTTCTTCCCTGTCCAAGACACCCCAACCTACCAGCACCAACTACAGCTCAGTAAATATGAGAGTGACAATAACTACAAGGGTGAGGCTAAACACATCATGCAGCAGGGACACAGTCAGTACCCCTTCACTCCTGAGATGTTCCTGGTTGGAGACGCAGAGAAGATCAAATCCGAGGTAGAATTACTGCTCGATCTTCTGTGTACTTCTTCAAAGTACCTGCTTCAAACCTGGGTCACTTTCTCCTGTCTTGAATTGATTTTCAAGTTGTTCTGTTGTCCATCTGAAGGGGTTGATATGTTTGTTTTGTTGCAGCGCCTGTACAAGGCCAACTATGAGAAGTGGAAGTCAGCCTACACTATGCACGTGGATGAACCAACTATCACACGTGCTAAGGACATGGCTTCTCTTTCTAGTGAAGTATGTATACTATCATGGATACCATCTTTTTAACATACTGAGATAACAGTTACTCAAGCAACTGGCTAGACAGTGGAAACAGTCAGACATTTCAGGTAGCATCCACTACCTTTCATCAGTGACTTCAGTATTGTACTACCTGGATGCCTAACCTTCATCAATGCTTCTTTTGAAATTTTTTTTTCTGAATTTCCCATTCCAAATCATTTTGATCTCTATGTATCTGTCATACTAGTGTTGCATTGGTTTTGATGATGTTTCCTTTCCAGAATACATACCGAAAAATGTATGAAGACAGCAAGGCACAGGGCAATACTCTACCAGCGGATGCCATCCACATTAAGAGAGCCAAGGAGGCCATGGACATATCCAGTGAGGTGTGTGAAACCTGAGTGTTACTCTGATCTTCTGTTTGTTATCTTTCTCTTTGAAGTCTTTAAAGCCTGACTGTAGTGAATGTTAGTGGCGAACATTAATGGCAAAGAGTGTTGAGAAGCTTGAGTTGTTCTCAATAGGAACTCAACCAAGGTGAAGTTAAGTATGTGACACTGATGTAAAGTTCAAGTGTGACCTCACTGAAAATGATGTAAACTTGAATGTACAAATCAGTATTTGAAACATTTGTATCTGCTTCAGAAATTGCTTTTTTATGCCAGCTATTTACCATATTGTCTTTATTTTGAACACGAAGCAAGGCTGAGACATTCAAAGTTGTTCTTTGTTTTTTTACTAACAGATCAACTATGTGAAGAAAGCCAGGAAGGATGCCACACACAAGCCTCACATTGCTGTGGACTCCCTGTCCTACATGACAGCCAAGGCTGTGAACGGTCTTGTTAGTCAGGTACTGATACTAAGGAACTTTGTTGCATGACAAGTGTACAACGTACAGTGTACGGCAACAACTATTGAACATAGTACACAAATGAAGAGGTATAGAATAAATCTGAAACCCTAATTACTAAAACAAGAAGGGCTAGCATAAGTCTTTGATATAGTGTTTAAATCTTGTCGGGCAGTCTTGGCAAGTTCACCTATTTTTACATTGTGAGAGTTATCGCATCTCTGGTGTAAAATTGTCGTCTTAGGTTGTTAATTTCTGTGAATTCCTGGTTTGTTAAATTAAATGTTTGGTGGTATCAGGAAAGTAGGGATGTTCTTAATTTCCAAATGAATATTCTTTGTAGGTGAAGTACAAGGAACACCTTGACAAGGCCCTGGCCAGCTACAGTCTTCCCTCTGACACTCCGGAGATCCTGCTAGCCAGGAAGGCACAGAAGATTCAGAGTCAGGTAAACATGATGTTGTCTTTTTCATCAGAGATCTTGACCAGAATCCCTTCATATCTTCTTTTCATTCATTGTCTCATGCAAATACTGCTTCTATTTAAAGTTTGTTTTTCTTCCACAATGACTGAGAGCTTTAAATCTTTAATCTTCCCATCTTTTCTATTAGCATAGCAGAAATACAATTATGTAAATGCTTTTGTTTTCCAGCACCAGTACACCAAAGACAAGCCCTCCAAGTACACCACTGTGTATGACACCCCACTGATGCTGCAGGCTTCTAAAGTCTCCCAGATGCAGAGTGATGTATGTTTACCTTCCCTCATGTTCCTTTTGACATCTCACGATCTCTACAGTTTAGTAGTCAGCATTTCTCCCTTAGGAAAGATGCAATTTCAGATGCTTTATGACAGTGCCTGTGACTTTAGCACGTAGCGTTTTTGTATGTATCTTACCACTTGTTTATCACTTTGATATTAGTGCATGCTTCACTGCATGTTTTCAGCTTGCTCTTTGTTATTCTTCTTTGAGGCTACTTTGCAAGTTCAAACATTTGAGTACTATAACATGTACTTCTTTTGATTTGATTCACCAATACAGATTCCTTACAAGAAGGAAGTAAAGGAGAGTACAGGCAAGTTCTTCAATGTCCAAGACACTCCGACCTACCAGCACAATCTACAGCTCAGTAAATATGAGAGTGACCATAAGTACAAAGATGAGGCAAAGTACATCATGGAGCAGGGGCACAGTCAGTACCCCTTCACTCCTGAAATGTCCAGGGTGGAAGGTGCTGAAAAGATGAAATCAGAGGTACAGCAGAACTGGTGAAAAATTTATGTCAGCATTTCCATCTCTCTTTACAAATTACAGCATCATTACATGTATTTTCTTGTGTAATTTTTGAATGATTATCTTTCTTTGATCTTTTCTCAGCATCTGTACAAGGCCAACTATGAGAAGTACAAGACAGGCTACACCATGCGCGTTGACGACCCCAAGATTGTCCATGCTAAAGAGGTGGCTACACTGCAGAGTGAGGTACAATAAGGGCATTGTTTGGGATGATTGTCCAAGTTTGTCACATTCTGGCAGTTAATTGAAAGCCTTGTTTTCTAAAGGTTTACTGTAGGTACCATTGGTTTTCAAGGTAAATTCTTGATGATCTTCAACATTTCCTAATGAACCTTGTTTCAATCAATTGAAACCTTTTTAGAACAAGTACAAGGAGCAGTATGAGAAGGACAAAGAACAGGGGAAGTCCCTAACTGTGGATTCTGTCAACATCCAGAGAGCAAAAGATGCCATGGAAATGGCAAGTGAGGTGGGTTGTACATATAATGTCTGTCTCAGACTCTCTTTGTCAAGTTAACAAAAACTGCTAATAGAAAAAAGACTAGTAATACATGTACAGTAGTGAGTGATAGTCTGAAGTGGATGGCATACAAATGTATATGTACAATGTAATTTTATTTTGGCTTTCAAGTCTTGCCTTTTTTTTTTGTATGAATTTTTTAAGCATTATCTATCAATAAGGTATGAAGTAGTTTTAGATCTTTTATTATCTGTAATTGAAGATGATTAACATGCTAGTCTTGTTTCTTGACAGATTAAATACATGAAAGAAGCTCAGAGAACAGCACAGAGGACTCCGTTCAATGCAGTGGATTCCTTGGCTTATATGACAGCGAAAGCAGTTTCAAAACTTAACAGTCAGGTATGGTTTCATGGTCAATAGTCATTCTCTGTGTTACATGTATCTTTGTGGTTAAAACTTTCAGCTTTGGTGTGCTTAGTAAGGTGATTTCATTCATCTTTTTATATGACGTTGATGCACATCAGTGAGAGTGAAGATAGTGTTCTTTGCTGATGATGTTTAGAGATGCAATCATGTAGTTCCATTTTTGTTTTGTTGATGTATGAATTTTGTCTGATTCTTGCAGTTGAAGTACACAGAGAAGCTTCGTGAGGCTTTGAGTCAGTACCAGCTCACTGCTGATGTTCCTGCTATCAAGGAGGCAAGGAGAGCACAAGAGATCCAAAGCCAGGTAGCTGAGTGTGATCAGTCAAAAGTTGTCAGATTTGCTGTGCTGCAAATTTTCTTCCTTTTTCGCACGGAGGACTTCTCAACTTTGTATGACTATTGGTCAAAATTTGTCTGATTTGCTTTACAAAATTTCCTCATTTTCACAGTAGGATTTTCTCAACTTTGAATGACTAATTGTCCTTTTCAGCATAACTACACCAAGGACAAGCCAACAAAGTACACTACTGTGTATGACACACCCTTGATGTTGCAAGCCTCTAATGTTGCAAAGATTCAAAGTGATGTACGTATTCAGCTTCTTCAATCTTCTTTATTCTTTTAACTTGAAGACCATTCTAATCTAAGATGCATTATTTCAAGACATCACTGTTTATGTGTTGTAGTCGTATTGCTACAAGTGCAGAGCTTATTTCATAGTTTTTGTTACTAGCCTTTTGATGCTTGAGCTTTTCAATTTTGTGTACTATTTCTATGGAAAAGTCTTCTAGTGGTTGATAGACACTATCTGTATGTGTTAAGCTCTTGTGTTAAATTTGTTGACCATGATAGATTCCCTACAAGAGAGAAGTAAAGGAGAGTACAGGCAAGTTCTTCCCTGTCCAAGACACCCCGACCTACCAGCACATGCTGCAGCTTACTGAATACGAGAGTGACCATAAGTACAAAGATGAGGCTAAACACATCATGCAGAAGGGACACAGTCAGTACCCCTTCACTCCTGAGATGTTTCTAGTGGAGGATGCAGAAAAGATCAAGTCAGAGGTATAATAGAATCTTACTTGTACTTTCTTCATTCTTCCTTGAGTCCTTTCTGGTATGTGTAATTCAAATGATATTAGTTTATCTCGCTATTAGATAGTCTAACCATAAGTTTGATCAGAATCTGATTCTGAAGATGAAGTTGCAGTACCTTTTGTAAAGTTGTAAGTGCTGTCTATATTTTGTTCTTGTAACTTTGTTCCAGCGCCTGTACAAGCAAAACTATGAGAAGTGGAAGACAGGCTACACCATGCACGTTGATGACCCCAAGATTGTCCATGCTAAAGAGGTGGCTACACTGCAGAGCGAGGTACTATCATAATGGCCTTTTGTTAACTGTCAAAATGTCCAAGCTTTTCACAGTCTGACAGAATTTTAACCTCCTGGAAGTTTTCTATAGGCCATAGTTTTCAGTTGTTGATTTTTGCTGGAGATTTCTTTTTACATTGGTGTTGAACCCCGCTTTTAATTTCTCCATCTTTTGAAACCTTTCAGAACAAGTACAAGGAGCAGTATGAGAAGGACAAAGAACAGGGGAAGTCCCTAACTGTCGATTCTGTCAACATCCAGAGGGCCAAAGGTGCCATGGAAATGGCCAGTGAGGTGGGTATTTAGTTTGGTTAATGGTGAAGAACAGAGAGCATTGAGTTGATAGCATTGGGTGTATACAGTATAGAAACAGAGTTCTAGTCTATGATGTTAATTAGTCAAGATAATCATAATTATTATTATTCATCAATGGTGATACCTCTTGTTTTACTGTAAGAATTTATGGTTTGTCCACAGATTAATTACATGAAGGAGGCCCGTAAAGTGGCCCAGCGGAACTCCCATGGTGCTGTGGACTCTCTGAGCTATCTGACAGCTAAAGCAGTTTCCAACCTCACCAGTCAGGTAGGTTCTGTTTCCTTAGTTGTTTTGAGATGTACATGTACATCTATGCTTATTTGTGTAAGGGTGATGTCAGTACAATATCTTGATTGTTGATTTACCAAAAGTTCAGGTCTTGTTATATGGTGGTAACAAGTAAAAAAGAAATCCCCAAAACAGTGAATTATAGTTTTTTACATGTCTCTCTGTGTTTCTAACCTTCCTGAATGTAGTCTGCTGTCTCTGATTGCCTCTTTTTAGAAAGGGATTTATAGTATTTGTCTGTGATTCTGGTTTGTGCCATGGTCCTGATGAAACCTTCTTGACCCTTACACCAGGTGAAGTACACAGAGAAGCTGCGTGAGGCTCTGTCACAGTACCAGCTCTCAGCAGACATGCCTGCCATTCTGGAGGCACGGAGGGTGCAGGAAATACAAAGCCAGCATAACTACACCAAGGACAGACCAACGCAGTACACCACTGTGTATGAAACACCTCTGATGATGCAGGCTTCTAATGTCGCAAAGATGCAAAGTGATGTAGGTTTACAGCTTCAGATGTTCTATATCATTCTTAAATCTTTGTGTAGTTTTCCATTTTAGCTTGATCTTAGCTGCATGATTTTAAGATACAACATTGTTTTAAGACAGTGATCTTTGTTCTCTTTGTTCGAAATATATATTTTTCATCACCAGATTCCTTACAAGAAGGAAGTAAAGGAGACTACAGGCAAGTTCTTCCCTGTCCAAGACACACCGACTTACCAGCACCACCTACAGCTTACTAAATATGAGAGCGATCGCAACTACAAGGATGAGGCAAAACACATCATGCAGCAGGGGCACAGTCAGTACCCCTTCACTCCTGAGATGTCCAGGGTAGAAGATGCTGAAAAGATCAAATCAGAGGTACATACATGTACAGTGTATGTTACTGGACAAAGCGATTGTACATGTATATAGGCCATTGTGTCCATGATACAAAGATGACAGAATCATGCATGTTCTTTCTTTATAAGATTCCCTTACTTGAATGGTAGTAGACAGTGTATTTCTCCATGTTTAAAGTTAACCTAGAAGTCTACTTAGTTGAAATTTCAAAGTTTTAAGCGACAATCATTCTGTTGTTTTATTTTTTCTCTCAGCGCTTGTACAAGCAAAACTATGAGAAGTGGAAGTCCAGATACACCATGAGTGTTGATGACCCCAACATTATCCGTGCCAAGGAGGTGGCTTCTCTTCAAAGCGAGGTACAACATTAGGAAACACATTTCTGTTAAGGCCTTCTTTGGATGTGGTGGTAAAGAAGTATTTCTCATGTATTGAGATTTGTATTATAAGCTAATTTCTGAAATTTCTACAATCGTTACAAAAGATTTCTCTTTGCACCACAGAACAAATACAAGGAGCAGTATGAGAAGGACAAAGAACAGGGGAAATCTGAAACTGTGGATTCTGTCAACATCCAGAGGGCAAAAGGTGCCATGGAAATGGCAAGTGAGGTGGGTTGCAATGCTGGACAGTTTTAATTTGGTCAAGACAAAGGGCTTGCATCAATAGTACGGAAACTGGCATTCATTTGACATTTTTAGGATTGTAGAGATTGATGTGTACAATCCTTTCTTGTACTCGTAGGATTTTAGTCAAGAATGCAGTATGGTTAAGATTTGAAAGTTTGCCCATGTTGTGTCAGTTATGATACCTGTTGCTTTTGTCATTAGAATTTATGGTTTGTCCACAGATAAATTACATGAAGGAGGCCCGTAAAGTGGCCCAGCGGAACTCCCATGGTGCCGTGGACTCTCTGAGCTATCTGACAGCTAAAGCAGTTTCCAACCTCACCAGTCAGGTAGGTTCTGCTCTTCTGAAGCTTTTGTAGGAATTCGTGTTTTTCAGTAACAGTAACTGTTCATTTATCCAGTAAATTATTTTTGGTAGAAGGTAATTTTGTGTGATGTGTTTGATGTTAAAGGGAAATACTGATTTTACCTAAGACTTTTCTAGCTTTTTATTAATTTATTCCACCTGAAAGAGAGTGAAGTATCTTGTTTTTGACACATGAGTTTGTGCATACATGTATTTTTGACCTACTGTACTTGAAGAAATAGAAACCCTGATTGCCATTATCATCGATTATGAGAAAGAAATGTGTAGTACATTTATTTTTGTGATTGCTTCTTTATAACATGGTCCTGATGATGACTTTGGATTCTTCTTGACCCTTACACCAGGTGAAGTACAGAGAAAAGCTGCGTGAGGCTCTGTCACAGTACCAGCTCTCAGCAGACATGCCTGCCATTCTGGAGGCACGGAGGGTGCAGGAAATACAAAGCCAGGTATAAATTACAAAAATTCCCAATGTTTTGGTCACTTTTTGAGCCGTTGATGATTTTAGCAGACATTTGATTTTGTGATAAAACAACTTAGGAAATGTTGGTATTTTTTTCAGCACAACTACACGAAGGACAGGCCTACAAATTACACCACAGTCTATGATACTCCGCTTCTAAAGCAAGCTGCTAACGCGGCCAAGTGGCAGAGTGATGTAAGAATTCTTGATTGGTTTATTTGATTTGTCATTATACTTTTAAAATACATGGCTAAAATACATATCCATAAGAATATATAAAAAAAGACTGTTACTAACTATTTTCTGCTTTTTTTTAAAACAATTTTTGTGTGTGATAGTTTTTTAGTTAAAATATATTTCCTATATGTGACTTTCCTGGTCTATTGTTATAGGTTCCATACAAGAGGGAAGTAAAGGAGAGTACAGGCAAGTTCTTCCCTGTCCAAGACACCCCGACCTACCAGCACATGCTGCAGCTTACTGAATACGAGAGTGACCATAAGTACAAAGATGAAGCTAAACACATCATGCAGCAGGGACACAGTCAGTACCCCTTCACTCCTGAGATGTTCAGGGTTGACGATGCTGAAAAGATCAAATCTGAGGTATGAAGTATGACGATCTTAAAAAAACCTGTGATTGTTTTCCCTCATTTTATTGTAAAATTAATATTCTTTATACAGTAGTAGTGTAGTAGTCCTTCGTAGTCCAAGATTACTGTTAGTGTCCTTGTTTACGGGTGTGTGTCCTCATGTAAATGAAATTTACAGCAGTTGAATTTATCTATTACAGTGTATGCTCATATTTTCTATAACAGTTGTGCTTTTATAGTATAGGATAATAATTTGATTCTGTGCTTGTTTTATATAGCGCCTGTACAAGGCCAACTATGAGAAGTGGAAGACAGGCTACACGATGCTCTTTGATGACCCCAACATCATCCGTGCTAGAGAGGTTACATCGCTACAGAGTGAGGTACGTACATGTACACTGTGACTTTGTAAATTTTCAAAATCATTTCCATGCAGGATTTTGTTAATCTTTAGTTAAAGAACTTTATGCAGATATTGGAAGATGCTTGTTGCATTGAATGATCTGTTTTATACAGGAAGCTCATGATATTTTACCCTCTTTGAACCTTTTAGAACAAATACAAGGAGCAATATGAGAAGGACAAAGAACAGGGGAAGTCGCTAACTGTGGATGCTGTGGTCATTCGGGGGGCCAAAGATGCCATGGAAATGGCCAGTGAGGTGGGTTGAAGCTTTCTCTCTAGGTTGAGCCTGCTTGTTGTCAATAGACATGTGTGCAATATTGTACATGTATGTAAGTTACTAGTAGTATGTATATGTAATGTACATGATTGTATTTGTGTTACGCATTAGACTTTTGCATTAGAGAATTCCAGTAAATTATTTTACGTTGATGAATTAATCAGATTTTCCGTCTGATATTTTGCATGCATATCTTGCTCACCAAAAGACTCTTAATGTCTTGTTATTGAAGCATTGTGAGGATTAAATCTTTTTGCCCTGTCCACAGATCAGATACGTGGAGGAAGCTCGCAAAGAGGCCCAGAAGAGGCCGTTCAATGCTGTGGACTCTTTGGCCTATCTGACGGTCAAAGCAGTTTCAAATCTCAACAGCCAGGTACTTATCTACTGTCTTGTTGATGTTTTGTTGATCTCAATGTGTTCAGTGTTCAGGAAGTCAGTTTTAAGGAACTAGACATTCTTTTAATATATTTTACTTGAACCTTTCAGCTGAAGTACAGAGAGAAACTCCCCGAGGCTCTGAGCCAGTACCACCTTAGTGCTGATATCCCTGCTATCAAAGAGGCTAGAAGAGCGCAGGAGATTCAAAGCCAGGTACATCATCTAAAACCTGATTCTAGTTTGCCCATCCTGAGAAAAAAATTCAGTATTTTCTTCACATTACCTTCTATTTTTGTATGCCAGGTTTCCTGCATGTAATGTTGTCAATTTTTGAATTATTTGCAGCATAATTACACCAAGGACAGGCCCACCAGGTACACTACAGTGTATGAGACACCTCTCATGAAGCAAGCAGAACTAGTGGCCAAGCTACAAAGTGATGTATGTAAACCTTGCTGCATTATTGTTTTTGCCCTGTTGAATTATTTTTTGTATGTTCTTGATGAGCACTTATAGGCAGGGCTAGAGATTGTTACATGTACATGTATCTTTGCTAAGCTAACAAAAAATGTAACTTTCCTTTAGTGACTGTTTACTTTCTTTTTTTTCTGAAGGCAAGAAAGCAGAATAAGAGTTGTAATGTGTGTTACGTTTTCAGAATCTCTACAAGAAGGAAGTGAAGGAGAGTACAGGCAAGTTCTTCCCTGTCCAAGACACCCCGACCTACCAGCACATGTTGGAGCTGACTGAATATGAGAGTGACCATAAGTACAAGGATGAGGCTAAACACATCATGCAGCAGGGCCACAGTCAGTACCCCTTCACTCCTGAGATGTCCAGGGTGGAAGATGCTGAAAAAGTCAAGTCTGAGGTATGGTATTCTTTTTCTTTGATCCTAAGCCTTTTAGAGGTGCATTTGCATTTGTATTTTACTAGCACATAGTTTTGATTTTAAAAGGGCTTTATTCAGTGACCATCAATGATGAAACTAAAAGTTTTTTTTTTAGCGGTTGTACAAGGAGAACTATGAGAAGTGGAAGTCCAGGTACACCATGCTTGTTGATGACCCCAAGATTGTCCATGCTAAAGAGGTGGCTACACTGCAGAGCGAGGTATGGTCTACATTTACATGTATATGCTACTGAAATGGTATAACTATTTGTCAGATTTCCTTACACTTAGTTGCAAGTCTTTGCTTTAAATCTTCATCTTTTGGCATTGGAAAATATAATGTTTATTTGAATGGCAAGTTCGTGCTGACCAACATTTATGATTAAACAAGCTGACAATTGTGAAACATTTCTTAACTTCATAGAACAAGTACAAGGAGCAGTATGAGAAGGACAAAGAACAGGGGAAATCTGAAACTGTGGATTCTGTCAACATCCAGAGGGCAAAAGGTGCCATGGAAATGGCAAGTGAGGTGGGTGGAAATGTTGTCACATAGACGTCCTGTCTTTCCTGTCTTTACATACTTAGCTTTGGTTGTCACTGTTGGCATTGTTTTGTTGGATTTGGAGTGCTGAGATTGAATGCTTGTTTGTCTACAGATAAATTACATGAAGGAGGCCCGTAAAGTGGCCCAGCAGAACTCCCATGGTGCCGTGGACAATTTGAGCTATCTGACAGCTAAAGCAGTTTCCAACCTAACTAGTCAGGTAGGTTCTGCTCTTCTGAAGCTTTTGTTTTTATGGTTTTTCTCTTTCTGTTCTGCTGTCCAAATACCATTCTCTACCAAGAATAACACTGTTTAAGTCTTTGCTGCTGTTAGCTGTGTTTTTTCTTTGGTTTTGTTGAGTTTTGAATGGAGATTATCCTTCTGGCGTGATCTCACATTTGTGCCCACATGTAACAGGTGAAGTATACAGAGAAGCTACGAGAGGCACTTACCCAGTACCAGATCACACATGACATACCTGCCATTCAGGAGGCAAGAAGGGCTCAGCAGATACAAAGCCAGGTAGATAATTTTCAGATTCAAATCTGGTCTGTTGATCTCTTTGTGCTCTTTTCTGTTCCTGAAGAATTTTGGTCTCATTCCCATCACACCTAGATCTCTGTATCTGCAGGGTTTTCTTGGGCTAATGAATATTAAAAATTGATCCCTTCTCCAGCATAACTACACTAAGGACAGACCCACCAAGTACACCACAGTGTATGAAACACCACTCATGAAGCAAGCAGAGCTGGTGGCCAGACTACAGAGTGATGTAAGAAAGAACTCTTTGGTTATAATTATGGATTTCTTACTCGTAGTTAGCTACATGTAGTAACAGCCTGTATTAAAGCCTTAATAGATAGGAGTTGGGAAAAGCTATAATAAATGTTGAAAGTTTGAGTATCTTTTCTTTTGAATGTGCTGAACTAGATTCCCTACAAGAAAGATGTGCGAGAGGCTGAAGTGAAGCAGTTCCCAGTCCACGACACTCCAACCTACGAGCACATGCTGCAGCTTACAAAGTACCAGAGTGACCATGTCTACAAGGATGAGGCTAAAGAGATCATGGAGAAGGGCCACAGTCAGTACCCCTTCACTCCTGAGATGTCCAGGGTAGAAGATGCTGAAAAAGTCAAGTCAGAGGTACATGTATGGTACTCTCAAAGAGAAATCATCAGAAAATCTTATTGTTTTTCTTTGTTGATGGTCAACTTTTTTGACATGTATGACATTATTATTTCTAGAGAGCAACATAATTGTTAAGTAAAAGATGAAGCTAATAGACGATTTTTGTCTTCTTTTAGCGTTTGTACAAGGAGAACTATGAGAAGTGGAAGTCCAGGTACACCATGCTTGTTGATGACCCCAAGATTGTCCATGCTAAAGAGGTGGCTACACTGCAGAGTGAGGTACAATAAGCTTCTTGCATTATGTTTGTGTAATTTCAAAGACATTGCTGCATTATGTAGTCAGTACAATGCTGTTGTTAGAAAGTATGTTTATTTTACAATAATGTAATGGTAAGTTTGTGCCATTTTATCGTAAAGATAAGATAAGATTAGTCAAGCTAACAGTGGTGAACTATGTCTTTGCTCCCCAGAACAAATACAAAGAACAGTATGAGAAGGACAAAGAACAGGGGAAATCTGAAACTGTGGATTCTGTCAACATCCAGAGGGCAAAAGGTGCCATGGAAATGGCCAGTGAGGTGGGTTGAAATATTTTTCACTTACATTGCATGAATATACATTCTGCCTTAAAATGTTAGTTTAGCTTCTGTACATGTATATTGGAAAATTTTTTCTATAAGAAATGATACAATATAGTTATCATGAAGTCATATAATGCCAAAAATATTTACTGAAAACGAAGCATTTGCATATTGAGGGTTTTACAGATTTAGTCTGTGTAATTTTGTTTGAGTTTTTGGCAACTTGACTTATCCACATTTGGTATAGTTTTGGTTGGTGCCATTTTTAGATTTTACTTGCAGTGCTTAAAGTGTTTGTTGGTTTGTCCACAGATTAATTACATGAAGGAGGCCCGTAAAGTGGCCCAGCGGAACTCCCATGGTGCCGTGGACTCTTTGAGCTATCTGACAGCTAAAGCAGTTTCCAACCTCACCAGTCAGGTAGGTTCTGCTCTTCTGCAGATGTGTGGTCGTTCTTTTTAAATTACTTTTCTGCTTTGCAGGAATTATTTTATACTAGAAATCTCAAATATCTATGATGGGCTTTTGACATTTTGCCTTGTGTATTATGATGTTTTTTCTTCTCAATTTTAAAGGCAGTAGATTGTTCTCTCTGATAGTTGCCACATGGAAATATCTGGCAATGTCTTGATTCCACTTGTTAATGTATTGTATAAATGTAACTATAACAGGTCAGGTATACAGAGAAGCTGCGTGAGGCTCTTACCCAGTACCAGATCACACATGACATCCCTGCCATTCAGGACGCCAGAAGGGCTCAGCAGATACAAAGCCAGGTACTACAATGTAGACATCCTATTAAATACATTTCAATCTGGTCTGTAGGGCTACAATTTATGTGTACAGTTCTTCCTTTTCTTTAAGTTTTAAAATTTAAAATCCCTCTGTTGCTTTAGTTTTTCTATGGCCAATGAATATCAATCTTTTCCCAGCATAACTACACCAAGGACAGACCCACCAAGTACACCACCGTGTATGAAACTCCACTCATCAAGCAGGCAGAGTTGGTGGCCAGACTACAGAGTGATGTAAGTTTTTTTGTGCAAATGTTGGTTTCCAGTTTATCTTATGAGCTAAATGTAGTCTGTATCAAGATGTGATGAAGGTTTTTCAAGAATGTGCAGTTGTCTGTCGCTGTACATCTGAGGTAAGGAATTTTGTAAACCCGAACTTGTTACGATGTTTAAACGTCTTTCTTCTGAACATTGTCATCTAGATTCCATACAAAAAGGAGATGAAGGAGGCTGAAGTGAAACAATTCCCTGTCCACGACACTCCAACCTATGAGCACATGCTGCAGCTTACAAAGTACCAGAGCGACCATGTCTACAAGGATGAGGCTAAAGAGATCATGGAGAAGGGCCACAGTCAGTATCCCTTCACTCCTGAGATGTTTCGAGTTGATGATGCAGAGAAGATCAAATCTGAGGTACGGCAACCTTACAAAAGATCATCAAGAAAATTTTCCTTTGATGTTTCTAAAATTTTCCACTCAGTTGCATTGTTTTTTTTGGATGAATTTTTTTTCAACCAAAGAATGATGCAAATCTTTTTCATTGTTAGCTGTAATGGCTGTAATGATGTCTTTTTTCTTTTTAGCGTTTGTACAAGGAGAACTATGAGAAGTGGAAGTCCAGGTACACTATGCTTGTTGATGACCCCAAGATTGTCCATGCTAAAGAGGTGGCTACACTGCAGAGTGAGGTACAAATGTCTTGTGTTCTGATAACATTTGAAAATCTATTATGAATTTTTGATTGAATTTGATGAATACTCGGAATCTAATAGAAACACTCATTTTCTTTAAATGTAAGTTCCTCATTTTTGTTTGCTTTTGCATGGAACTTAACTCTTGGTTTTAAACTTTTGAAACTTTTCTTCAGAACAAATACAAGGAGCAGTATGAGAAAGACAAAGAACAGGGGAAATCTGAAACTGTGGATTCTGTCAACATCCAGAGGGCAAAAGATGCCATGGAAATGGCCAGTGAGGTGGGTTTGCCATAATGTGGATCATTGGTACATTGTACTTATATTGTATGGGAAAGCTGTTTCAAATACTCAATGTAATTCATGAATTTTAGATTTACTTCTCTTACAGACAAGTATTAGGATGTACAGCCATGACTCTTGCATGAATGTTTGAAATAGACAGTATACACATGTAATTTGATGGTAGCTGGTTTAACTGACAGTGTGCACTGAAATGTTTTGTTTTGATTACAGATCAATTACGCCAAAGAAGCTCGTAAAGTGGCCCAGCGGAAACCGTTCAGTGCTGTGGATTCATTGACATACCTGACAGCTAAGGCAGTTTCGAAGCTGAATAGCCAGGTATGTTCTCTCTTGTCTTATTGAGTTCTTGGATAATTGTTGTTTTTTGTTGTCCGAGTACATGTAGTTCTGCCAAATATCCTGCAGTGTTCAGTGTTCTTTTTGCATTTTTTTGTTTTCCCGGTTTATTCAACACTGTTACATAGTGGCTCTTGTAATAGTGCTGGTATACATGTACTTTGTTTTGTTTAAAATCTTGGTATCTGTTTTATTTGACAGTTGAAGTACACAGAAAACCTGCGCGATGCCCTAACCCAGTACCACATCACAGCTGATATGCCTGCTATCAAGGAGGCCAGGAGGGCTCAGGAAATACAGAGCGAGGTACAAAATTCCAACACATGTCCCTATGCATTCTCGTGTCCTTTTTGATCTTCTTCCTTTTCTTCTGTTGGCTGCTAATTGCATGTGACTGAGTTTTTTCCAGTCCATTTCTTAATTTTTATGACTTTGAATTCGATTCTGATGTAAAAAAATTTGTTCGCAGCATAACTACACCAAGGACAGGCCCACCAGCTACACTACAGTATATGAGACCCCACTCATCAAGCAAGCAGAGTTGGTGGCCAGACTACAGAGTGATGTAGGTCTACCATTATGTCTCTTGCAATATCATTGAATAACTAACTTACCAATCCTGGCATGCTTAACTTCAACAGTACAATTAATGAGTTCTTTGTTCATTGATAGATTATAACAAAGATGTGAAAGAGGATGAGAAATTTGTTTTATATTTAAATCTAGATTCCCTACAAGAAAGATGTGCGTGAGGCTGAAGTGAAACAGTTTCCAGTCCACGACACTCCAACCTACGAGCACATGCTGCAGCTTACAAAGTACCAGAGCGACCATGTCTACAAGGATGAGGCTAAGGAGATTATGGAGAAGGGACACAGTCAGTACCCCTTCACTCCTGAGATGTCCAGGGTGGAAGATGCTGAAAAAGTCAAGTCTGAGGTACACACAAATATGTATGGTACCCTCAAGGAGGGTTACTGTTCTTGTCCTTGTTTACTAGTTTCGATGTTTGAACTCTAAGAGTGGTACATAGTTTAGTTAATGATGGAACTAAAACTCCTGTTTATGTCTTTTTTTAGCGGTTGTACAAGGAGAACTATGAGAAGTGGAAGTCCAGGTACACCATGCTTGTTGATGACCCCAAGATTGTCCATGCTAAAGAGGTGGCTACACTGCAGAGTGAGGTATTATGTGCAGCTTGTACATGTATATTAATATATGTGTATTTTTTTGATAACTTTTTTTTGTATAATGTATTATCTAGCTGTTAGGAAGTTTATTTTTTCAATGTTAATGCTGGTATGTAGCACAAGCTAACAGTTGTGAACTATCTATTTGTTCCCCAGAACAAGTACAAGGAGCAGTATGAGAAGGACAAAGAACAGGGGAAATCTGAAACTGTGGATTCTGTCAACATCCAGAGGGCAAAAGATGCCATGGAAATGGCCAGTGAGGTGGGTTCATGTGATGGTTGCTGCCTGAAACATCTTTTTTTCACATTTTTCAAAATCTTGAGTAACAATTTCATTGTGTATCTCATTACCTGGATGTCTAACTTTTATCAACACTTCATAAAGATAAATGAAAGCATAATGCTATCATTGGTACTAGGTTTTGTGTAGCAAACTTTGATTCATATTTTTTTGCAGGTGAACTATACCAAAGAAGCCCTCAGGGAGGCCCACAGTAAGGGATACAATGCAGTGGACTCAGTCCCCTACATGACTGCCAAAGCAGCAGCTGAGATCAGCAGTGAGGTACGTTCCATGTTTACATTTTTGTTGTTTGTTCTTGACAATGTTTACCTATGTCTCAAGGTGGCGATTTCATACATTTCATCCAAGTGTGTCTACAAAGTATATTTTGTATGGTTTATCTGTTGATCAGTGTTTCTAGCATAGTTAACAGTAATGTGTACTTGTAAGATTTTTTCATGGTACAAAAGATCTCTTACTTCTCATCCTTACTGTTTAGATACACACTGATTTTTCCCTGGTCACTCTTGTGTTGAACAGGTGAAGTACACAGAAAAGCTGCGTGAGGCTCTGTCCCAGTATCTGATCACACATGATGTACCTGCTATTCTGGAGGCCAGGAGGGCCCAGGAGATCCAGAGTCAGGTACAGACTTAACTGAATGAAGCTCTTGGGAATTGATCAGACACAGTGTGAATGTTTACGTCTTCTCTTTTTTAAAATTGGCTGGAAGAATGTGCAGAACAGTTCAGATGTGAACATTGAAACAAGTATGATTTTAGTAGACTTTATATGCCATATAAATTGGGTAATGAAAGACTTTCTTTGAGTATTGAAGATTGACGATTTAACCATTTTTCCAGCATAACTACACCAAGGACAGGCCTACCAAGTACACCACAGTGTATGAGACTCCTCTCATCAAGCAAGCTGAGCTGGTGGCTCAACTACAAAGTGATGTAAGTACTCTCGAACAGTTAGTATCTTCTTACATGTACATGAATACCTGGTATTTCTGTTGTATTTCGACCTATAGACTTATGCCATAGCTCAAGTATTTATATCACTTGTCTGGAGTAGCCAGTCATACATCTATCAGTCAAGAAGTGTATTCTTTGTGATAGCTGTAAGTTGCTTCTTTGATACTATTAGGATTCAAATTTGTGGAAGATATCTCTCAGTTTTGTAAAAGTGGTGTGTTGTTTTAAAGCTGACAATTACTTTGCTGCTGGCCCCATCATAGATTCCTTACAAGAAAGAGTTGAAGGAGAGTGTTCGGAAGCAGTTTCCAGTCCACGACACTCCAACCTACGAGCACATGCTGCAGCTTACAAAGTACCAGAGTGACCATGTCTACAAGGATGAGGCTAAGGAGATCATGGAGAAGGGACACAGTCAGTACCCCTTCACTCCTGAGATGTCCAGGGTGGAAGATGCAGAGAAGATTAAATCTGAGGTATCGTATCTAGTCATATCTTAGCTTTACCTGAATTCTTTTTCAAGTACATGTACAATTTATATTTATTTGGTCTTCAGTAACGATAAGCTGTACAAGTAAAGTACACAGTACAAGGAAATAGAACGGAAATACAAAGAACTTTCTTTTTCTTGCTCCAGGAAAGGTTAAAAGTATTCTGTACATGTTGTATCTTATGTGTTTCATGGTAACCTTTCTTGCTTCAGCGCTTGTACAAAGCCAACTATGAAAAGTGGAGAGCACAGTACTCCAAGAGTGTCGATGATCCTGACATTGTTCATGCCAGGGAAGTTGGAGAGCAACAAAGCGAGGTACGTAATGTTCAGAAATCTTATTTTTACGTCCATAAGTCATTTCTAATACTCTAAAGGGATATTACCACATTTCAACTTGTTGACAGGTGAATCTGTTCTATTAGGTTAATAGTGTAACATTTATTTGACACTGTTAATTGCTGACATACATGTACCTTCCTTTGCATAGTGTTAATGACACCTTCTGTTGTTTACTTTGCTGTTTCAGAACAAATACCGTGAGCTTTATAAGAAAGAACGTGGGAAGACAAATGCTCTGCCTCCTGACACTGTGGACAACGTCAGAGCAAAGGCTGCTGCCGAAATCTCCAGTGAGGTTTGTAACTGTCACAGTGACTATTGTTATCAAGATTATGCTGTGCTTGTCTCATAGCTCTATATTTTATGTTACTTGCTTATGACTGGCTTGGATTTTGGTAGAGATTACATGCTAATTGTGAACATATTGAGACAGGTGCACTGCATGTAGGAAAGAGTTTTAAGTAAACAAAGACTTTTCTCAGAATTGAGACACTTATAAAGCAATCCAACAAACAGTATAGACAAGTAATAAGATGTTGTATAACATCATACTTTTCATTTTCTTATGATATTACAATGCCTACCTGTGTACGTACATGCATAAATGTATGTCCGCTTCAATACCTCTGTTCTTTCGATTTATAGGTGAGGTATACACAGGATGCTCAGAAGGAAGCCCGCAGCAAGCCCTTCAATGCCATGATGTCACTCGCCACCCTCACTGCCAAGGTTGTGGCAGGTTTAACCAGCCAGGTAACTACAAAAAATGCAAAATACATTCACAATGCACGCAACATTTCCCCCCACACGAAAGTAAGCTGTCCCTATGACCCGACATGACCTTGGCACCATTTTTGAATCTGCTCAGCCCCGGGGCCGGCTGAAAATGGTCGTTTTAGGCAAAGTTGTGGTCGTTTGTGAACCCAATTTGGGGTGGTCGCGGTCACAGAAGACAAGACCAATGGTTGTTTTATGAACGTGGTTGCTGGACCAAGTTCGACTGTATCTCTTGGCTATACTGCACACTGTGTGTCTCTGTCCACGGTGCTGAAAGTTCTGCTACTATGGTTTTCAGGCATCCGTTACTGGAGTACTTCTCTGTGAGGCAGAAGTGCAGACTTTTTGCCTTTAACAATTGGTAGTTCACCATTCTGAGGACCATATTGGGTGGCAAATTGTGATAAGAGGATTAAGGTGCCAGTTCTTGGCTTGCGCACACAGGCAGTACACAAGAACTGTGGCTGTCTTGTATGGCACTTGCGATGGCACATGTGATCTCTTGTGGATGTTTTGTGATGGCACCACATGTACATGCTGAATGCAGTTTAACCTTTAGGACACTAGACTAGCCATTACACTAGCAAGTCTTTATTGGTTATCATTAGTTAGCAGCAGGAAAAAGGTTAATAAGTACCCTAGTTGAGCAATCGACAATGTGTTTTTTTTTATCAAAGTCCACCTCTTTCCTTGCTGATGTTGAGACTAAAAATTTGAGCCGATGTTGAGAATATGGTCTTATTTATCAAGATAGCTAACAGACTTTTCAATTTCCTTTGAATTGCTGAACAGAGGAAGTACACAGACAGGGCAGCCAGGATTCGTTCCCGCTTTAACATGCCGGCAGACACGCCCAGCATTCAGGAGGCAAAGAGGGTGCAAGAGCTTCAGAGTCAGGTAAAGTACATACATGTACATCTGCTACACTGTTAGTGTGTTAGACCTGTCTCTTTTAGATATTTCTGGGACAGGAAGGTTAGATGTGTGAACAGTGTGAACGAAAAGCAGAATTACACCAAATTGTATTTCTAGCTTTTGGAACCGGTCCTTTTCTGTTTGCCATTTCTTTCAGGAAATTAATGTAAAATTTTTTGCCTTATTTTCAGTATCTCTACACCAAGGATCGGCCGACAACCTACACTACTGTGTATGACACTCCTTACATAAAGCAGGCAGAGCACGTGGCACAGCTGCAAAGTGATGTAAGATATTCAAAAGTCTTTATATTCTCTTCCAGTTCCATCCATATTCAAAACCATGTTTTTGGTTTCCACTATGTTCATTTTGTGTAGGTCATGGAATAAAAAACTTTCTTGGCTCTGCACATATTTTGCACCAGATTCCTTATAAGAAAGAGATGAAGGAAGCTGAAGTGAAGCAGTTCCCAGTCCACGAGACCCCAGTGTACCTGTACCAACTTCAAGTGTCTGGGTACCAGAGTGACCATGTCTACAAGGATGAGGCTAAGGAGATCATGGAGAAGGGACACAGTCAGTACCCCTTCACTCCTGAGATGTCCAGGGTAGAAGAGGCTGAAAAAATTAAATCTGAGGTACGACACTCTACTACATGTGGTTTGATTGCTCATGGTTTATGTTTCCTAAATGTTTATCATTTAGTAATTTTACATTTCTTACGTGTATGTCAAATATCCTAGAGGAATTGATGATGTATTGTTTAACGTTAATGTCATTTCATTAGTTGTTGCTTTTTTTGTCTCCGACAGAAACTGTACAAGGAAGCTTTTGAGAAGCAGCGAGGCCACTTCACTGTCCGTGTGGATGACCCTCAAATCACTCATGCCAAGGAAACAACTGATCTACAGAGCGAGGTATGAGATTTTCTCATCTCTTGAAATAACTTTTTTTTATTCTTCATCACCAGGGTTTTTGTTTGAATCATAGCTTTGTTAAGGTAGTCTAGTTCATTCTACCCTTCTTTTTTTCTAAAGTGCAACTGTGTGGGGTGCATCACACCTTTGAAAGGAATTTGGTCATAAAAAACAATTTTGTTATATTTTCCAGAACAAGTACAAGGAACAGTACCTACAGGATAAGGGGAAGGGTCAGATGTTGCCTTTTGATGCCATGGAGAACATGAGAGCTAAGGAGGCCATGGACATTGCCAGCGAGGTCTGTCAAAGTTTTTGAAGTTTGTTTTCGTATTATGTCCTTTTGTCATCAGTCTGTTAGAAATACTTACAAAACAGTTATCATCAACTCAGTTAACCCTGCTACCTAACCCTTTAACACATAAAGAAGTGGTAACCAAACGGCCAGTTACGTGTGCTAAAGATACATGTGTAACTAAGATATTGACAACTCAAACTGTGGGACATTTTATTAGCCTCTGCCTATAAAGAAAAAGTCAAACGACAATAGTGAAGGTAAAACCTTATGAGACAATACACTGAAGTTCTATTTTCTCCCTGTCAATTTACACTATTACTCGTTTACTTGCAATCATCTTTTGGGCATGAATTTGCAAATAAAAATTAATATTATTTCATAAAAGTGGTCCTCAGTGATTGAAAGCCTGATTTCTTGTCATCCTCCAGGTGAAGTACGTGAAGAAAACTCGTTCTGAGATGCAGAATCAGATGTTCACGTCTGTGGACACTCTGGGGAACCTGACAGCCAAGGCCTGTATGGACATGATCAGCCTGGTCAAGTACAAACAGGAGGCTGAGAAGACCAGGCCGCAGCACAAGATGCCTGCTGACCTGCCTGAAGTCAAGTGGGCAAAAGAGGTCCAGCTGCTTCAGAGTCAGGTATAAAATCTTTAAATGCGCATACATGTCTCTACAGTAAGATGTGCAAAGGTTAGGTGTAATGGCTATACAGTTACAGATGCATGCAGCCACATGTGTGTGGAAAACAGCTACAGTAACTGAATCTTATGGAATTCAGAAAAGACACATTTGTTTCTTTCCCTGTCAATGTATGTTTGTATTGTCTTTTCCTTTTTTGTATTGTCTTATGCTAGGTGTTCTATTCATACTAGATTTTGTTATCATATTCTTTAATTCTTAAACGTTGTTCTTGTCTAACTGTGTAATATGTAATTATTTTTTGTTCGTTGAATTTTGTGATAATGTTTACAGAAAAACTACACCAAGGACAGGCCAACCAGCTACACCACTGTGTACGAAACTCCACTTATCAAGCAAGCTGAGTTGGTGGCACAACTGCAAAGTGATGTAGGTATCTTTTTCCATATAAATGATTAAATGCTTCCTTTGATTTCAGATAAAGATGACCTTATCTAAAATAGGAATCGTCAAAGTTAGTAAACTGTTGTTTTTTGCTGCCAAGGCTTATTTTTTTAACAATAGAAGGATAATCTTCAAAGTTGAAAAATTAAGCATATTTCCACTAAGATTGTTCATGGTAGTTTATTCTTTTGTCAAATCAGATCCCTTACAAGAAAGAGATGAAGGAAGCTGAAGTGAAGCAGTTCCCAGTCCATGAGACTCCCCTGTATCAGTACATGTTACAAGTGTCTGGGTACCAGAGTGACCATAACTACAAGGATGAGGCCAAACACATCATGGAGAAGGGACACAGTCAGTACCCCTTCACTCCTGAGATGTCCAGGGTAGAGGAAGCTGAGAAACTCAAATCTGAGGTAAGGCTATTTTGATAGCGGCTTTGACAAGTTCTCTGTCTTTTTATGGATCAGGTTTGTGCATTATCTTGATTTATTAAAAGGAAATATGTAATATATGCTTCTTGTTGTTTGTAGAAACTGTACAAGGAAGCTTTTGAGAAGCAGCGAGGCCACTTCACTGTCCGTGTGGACGACCCTCAAATCACTCATGCCAAGGAAACAACTGATCTGCAAAGCGAGGTATGACATATACATGTGTAGGAATTTTTTTCCTTAAAAAAACAGTTGGTGTTTTGAACATTACTAGGATGCTTTTTGTACTGCTGAATTTATAACTTTGGATAGCTTATTGTGAGTCCATATTTGTTGCTGAATTTCAAGTTAAGGCCCTGTCACATGTTAAGGCCCTGTCACATACATGTATATCTAGTTGATTGTGTATGAGTGTGTTATCCTGAATTCACTGGTGGCATTTCTTATGTCAATTTTCCAGAACAAGTACAAGGAACAGTACCTGCAGGATAAGGGGAAGGGTCAGATGTTGCCTCTTGATGCCATGGAGAACATGAGAGCTAAGGAGGCCATGGACATCGCCAGTGAGGTGTGTAGATATTTTTTTCTTATCATTGACCTTTTTCATCAGTTTCAAAGATATTGACAACTTGAAGAAGTATAAGACTTAGAAGTATAAGACTGATTACCATGTTAATTGGGAGCATGTTTTTTAACACTTCCCAGGTGAAGTATGTGAGGAAAACTCGTGCTGAGATGCAGAATCAGATGTTCACGTCTGTGGACTCCCTGGGGAACCTGACAGCCAAGGCCTGTATGGACATGATCAGCCTGGTCAAGTACAAACAGGAGGCTGAGAAGACTAGGCCGCAGCACAAGATGCCTGCTGACCTGCCTGAAGTCAAGTGGGCAAAAGAAGTCCAGCAGCTTCAGAGTCATGTAGGAACTTTGTCATGCATTCAATTTTATAGATCACTGTTATTGTTTCAGTGTTCTAGCCAGCCTGAAGTTTTTTCTGTCATCTCAATTTCATTTGATGTAACATGTAGAGTGCTGAAGGTGCTCCTACTAGGTGGGTCCAAGAGCTTCACTGGAAAATTTTTTAAATGTTGACCGTCTGAAATGCTATTTCCTACATTTTGAGGGGGGAAGTTTGTTGGTAGACTAAAGTTAGTTAATGACAACTCCCATATCTTTACACTCTGATTTTTTTATGTCAAAGATGTTGGATTGTGCCATCATGATAGGCAAAATTTATCAAATGACAAAAAGATGGAAGCTGACTAGAACACTGTTGTGTTTCCTGTAATTTCTGCTACAGTAGAAGTAGATTTTTTGTAGATCTCAATTTTATGGCAGTGTTTTTCCTACAGCACACTGTATCAACCTGGTATGATTTTCTTACAGCAAAACTACACCAAGGACAGGCCAACCAGCTACACCACTGTGTATGAGACTCCTCTTATCAAACAAGCAGAGCTGGTCGCTCAACTGCAAAGTGATGTAAGTGTTATATTGTATTGTTTGTTTGTTTGTATGTTTGTTTATCAAAACTGATAGATTTCTTGATGTCTAGATAGAAAATCGAAAATGCTGTTGAAGACCTGTTAATTTCTTTGTAAGATGATTGTCTACAAGTTGTTTTTTGTTGGGAAATGTTTGACAAGAAATGACAAAGTTAACAGAGCTACAAGAAGTTCAAACTTTAACCTGTGAAAGTGTGGTTGGTTGTAAACTAACTATAGTTTCTTGATGTTTTGTTAGATTCCTTACAAGAAAGAGATGAAGGAAGCTGAAGTAAAGCAGTTCCCAGTCCACGAGACAGAGCAGTACAAGTACATGTTACAAGTGTCTGGGTACCAGAGTGACCATAACTACAAGGATGAAGCAAAACACATCATGGAGCAGGGACACAGTCAGTACCCCTTCACTCCTGAGATGTCCAGGGTAGAGGAAGCTGAAAAAATTAAATCTGAGGTACAAATTTGGATTGCTTTGGCCCACTCCCTATGTGTTGTCGTTTTTATTTTGATGCAAAATGCAAGGCATACACAAGTAATCATTCTAAGATTTGTGATTTTTAAACTGTTTTTCTGTTAGCCCTCTGAGCAGAAATGGCTTGCCTAACTTGTGGTCTTCTGTATTTTACCCAAACAGAAACTGTACAAGGAAGCATTTGAGAAACATAGAGGCCAGTTCACGGTTCGACTGGACGACCCTCAGATTGCTCATGCCAAGGAAGTATCTGATCTCCAAAGCGAGGTACGGAATGTTGCTATTTTTCCTTGAAGCGATTGTGTTACAGAATGATGCTGCCTTCTTTGAATGTTACTTGCTTCTTACTGGGGTGATGTTAACATTTAGCACACTGAAGTATCGCATAACATTGCTTTCCGTAATTTTCCAGAACAAGTACAAGGAACAGTACCTACAGGATAAGGGGAAGGGTCAGATGTTGCCTCTTGATACCATGGAGAACATGAGAGCCAAGGAGGCCATGGACATCGCCAGTGAGGTGTGTAGACTTCCTTCCCTTTGTACTATTATTATTACAATAAATAACCCACGGCAGATACAGATACATTCTTTTGACAAAATATTATGTAAACACACAACAAAAGTTCAGCTACACTGGGGAGCTTTTGAGACGTACTCTGTCTCCTCTTCAACCCGATTACAGTTAGAGCTTCATCACTAGATAGCTTTCAACAACTGCTGCAGTTAGATGTGGAAAGGTTGCTTGTAACAGATCATTTGGTGTGATATAGGCAGCTGGTGTGTTGAGCGAAAGGCAGCTATGCCGACTATACCGATACAGATACAGAAACCGCACTCATCAAAAGGAGTAGGGGTATACCCTGCTTTAAATCAAACCATCATTCATTCTTATGCAGCTAGTGCTTTCTGTTTAAAACTGGAGTGTTATGCCTTGAGTTGGTTAACAAGTTGCACCTGACACAAACAAAACCATCTTTGGTTTTCTTGACAGTCCGGTAAAACTTGTGAACGTCAATATGGTAACAGGAAACATGATTTCTCTACTTTCCAGGTGAAGTACTACCGTCCAACCCGAGATGAGATGCAGAATCAGATGTTCACGTCTGTGGACACCCTAGGGAACCTGACAGCCAAGGCCTGTATGGACATGATCAGCCTGGTCAAGTACAAACAGGAGGCTGAGAAGACCAGGCCGCAGCACAAGATGCCTGCTGACCTGCCTGAAGTCAAGTGGGCAAAAGAAGTTCAGCAGCTTCAGAGTCACGTAAGAACTTTGTTTTTCTGAGAAGATGACTTTGTTTCAAAGTTACAGTGTTTAAGCTTTGATCCAACACAAAAAGGGAACTTACCATGAATTTTGTCTGTTGGTTGGTTGATTAGAAGTTGAAGGTACAGTTGTATCTTTACATGACTTTGTGTGAACTTGGTACAATTTTTCTTGCAGCAAAACTACACCAAGGACAGGCCAACTAACTACACCACTGTGTATGACACCCCTTTTATCAAGCAAGCTGAGCTGGTGGCTCAACTGCAAAGTGATGTAAGTGTTGAATTATTATTATTATTTTTTTTGTAGTGTTGCTTATGGTATAATGGCTTAATTTTTTTAAAGATTATGTCTCCATTTGTTTTGTTGGGAAATATTTCAGTCCATATTAACATAAGTATGTTGTGGTCATTTAACATTCAATCAGACCGTGACAAATGTAGTACAGATGTAACTGTGGCTTTTGTTTTACCCGTATCTCTCGTCAGATCCCTTACAAGAAAGAGATGAAGGAAGCTGAAGTGAAGCAGTTCCCAGTCCATGAGACTCCCCTGTATCAGTACATGTTACAAGTGTCTGGGTACCAGAGTGACCATAACTACAAGGATGAGGCAAAATACATCATGGAGAAAGGACACAGTCAGTACCCCTTCACTCCTGAGATGTCCAGGGTAGAGGAAGCTGAGAAACTCAAATCTGAGGTATAAACAAGTCTTGAAGTTAAAACTTAAGATGATTAAAAAGACATGCTTTGTGATCTATATATAGTTTATGTAGATGTTGTAGTCCAAACTGACACATTTTAAAATCCTTCAGGCAAAAACAGTAGTTTTGTGGTTCACATTTTCTAAATGGACAAACTGTTTGGTTATTTGCAACTGCATGTTTTGGACTGCTGCAGCACATTGTGGAATGCAACAGACCTGGTATTAATCATAATAATGTACAAGATGTAATCTCTAATGTTTCTCTGTTAATTTCCATGCACAGAAACTGTACAAGGAGAACTTTGAGAAGCAGAGAGGTCATTTCACTGTTCGCGTGGACGATCCAGAAATCCTTCATGCCAGGGAGACTGCAGCGCTGCAGAGTGAGGTAAGAAAGAAGTCTTTTTGTTACTTTTCTTTAAATATTGGAGCTTTCTTGCATGCAACCAAGATTTTTGTAGACTGTCTGCTACCTACTCCAATGCTGCTTTCACTGGATTGGCAGGCACAATGGATTTTGAGGAAGACCTTAATTGTGTGAACAAAAATTCAAGGCCTTTTCTTCCTAATCCTTTTTACAGAGGAAGTACAAGGAGCAGTATATCAAAGACAAGGGCAAGGGACTCCTACTGCCACTGGATGCCATGGAGAATCTGAGAGCTAAGGAGGCCATGGACATCGCTAGTGAGGTATGTTATTGCCATCATCATTGTAATTTCACACTTTGCTGTGGATTGTTGAGACCTACAGAAGACAGAATCCTGCTTATAGAGGGGCTATCATTTTTTTTATTCTTCAAATTATTCATCTGCTAGTGCACATGTCTTGGGCACTACCATTCTTTAACAGGGGGATCCACAATCCAAAATTTGAATCAAGAAGAAGAAGTCTAGAGAAGGAATGGTGATTATAATGATTTCAGTTTGATGTTGGTCTATCATTACCCTCATTACCATGTTATTTTCCCTACATTTCCAGGTGAAGTACTACCGTCCAACCCGAGATGAGATGCAGAATCAGATGTACACCTCCGTGGACTCGCTGGCTAACCTGACTGCCAAGGCCTGTACCGACATGATCAGCCAGGTATGTGTACTGTTGTTTTTAGAACCATTTTTATATGTTTATTTTTTTTTGTGTTATAACCCTCGTACAAAATTATCTAATGGACCACTAAATGTGTCCTTATGTATGCATGCATCTAGGTGGTCACTAGACAACAGGTTTGACTGTGTATCAATGGCCAGGTGGTCCTAATGTACAGGTTTAACTGTAGTTGTGGGTTTGCTTCTGCAGGTAAAATACAGGGAAGAGGCTGAGAAGATGCGTCCGCAGCACAAGATGCCTGCTGACCTGCCTGAAGTCAAGTGGGCGAAAGAAGTCCAGTAGCTCCAGAGTCAGGTACATGTAGTACTACATTGTTTTTGCCAAATGCTTTTACTTCAGGAGATACCAGTGCATTTTTGTGAATCCTGTAATCATTGTCAAATGGTATTGATGCAGGTTAGACATCCAGGTAATGAGATACACAAGAAGTTGTTACTCATTTAGTAGTGGATGCCACCCAAAACATCTGACAGTTACTTGTCAATGAGTAACAATTTCTTGTGCACTTTCAAATTGGTTTGCACAGGATTGTTACAACTGTTATAAACTTGTTCCACTTTTTTTACAGAAAAACTACACCAAGGACAGGCCAACCAGCTACACCACTGTGTATGACACTCCTCTTATCAAGCAAGCCGAGCTGACAGCCCAACTACAAAGTGATGTAAGTGCATAGATTGTTTTTTTATAATCATCCTTGTTGAGGACTGTCTGAATAAAGGATGCTGTAACTCAGATGGTTTTTGTGATGATGTCTGTATGACTGTGCAGTTGGTGTAGGCTATCAGAAAAAAAAAACCAACTGTAATGCCTTCTTCAATGTCTTTTTATATCAAAAGGTATTGTTGGAAAAGGAGGCTATCTTTTCTAGTTTGTAGGAGACTATTGATGTTGTCTCATGTTATGTTTCTTATCAGATTCCTTACAGGAAGGAAGTGAAGGAAGCTGAAGTAAAGCAGTTCCCTGTCCACGAGACAGAGCAGTACAAGTACATGTTACAAGTGTCTGGGTACCAGAGCGACCATGTCTACAAGGATGAAGCTAAAGACATCATGGAGCAGGGACACAGTCAGTACCCCTTCACTCCTGAGATGTCCAGGGTAGAGGAAGCCGAGAAACTTAAATCTGAGGTATGAGCTTAAAGCTTAACATAAAACAAAACTTTTAGTCTTCTTGTAGTCTGGGACAGCCTGTTTCTTACTAAAAGCTCAAATATTCTTTGTAGTCCTTCATACCACATGAACTTCCATGTGATAACATTTGCCTTTCTGTTGTGCAAGGAAAGCTTAGCAATTATGTTGTCTTTTGTGTAGAAGGAAGTGATTTTGCTTTGAAATTCTTTCTCAGGAAAAAAAACTGTACAAGTTATGTTGTACCAGTCCTGTTTAAGTAAGTGATCATGTTGTCTTATTTCTTTAAGAAACTGTACAAGGAAAACTTTGAGAAGATGAGGGGCCAGTTCTCGGTGCGTCTTGATCATCCTGACATCGTCCATGCTCGGGAAGTAGCTGATCTACAGAGCGAGGTACAAGCTCTTTAATATTGGTTTCTTAACCCTTGCAAAAGTTGTGAGCAACACATTTCCATGCGACCACTTCCTAAGCTTTCAACCCAGCAAAGCTTTGATCCAATGTTTGGGGGAGAATGCAGCATTGTATTTTTCATGTTTTTTAGTCATGCCTCGTATTGGGGAGTTATCTATGTATGCTAAGACTGTTTTCTACTACTATAGATAGCAGATAGGATACTATAACAATTATGGATGCCTTTACAGCGGAAATACAAGGAACAGCATCTACAAGATAAGCTCAAGAGTCATTTCTTGCCTCTTGATGCCATGGACAACACAAGAGCTAAGGAGGCCATGGAAATAGCCAGTGAGGTGTGTACATGTATAACACAACTTTCCTTCTTTAAATTTCTTTAAATGTCATAATATTGTTCTTTTTATCTGTGCACATTTGTACATGTATAACTTAAAGATGGGAAAATACTTTCATCAGGTTATTACTTAGAACATAGGATATTGGAGTTTTGTTTTACACAACCAGTAATGTCTCGTACCTTGCCTTCATCGAAATGTAAGTAAGGTGAGAGATATTAGAGATATCGAGCTAAAAGAAAACTCCAATATCCTAAATTTAAGATCTCTTGGTTAGCTATGAAGTCTGAAACCAATATTGAGGCTATTTAACAAGCATTCCCTGCATTGTCTGATGATGTCTTCATATCCTTAAATGTTGTCTCTGAATTCTGGAAATAGAGTAAATGGCTGCAACAACTGGATCTTCTTTTTATCATTTCAGGTGAAATATACTGACAAGGCGAGAAAGGAAATGCAGAATCAGATGTACCAGGCAGTCGACTCCCTGACCAACATGTCTGCTAAACTGGTTCACGATCTCGTCAGCCAGGTATGTCTTCTGGTCTATCTCCTGTTTTCTGTAATGACAGAAAGCTTACATGTAGCATCATGTCCAATATTGATAAAATTATACTAGTGTATATTAATTTTGTATGTTTTTTTTTTGTGATTGCAAGCATTTAGTAAACCACAAATGACAAAAACTCAGCTTTTTCCAATTATATTGATATAATTAAGAGTAGATTTGTATGTCTTTGTTGCTTGTGATTGCAAGCATTTTGAATGTAAAACAATACAACTCTTCCATATTCAAATCTGTATTGTGTAACAGGTAGAATACAATATACAAGTGGTGGCTGGTCATACATGTATTACACAGAGCAACTTATCACGTCTAACTCTGACCATTGTTCAAAAAGCTATGAAATTTAATGTGTATTGCATCTATTCAGGTTGCAATACACATTACGTTTCATAGCTTTTTGAACAATACACATTTAATGTGTATTGCACTCTAACTAGATACAATACACATTAAATTTCATAGCTTTTTGAACAATACACATTTAATGTGTATTGTACCCTGACTAGATACAATACACATTAAATTTCATAGCTTTTTTTAACAATACACATTTAATGTGTACAATACACATTAAATTTCATAGCTTTTGAACAATACACATTTGATGTGTATTGCACCCTGACTAGATACAATACACATTAAAATCCATGGCCTTTTTAACAATACACATTTGATGTGTATTGCACCCTGACTAGATACAATACACATTAAATCTCTTAAACTAGCTTTTTGAGCAATGTGTATTGTATCTAGTCATGATCAAGATACTCTTCCATACCCGGTCACAATGTCTACTCTAACATACAACGTATAGGAAAGGAATTGTTTTAAACCTCAGTCTTCAATTCATATCTCTGATGACTGATGATTTCTCTGTTGTGGCTCTTGTGACTGCAGGTCAAGTACAAACAGGAGGCTGAGAAGACCAGGCCACAGCACAAGATGCCTGCTGACCTGCCTGAAGTCAAGTGGGCAAAAGAAGTCCAACAGCTTCAGAGTCAGGTAATGATCAACTTTATTATTATTTCATACATTACGTACTAGATGAATGTTAGACATCCAGGTAATGAGATACACACTAGTCACAGGTAAAATGTTACTCAAGCAACTGGGTGGATTTTGAAAACTATCAGACATTTCAAGTAGCATCCACTACTAGTCACTGATGAAAAGTAGTGGAGACTGCATGTACATTTGTACTTGAAACATCTGACAGTTTTCAAAATCTATCTAGTTGCTTGAGTAACAATTTCCTTGTGTATTTCATACATTCCTTGAAAATCACAATCATAGTATGTGCATTGTCCTTTCTCTTGACTTGAACTGAAGTTGTTTTCTGGATTTTCTAAAAATCACATCACACTCAGGGTTTTTCCTACAACACACTGTGTAAACCTTACCCTTACACTGTTATTTATATAAACTTGTTGCTTACAGAAAAACTATACCAAGGACCGCCCGACTAACTACACTCCAGTGTACGACACCCCTGCAATCAAACAGGCTGAGGAGGCCGCATTGATGCAGAGTGATGTAAGTTGAACTTCGTGTCATTCATTCCTATAGCATTAAATGGAAAAACAAATTGCTGTTTGAATGTGTCAGTTGTTTGCTCACTCCTTTACTTCCTTCCTTCCTTTCCTTCCTTTTTTCCTTCTTTCCTCCCTTCCACCTATCCTTCTATCCCTACTTCTTTCCTCTCTCTCTCCCTCCCTCACTCCTTCACTCACTCCCTCTCTTTCTTCTTCCTTGCTAATTCTAAACATGATCTGTAACTTTGTGTTTTTCTACCAGATTCCCTACAAGAAGGAGGTAAAAGAAGCTGAGGTTAAGCAGTTCCCTGTCCACGAGACGTCACAATATGAGTTCATGCTGCAAGTCTCACACTACCAGAGTGACCATGCCTATAAGGATGAGGCAAAATACATCATGGAGAAGGGCCACAGTCAGTACCCCTTCACTCCTGAGATGTCCAGGGTGGAAGAGTCTGAGAAACTGAAATCAGAGGTAGGATGACTTCATGTTTTCAAATCATAATGAAAACACTGATCATAGTATCAATAGTCTGGGTGCCAGACTGTTCCAGGGCCTACACAGGCCAGTTCCTCAGCTCCAGGGCCAACATGCCACCAAGGAAATTATACCATAGCCCCCTCAGTTAGGCCTTGATCCACTGGCTAACTCTGGGTGTTATGGGTCAAGGCTAACTATCAATCACTACAAGACAATCCTTTGTAACTCATTGGATAATTACAATGTACTTGATGTTGATCTGTAATGCATCCATTTTGTCTATGATGAATTGAAAAATAACTCTTTCAACTGTATTTTTAATCTGATTTCAGAAACTTTACAAGGAGAACTTTGAGAAGCAGCGTGGGCATTACTCCGTCCGAGTGGACGACCCACAGATCCTACATGCAAAGGAGGCTGACATTCTTCAGAGTGAGGTAACTATCAGTTTTGAATGTTGTATTTTGCTACGCAGTTTCATGACTTGTGGTTTGATTTTTATGAATGTACATGTCGTGTTATGTGCTTTGTGATCAATATTGTGATTTTAAGAATCCAGGAAGAATAGATTTAGGTTTTGAAGTCTAATCTAATGGATATCTAATAAAACATCAAATGTCATACTGACTTCTAATGCCAGGTCATTTGCAGCACACTTATAATTATATAGAGTTTTCTACTGGGTAGAGTGTTCACCCTGTATGAGCGCACATGTATGGTAAAGAAGTTTAAGAGGTTCATGGTTGACACTGTTATTATTTCTGCCACAGAACAAGTATCGTGAGCAGTACTTGAAGGAGAAAGGCCAGGGTCTTATTCTACCGCTGGACTCCATGGACAACCAGCGGGCTAAAGAGGTTTCCGAGCTGGTTAGTGAGGTGGGTACTGTTAGCCCTTCTTCCACTGCTAAATCTGTAGATCGTAAATTGAGATAATTGAGTCGTAAACAAGCTATTTAAATAAGCAGTAGTCGAAACAAATGTATTAAAGAGGAATAAGAATCAAACATTGTTTTGAATCTTAGCCTGTTGTTACATTGATGAAGGTTAGACATCCAGGACTTGGTAAACAATATCCATAGGCAATTCAAACTTTACTACTGGATAAATTATTTCCGGACGTTTGAGTGAAATCAACATCACTCTTCTTCCTTGAAACTAAGATAAACTGAGAATATTTGGTGAACACTTATCACGTGTTCAACTAGAAAAACCAGTTGAACATGACTCGTGTCACTGTTATGTAAATGAGGATAAAATAGTTGCTATTGTTTTGTAGAGTTTGAATTGTCTTTGAATAAGTCTGTTGTTGTTTTTGCTAGAAATGTTTGAATTGGAGATGAATGAAAAAGAATTTCGTCCTTGTGCAGGTGAAGTACGCTCAGGATGCTCGAAGGGAAGCACAGGAGAAGATGTACAACACTGTGGACTCCCTGACCAGTATGACTGCTCAGGTGGTCTCACAGCTCACCAGTCAGGTACTTATCTCATCTCTCTTCCATCCCATAGTCTGATTATTTGACCGTTGGTCGGACAACCAGTTTTCTCCACCCTTCTTGTTTTTTTGTTTTTTTTTGTTAACATTCCACTTATTGTCATGCCTCATGGTCCATTCTTTGATGTTATTTTCCCACTCAAAGTGAGTGAGTGATTTTTTCTTACTCCCTGGACTGTTCCTTGCATGATGGTTTTGGCTAGTTCGGATGACAGTGACATTTCAGTTTCTGTTTTTTTTACTGTGGTTTAGAGTTCTTTGTATGGACCTAAGCTTCGTACTTTGTACTGAGGATATTATGTTAAACTTTAGTACCTATTCTCCAGTCAGTTACAGAGGTATACTATTTTTACAACAGGTGAAGTACAAAGAGCAGGCAGACAAGGAGAGGTGTCAGCACAAGGTTCCTGCCGACACACCTGATATCACCTGGGCTAAGGAAGTACAGCATCTACAGAGCCAGGTGTGTGGGAGGAGGCCTCAATGTCTTACCATATAAAAAGTGCACATGAGGTATTTTAAGAGGGAAAATCTCACTCACTCTGACTCATGTCTGCATGTTCCGAGGAGGTGGGGCCCGGCAAACAGTCCTCCAGGCACTTCTGTGCTGCTTCCCAGGCTGTAGTTACAGCCTACGCAGACATTTGGCATCAAAGGTGTCAAAGGAAAATCACTCAATGTAATTGAGATGGTTCTGTCTCAGTCTCTGTCTCTTATTGCTTGCATATATACAGGATACAGGTACTAGTATATTGACCCCATAACCTATAGAGAATTGGAGGCAGAATGGCTGTTTCAGTTAAAAACTTACATGTTGTACACATATTTATTGATGTTTTACAGAAAAGCTACACCAAGGACAGGCCAACCAACTACATCCCTGTGTACGACTCTCCTTACATCAAGCAGGCAGAGGAAGCCAGCAAACTGCAGAGCTCGGTATGTAGTGTTGCTTATTCATTGTCAGGGGTTTTCAATGTGCCTTTGGGCAAAAACCCAGACATGAGCTATCAACATCAAATGAACTATATAACTATAATATTAACTATATAAGAAACAATAAAAGTCTATGCAGATTGCAAATTTTTTAAAAGTACTAACTCTTCAGAATTTTGTAAAAAGCTTAACAAATCTGATAAAAATTGAATTTTGCTAAGGATTTGAGTCATATAGCCATGTGGACATTACAAGGTGTCAGAACGGACTACCTGAAAACTAAAAGCACTTCTTGTTTTTGACTTTTGACACAAAGCTGGAAGGATTGCAAAGCATTATTAGAATCTTATCATTTTCATCATGGGCTCTACCATCCCCTAAAGGGGGAGAATTATGCCATCTCTGATCGTCTTGTTCTTTGTTTGAAAAAAAAACCCAGCTCCAGTACAGTGACCGCGATGCTGGCACGCTACAATCCGAGTTCCGAGGTCAGCGCTACACTCCGCTGGAAACTCTGGAGAGGAAACACACCGAGGAAATCAGGAACATCGTCAGCGATGTGGTCTACAAGGATGAGGCTAAGGAGATTATGCAGAAGGGCCACAGTCAGTACCCCTTCACTCCTGAGATGTCCAGGGTAGAGGAAGCTGAGAAACTCAAATCACATGTAAGTTGTTCTTTCTTTCAGTAAACAATTAGTTGTTAGATTGCATCCACTATTGGGTATTTTGGGGCAACAACTTAGGGGTGGAGCCAAGTAAAATATGTGATAAAGTTGGGAATATTTTTCATTTCTTTTTGTAAATGTAGGATATCACACATGCACATAATGTATCTGCTTCTCTGAGTTTGAGTTGCAATATGTTTTTTTTTTGTTGGTGTAAGCAGGACCATACAATGTAGAATGTGGTCTCATTGCTCCCAACCTAGAGTGAAAAGAAGTACTGAATTTGTGAATCTTTAAAATATAAAAATAGACTTAATATCTTCTTTACAGCATCTGTACCAGGAGAACTACAAGAAATACCTGAAAAACTTCACCATCCGTGCAGACTACCCCGACATTGTGTTTGCCAAGGAGACTTCTGACCTGCAGAGCGAGGTAGGAACATTGGAACATTACTCAGAACATGAGAACTTTAGAACATTATTTAGAGCATTAGAACATTACTCAAAACATGAGAACTTAAGAACATTATTTAGAACATTAGAACATTCTACTCAGAACACAAGAGATTTTTTAAATTAGAGCATTATGTAGAAAATTAGAACATTGCTTAGAGCATGAGAACTTCAGAACATTGTGAAGAACATAGACCATTATGAGGACTATAGAACATTATTTCTTTGTCCTTGCTTACAGAACAAGTATCGTGAGCAGTACAACAAGGAGAGGGGTCAAGGTCGTATGTTGCCCCTGGATACCATGGACAACCTCCACGCCAAGGAGGCAGTAGCACTGGCCAGTGAGGTACGTGTTGTGAAATTTCATTATCTATTGTGTAGAACATGGTGTTTGGTTCTGTTTCCCGACTGACCCTAGAAAAAACTGCAGATCCTAGCCTTCTTTTGTGTGGACCCCTGCTCCATGATCTGACACAAACGTTGTACATCGGTTTTCCAACATTGCCATTGAAAATATGTGTCCTTATGCATGCGAATTTTACTTTGTTAATCTGAATTGATATTGCCAGAGATCGCCAAAGTCTAATTAAAAAAAGAATTCCAATGTACCGACCCCAATTTTTTCAAGACTGAAACAGGAAACACAACATTTTTTTCTAGGCCCTCCTACTTCAATTAACCAGTACCAGTATCAGTATCCTTCCTTCGTTCCTTCCATCCACCTATCCACCTTCATCCATCCATCCTTCCTTCCATGAGTCATTTGTTCCTTCCTTCATTCTCCTGCAGGTTAAGTACACACAAGACGCCCGTAAGGAGGCCCAGGAGAAGATGTACACACCTGTGAACTCCCTGACCCTCATGACTGCCAGGATGGTGTCTGACCTCACCAGCCACGCTAAGTACAGAGAACAGGTCCAGTCTACTCTGGCACAGCACAAGATGCCGCACGACATGCCTGAAGTCCTCTGGGCAAAGGAAGTGGGGAAACTGCAGAGCCAGGTACGACGTTGTTACAGTATTATCTTGTTAATTGGTGAACTTTTCTGGTTTCTAAGCAGTCTAGTTGAAAAAGAAAAGACATTTATTTTATTAACTTAGGTAGACTAAAGATGAACCAGGCCAATATTAACAAGAAAGACAAAATACTAGGACAATTTGATTAATATGTTCAAGCCTTATTAGTTTATTTATGAAATACTCAAAAAGGCCATAGGTCATGAGGGAAGAGGTAACAGAAAAACAGGTCACAAACTTGATGCACACACTCCTAGTAAAAAAGGCTGAGGGGCAACTTATGATGTAACTTTGGTAGAAAACATTGTACTAAACTTAAATACATGTAGGCTCCATGGCTTGTTATTTTAGTTCTTCATTGTGTAATTTCAGATTGAATATGCCAAAGGAAAATGCAACGAGTACACTCCAGTGTTTGACACCCCGGCTATACGGCAAGCAGACGAGGCATCCAGACTGCAAAGTGATGTAAGTAAAAAAAAACTTTATTTTAACCATGCTGTCTTAGAAATGTGAAGATTTTGCCTACTCATGTAGTACATGAATAGCTGTTTTGTAATCACTGCAAATAAAAACACAAGTAGAATTGTAATGACGATAATTGTAAAACTTCTTTTCCAGATACCATACAAGTATGAAGTCAAGAATCTTATAGGAAAACAGTTCCCCGTCCACGAGACAGAGCAGTACAAGTACATGTTACAAGTGTCTGCGTACCAGAGTGACCACGCCTACAAGGATGAGGCTAAAGACATCATGGAGCAGGGACACAGTCAGTACCCCTTCACTCCTGAGATGTCCAGGGTAGAGGAAGCTGAGAAACTCAAATCTGAGGTAAAAGATGAACTACATGTTTTTAAAAACTTAAAATGACATATATAGCAACTGTTTGAATTTTCAATTGTAATCAATGCATTGTAAAATTAGTGTAATAAGTCACTCTGTAGCACTTATTTCACTGGTACTTTTCAGTATAAAATTCTTGCGTGCATAGAATGTTGAATTGTCTTTCCACCAAATAAATGTTAGCACATTGTATGTACCCAAACAAAGGTTTGTGGAAACAATATCCCAAATTGCCTCTCCTACCTGCAAACAAATCAAAGTATTACCATTGAAAGGACTACAAATGATTTGGAACACACCATCTTGTGACTGTCTTTGGTCATGATAGGGATTTATAAGAAGAGAAATAAGATAATGATATATAGTGTGGTCTATTGGGAACATTTTGCTTACTGGTGATTTTTACATTTCTAGCATCTGTACAAGGAGAACTATGAGAAGTGGAAGCAGAAATACACCAGTCATCCCAACCAGCTGGGCTTTGTGACTGCTAAAGAGATTGCAGAGGTTCAGAGTGAGGTATGACAGTTTTTTCTGCTTCTTATGAAAATTCCAATATTTTCCTGCCTCATATATTGTTTGTGTGAAGAGAAAGGCCTGGAAAGCTGGAGCAAAAGAACTGAATGCACCAGTAGACTTGTCATGCTCTGCACGTTGAGTGGTTGTCAGCGCATGTGTTACTCGAAAACATATTTTAAATGACCCTGCTTTTTTGATTATTGATGAAAATTTGAAAGAAGTAAAGAGGTATTTTTTGCTGCACATCTAATGGGCTTTACATGTGAAAAAGCAACTTTTTAAGTTGGAATTCCTTTGGTTGCGCACAGTTGTAATAACACGTCCATTTCAGCACCAAGGACAGAGCATTGAGTAAACATGTTTTCAGCCACAAAATCGGTTTTAAAAAAAACAACTGCATGTATGGATGCAATATTTTTTCACAGATCTCTCTTTGTCTTGTCCAGCCATTTTGTTAAATCGATTCAATTTCTGGGCTTAATGGTCTGAAATTGGGCAGGTAGGTAGTTAGCAAATAACTCTTGGCTTTTTTATAGGGTTCTTTAAAATGGATTAATCACTTTTTTCTGTGTTGATGTTTCAGTCCAAATACCGTGAGAAGTATGTGAAGGACATGGGGACCGGGTACTTCGTGCCTGCAGACAACATTGTTGCTGTACGGGTGAAGGAGGCCACAGAACTGGCCAGCGAGGTGGGTGTTGCATCCAGAACCATGCTTTATCCAGAACTGTGCTTTATCCAAAAGCATGCTTTATCCAGGACTTTGCTTAGGAATGTTTCTGGATAGTCCATGCACTCTATCCAGAATCACCTGTTAACCATATGATGACCAGTATAGATGTCAAAACTCATTTGGACCTTTTTTTTGTGTCCGATGTACATAGTAATTTTTAACATTTTGTCTTTCATGTAACTGCCTTGTGCCCTCCTCTTAGTATAATATAGCAAGAGATAAAGGGCTGACCTTGGCTTTATGCGAGAAACCTTTCATCTTGTATATACTATGTAATAAAGATGACTCCTTGCCTTGAGAAGGAATATGATCTTATGTAAGTATTTTATCTGAAATACGCTTACCAGATTGAAATGTACATGATCCTCTAGGTTAAATACTCCAAGGATGCCCTGAAAGAAGCTCAGAGTAAGAAGTTTGATGCAGCTGGAGATTCAGTGGTCGTCAAGACGGCTCAGGAAGTCTCAGAGCTGACCAGTGAGGTAGGAAAATGTGTCTTCTGTTTACACAGAAAAGGGGTGGGGGATATCCCTTTGCTAGTGTTAGAATTTTAAGTGAAGCTCTGTAAAAGAAAATCATTTTCTGACAGACGGTAGCCTACCAAGGTACATATGTGTATAAGATTATGCATAACTTATATCATTCATATTGTTAGATCTTTGTTGGTGCATTTTCAGTTTTCCTTGAAAGTAGTCTCTGATATGATGCATAGTAGTGTTCTACAATTTTGTTCACATTGAAGCACCAGTTTAAGTGTTGTTGGCGTGAAAGATGAAATGAGAATCTGACCATCCTTGGCCAATTATAGTGTTGGTGGAGTGAAAAATAGATTGCAGAACTGACCAATCCCTGACCTCTTCTCAGGTCAAGTACAAGGAGCAGGCAGAGAAGACCAAGTCCCAGCACAAAGTACCTGTAGATGCACCTGACTTTATTTGGGCCAAGGAAGTGGGAGAACTGCAGAACCAGGTGAAGTGCCTCTAGCGATACTTTGCTGAACTGCATAACACCTCACATAGATGTATGCCATGGTGAAGAATCCAGTAATATCATGTACATGGCTGCTGGTTAGGATGGGACTTGTTAGACTCTACAATGTTCAGCCATGGTTGTGAAAATGATAGCTAGAAAGTTCATATGTGTTGGTAGAAGTCAGTCTGAAACTGGTTTGAGTAATTTCCAAGACAAAAAAAATTATACTCACCCAAATGTTTGACTGTTCAATTTTCCAGTCTTTGTCAAGAAATGATGTTTTTTTCTGAGTCTGAGTCTAGTGTGATATCTGTCTTGAAGGGTAGAGATGGACACATAATTTCTTTTGCAAAGAGGTTTTAATCTTTGAAAATCTTCTTTTACAGCGCTTGTATGCAAAAGACAAGTCGGACAAGTATGTTCCTGTTTTGGACACTCCAGTCAACCTTCATGCAAAGGAGGCTGGCACTCTACAGAGCCATGTAAGTCAGATTTTCCTTTAGTCTTGTGTGTGCTTTGCCTTCATGGTAAGTCAAGAAGAAAATGACATACCTGTTTGGGTACAAGAATCTACTAGACACATAAAAGAAATTGACTCTTTCCTTCATCTCTCCAAACACGGCTCCAATAACAGCAAGTTGTGCTGGTACTTTTACTGTATAATAGGTACATGCACTGCTTAGAACTGTGAATTGTGAACAGTAATACTTACTCTTTCATTCACCCCAAACACAGCTCCCCTACAGTAACCGCAACGCTGGCACGCTATTCTCTGAGTACAGAGGACAGCGTTACACACCACTGGTCACCCTGGAGAAGAAACATACAGATGAGGTACAGAGCATGATCAGTGATGTCATCTACAAGGATGAGGCTAAGGAGATCATGCAGAAGGGACACAGTCAGTACCCCTTCACTCCTGAGATGTCCAGGGTAGAGGAAGCTGAGAAACTCAAATCTGAGGTAAATGATGTACAACATCTATGAACTCAACATAATTGTAAGCAACTGTTCAAACTTTGAGATCAAAATGTTATTATATGACAAAAGTACTGTTTGTTTTTGTATTGTTCTGGCACTAGAATCTGTACAAGGCCAACTATGAGAAGCACAAACAGGTGTACACACAAACCCCCAACACAGCCCACATCACAGCGTGTAAGGAGGCTGCAGAGTTACAGAGTGAGGTGAGGTGACAGTTATTATGAATGGTTTATTATTTGAATTTAATTTCTTGGGTTTTAGATTAATATGTATGTAAGATTAATATCTAGGGCTCAAAAATTACTAAGTGCATGTGCACCTTGGTGCACCCAAAATTGGAGCTGTGCACCCAATTTTTTTCTATGTGTGCACCAGTGCAACCATATATTTTCATAGGATTACATATGTAAAGGTTTCTAAATGTATACTAGTATATACAGCATATTCTTGATGTCTAAATGTCAGAAAAACATTATTTCATATGGTGAACCCCCAAAATTTGGGGCTGGGTACCAGTGCACCAGTGCACAGTATTCCGAAAAGTGAATCATGAAAACACTGGTAAAAGATTCCTTACACAGATATTTTTCCTCCCAGATGAAGTACAGAGAACAGTATGAGAAGGGGAAAGGTCATGGCTATTTCCTCCCACCAGACTCGATGGAAAATGTCAGGGCAAAGGAGGCCAGTCAGCTGGCTAGTCAGGTAGGTAGAATGTACTAATGGTTTATAATGTATGAAGTCTTCACTCTAGCTTTCTGTGGCTCTAACCTGTACATGTACGTAGGTCTCTAAAAGTCATCAATTTAGTAACCTTCTTTCATGTTGTAGGTGAATGTTTAAACTTTTCTTAAAGTTGATATACATGTACAGTAATAGTTATGATTGTAGTCTTATATGGGACAGGGTTGTCAGTCCTATTCTACCATGGAAGGCTTAAGCCACAGTTGGACATACAATTTTATAAAGGTGGGGATGTTGTTGGTCTGGGGGTGTTGTCGCTCTTTTCTGTCTTCCTATCTCTAGTTTCTACAATGTAACTTCCATAAATATACTCAGTAATATTTACATTGTAATAATTGACATTTTGGTTTGAACCTCCCAGATCCTGTACACCCACGATGCTCAGAAGGAAGCACAGACCAAACCCTACAACCCCGTGTCTTCCCTCACACTCCTGACTGCCCAGGCCGTCTCAGACCTCACCAGCGAGGTGAAGTATTCAGAGGAGGCAGAGAAAACCAAGTCGCAGCACAAGATGCCTCCAGATGCACCGGAGATACAGAGGGCCAAGGAAGTTGGCCAGCTACAGAGCCAGGTAGGTTTGGATTTTAAAATAAAACTTATGGTTGACAGTTTTTGGCACATTGATAACACCAAATCTCATCAGTGTTTGGAGTCCGACACAGTATCAACGATTTAGCCAAAAGCCTGGTAGGCATCACTCCACCACTTTATTGCTCTGTTTCAAATCCCAGAACCATTGTCAGAATTAGCCTACTGCTGCCCACCCCTGTGTCAGGGACCCCTGCAGCACCATAGTCAAAGACTACTAACTACTATTGTCAGTTGACAATTAATTTGATGTGACCTCTACCCCCTCCAGGTTCAGTACACCAAGGACAAGACTAACCAGTACACCGCTGTGCTGGACACACCCAGTAATCGTCATGCAGTGGAGGCCACCAGACTCACCAGCGAGGTAACTACAGGGTTTCACTACCATACTAAGTCGTAATGTTTTCAAAAGTTGGCACATTTCCTTGAATCTTCTACTGCTTGCTTCAATCTGAGTCATTGATTTATGACATAGATTTATGTGATGCTGTTATTAACCAGCACAATGCTAACTATGTGATCAGCTCGACTGAGTGAGCAAGCCATATTATAATGTATTATTATTATCCTTGCAATCAAAAAGGCCTGTCCTTGGTACTGAACACCTTCCTCACAGTCAAACATGCCTGTCCTTGGTGCTGAACACCTTCCTCACAGTCAAACATGCCTGTCCTTGGTGCTGAACCTTTACACCTTCCTCACAGTTTTTTTGTTTCAGGAATGTGAGACATAACAAGTTAGGATGAATAAAGTTTGTCATCTCTGTGAGTGTAACAGATGAAAGAGAAAAAGATGAAATTAATTTCATACCATATAAATTTCCCATGTTTCGCAGCTTCCTTACAAAGAAGAAGCTGAAGACATGATCAGGAACAAGGCGTTTGCAGCACAGGACACCCCGGTCATGGATCGCGTGAAGAAAGTGACGGACCTTCAGAGCGACGTGGTGTACAAGGCTGACGCTAAACACATCATGTCGCTGGGCCACAGCCAGTACCCCTGGACCCCTGACATGGCCAGGGTACAGGAGGCAGAGACCATCAAGTCTGAGGTGAGATGGAACTCTGGGTAGTCATGTAGTACACCGGTTTACAAGGTAAAAGTTCTGAAGACATATTAATAAATGAAGATGTACCTGTAGCTGGTGTGTTACGCGGAAGGGCGGTCATACTCGCTAGACACAGAATACAGATACAGATACAGACAGATTACAGTCAAACCGCTAGTAGTCAGCTCCCATGCAAAAGGACCATTTGGCCATTATACTCTAGTCAACCTGAATCATACTAAAAGTTTAACTTTTGTTCGACCTTTTAACTTTTCTTCAATTTATAATCAAATGGATGTTTGTTGACACAGCGCCTCTACACCAGGGATTCCAAGGATCAGAAGCAGAAGTTCACCATCCTCCCAGAAACTCCTGAGGTCGCCTTAGCAAAGGAAGTGGCTAAACTCCAAAGCGAGGTATGCAAACTGCAATTTTTGCTTTTTAATAAGAAAATTTGCTGTCTATACTTATAGCTATTGTCAGAAGCTTAAATCTTTGTGTTTTAGTGTTGAGTGCATGTTGCAGCTTTTCCTTCCACCCTGACTCACAGAAACAATGTGACAGAATGATGTTTTAGTTTAGAGTTCATGTTGTTGTTGTAGAAAGACATGTACATATACATGTATGTTTAGTTACAGTAATGGTGTGACTGAACAATGTTTTAGTGTTGAGTTCATGTTGTAGTTTTTCCTTCTACCCGACACATAGAAACAGTACAAGGAGGAGTACCAGAAGGAGAGAGGCAAGGGTCTCCACCTTCCCCCCGACGCTGTGGACAACCTGCGGGCCAAGGAAGCCAACCTGTTAGCCAGTCAGGTCTGTCTTAGTACATACCCACCTTTCAACTTCACTAATCAGATCTTCTCAATGCATCTCTTCTGGTACTGGTACAAAAGGTTTATGTACAAATCCGGAAGAGTTTGATTATGTTCTTCTGAACCTTCTCAATAACGATAGAAACAGTACTGTAATAAACTTGACAGAATCTTAAACAAATCAAACAGCCTGAGGACAAAACTAGGCAGTCCTTTATCTTTTTCAAACAAAACAGAACCATATGGATTGTTTATTGTTGACTTCCTCGTGTCCTACAATACTCAAGCTTACCCCGAAAGATCTGTCCAGTATTACATGTAGTTATGCTCATTGTAGATGTCACTTTGGTCACCTCTGTGTTGCATGAGGCCACTAGAGTAGTGTAAATTCACCCAGTACCAGTACGTATGGAGCCCTACATGTACCTGAAAGTTACAGCAAGTGTTGATTTTTACCACCTGTGCAGATCAAATATGCTGAGGAGGCTCGCAAATCCGCCGAGGGTAAGAAGTTTGATGCTGTGGCCGAGACGCCGGTGTTCAAGACAGCCATAGAGGCAGCCGAGTACGCCAGCGAGGTATCATGGGCGGAATGTCGAGCTATGTTCTGTCTTCTTCGTGGGTGGAATGTGGAGCCGTCCTCTGTCTTCCCATGAGGTTTTGTCCTTTTGTGCGACAAGTGGTCTTACTGTATTCATAGTATGTGGTACGTTATGTCTTGTTTAATGTTCCATTCAAATGTAGACTAAGTACATGTTTTGTAGCTATTGTATTTGCATATACAAGTACCAAAGCCTGCTGTTAGATGTATTTGAAAAAAAAACTTAAATACAAAACATCAGTTTGTCCTCCATTGTGTGTACAGTTACTGTAGATGTGATAATTCTGTTATGTCATACATGTACATGTAAGTGTCATTAGTTATGTGTAAGAATTTATGTAATATGTATTGAATAGTCTAAGTGTGATTGTGGTAGGTGATTGTATTGTGTTTGTTTTTATGCATGCTTTCATTGTTTTGTATAAGTCTCCTTGGACATGTTTTCCTTTCTTGTAATAAAACTGTTTCTTGTCCTGTCTCTGTCTCCCATTATTTTCCGTCTTCATTCATTCCTGCCTTTGCTACATTCTGCATTCATTTCTGCCACATGTTGACACTCCACTGCCACATGCCACTTGCTACATTCTCCTCCTCACATCGCCACACCTGCAGCAATCTTAACTCCTTCTTTTTCTCTCAGCAGTTCTTTTCTCAGTTCACTTGGCAGCTGCTGGATTCTGGAACATCTCTTTTTGTGTGACTGTACCTCATTACTTTCTTTCTAACTGCATGACACAATCTTCATATATTTTGCTATAATATAATTGTTTTACCATGCTCTGTTGTTGACATGTTCTTGTGCAACATTATGAAGCTCTATCATCTCATTACCAGTCAATTCTCCAAATGCATTCTTATATTGCTTGATAATGTCTGTTTTCTTGCTGTTGAAAATTTCTTCTGACTGGATATGTTCTTTTCTATCATTTTCTCTACTTCGTATCATGATCTATGTTCTACAAGTTTCTTACATTATTCGTCTTAAAACTTTCTACAACCTATCCTTAACTCCAGTATATTGTGAGGCTAGATGTATCTTCTTGTTGTATGTGTTGTTGATGTTGTATGTGAGCCTTGTCTGTACCTTGTTTTGTCTCACGTTTGTTGTTTCCGTCCGCTGCTGCTATGATTACATCAGACAAACTACGTGAAGGATTATGAGAAGGGGAAGACCAAATACAACATTACCGCGGACACTCCCCTCATGAAGACCGCCAGACAGTCTTCAAATCTGGCAAGTGAGGTACGCATCATTTTAAAAACAGTCTTATTATGATAGAAGTTTAGAAATTTAGAAATTTCTGCAGGGATTTAGGTTTTCCCTGCAGAAAGAAGGTTTTCTTGTGGGGAAGGGACAAATATTTCACCCAATCTACTAGTACTTAATAAAATAGTTGCTTCTGGAAATGTATGAAATATCATTTCAGGGAGTTTGAAATTCAGATGTCAGAATTTTATGGTCTTACCAGCTTAGTACCTCTAGCTCTATGCCTAGAAGTGGCCTTGCATTGAGCGACACCGTTAAAAAAAAGAAGAAAAAAAAGAAACATAACATGCCTAAATGTGGACTTTTTTGCTTCCAGTTCAAGTACCAGCAGCAGGTCAAAGGGGCCAAGTTTGAGTCAATCTGTGACGGCATTCGCGAGGTGCATTGCGCTACTGCCAGCAAGCTGCAGAGTGACGTAAGTATTGCACATTATATTACCGGTAGTTTAAAAAGCACTGTTACACAGTAATAAACAGAAATTGTGCAAGGAGGGCCTAAAAGCCAGATACACATTTGTGGGAAACGGTATGTACAATGCGGTTCCAAACGTACAGGAGTATAATACAATGTCACAATTGTTGTCCTGTACATTTGGGACTGCATTGTAGATACCGTTACCTGCAGCTGTAACCATGTAGATATGTAAATACTTTGCATTTCAGAACCCATCTAGAGCAGCGACACCTATGCTGTTTACTTGGTTGTGTAGAAAGGGTCTCTTTGTGTACTTACTTACCAATCTGATTAAACTATTCACGTATGTGTCACTGTTATGCTTCCCCTGACAGATTGAGTACAAACAGCCACTTGGGAGGTACACCGTGATCACCGACACTCCGGAGATGAGGAAGATCGCCTCTCTCCAGGAGATCATCAGCGATATCTTCTACAAGGAGGAGGCCAAGGAAATCATCGAAAGATGCTGCAGCCAGGCCCCCATTTACTTGGAGATGGATCGCATGGCCAGGCTGCAGGACCTGCTCAACATGGTAGGGGGCGTCGTTTTCTTGCATTCTTATGGTAGCAGAACACAGTTTTCGCCCTATGGGGATTTCTATAGTTAAGGACCCCAAGATGACTCACTTCGACGCGGTAAGAATTATAGCAGGGTGCATTTCACAAAATACGAAAATCGAATATGTTTCAGAAGAAGGTACAAACTACAAGATATCTAGAAACGAACAAATCCTGTCGGCGTATCTGCTCGTAACGTACACTTTGAAATCGCCTCCTACAGACGTGACCTGAACTGCAGCCGACTCACCCGGAAAGCCAGTTGCGCAATACGGCGCATTTATACACGAACTGCAAAACCTTCACAATTCAAATCACACAGTCTCAAACCCGATACATTCCTACACCACACAGCTCAATCTGGCTGACGCTCTTATCAGTCTTTCTACCCAGCCTTCAAGAATATTCGCTGCACTACTTTCTATACCCGCGTCATCGTCCCCGGGGGTCGCCCATTAATACTGTGACCTGCTACCTTGAATACACGTGTCAGTAAAGAATGCCTCTTCATCTGTCTATCCATTCATAGATCTATCTACCTTCAATCAATTCATCCATCCTCAGTCATACATGAGAGCTTACCTTTTTTGTAAGGCATAAACAGGCCTTTTACATTGTAAGTCTCTGTAATCCTTTCTTCCTTTCCTTCCTTCCTTCCTTAGTACTGTAACTGTAACTTGTAAGATAATGGTGTTTGTTTCCTCCCAGACTCAGTACCGTGAGAAGTGGGAGATGGACAAGAAGAAGTACACCGTCCTCACCGACTCACCGGAGCTCATCCGAGTTGTGGAGACTGGCAAGCAGCAGAGTGATGTGAGCCTTAAAGCTGCTTCTCCTCTTTAAGATGTTTTGATATCTTCCAGAACACAACTTTTAAAAACTACAGATAGAATGTCATCCTTAAATACCTAAACATGACTTTTAACAGTACGTTCTGTAAAAGTGCTATGCACGTTACGTTTGGGATTTCTCACAGGCGCAGTACGTTCTGCAGACATGTTGGTTGCTCTAATTATAATCTATAAGACTTAGTCCAGGTGAGAAATTTGGACATAGTGTTTTCATGAATGACTCTTGTTTTTAATCCTCAGTACACTGTGATGCTATGCACATTATCTTCCAGACTCTCATAGGTGTAGTATAGACATGCTGGTTGCTGTCACTACAATCTGTAAGTCCAGGTGAGACAGTTGGAAGTACATGTAGTGTTTTCACGAATGATTGTTGTTGAACTGTAATCCTCAGCTGGAGTACAAGAAAGACATGCAGAAGCAGCAGAAGAAGGGTTACCACCTGGTGCCCGACGCCATGGCCTTCTCCACGGCGAAGGAGGCTGCCAAGATCGCCAGCGATGTGGAGTACAAGACCAAAGACCTGATCGACATGCGGCAGGCGAGCTTCAAAAACGTCCACGAGTCCCCCTGGTACCTTCAGGCCAAGCTTTCTGCAGAAAACGCCTCAGGGGTGAGTACAAGTAATCAGGAGTGTGGCTCAAAACCAAGAAGTTCCGGGTTCAATCCCTAGACTTGTCCAAAGTTGTAACCTTGGGAAACACACTTTACATGACTTGCCTCATAGTACAGATGAGGGACACCCACTGGGCCTCTTGGCTAATACACTGTCTGAAGGGTGTTCAAACACTGATGAGGACACACACAGATTTGGTGTTGCCAAGTCCAAGGTATAACATTGACTGTAAGGTAGCTGACCAATGACAGCTTTTAAGTGATGTGCACAAATATATTATGTAACTTCTCTTTTTGAAGCACAATGAAGATATATAAACTTACATATTATCTAACACCATTTATGCTTAGAAGTATTATAAGAGCATTGGCCTTGCTTTAACCAGTGTAACTGTCTCTATTACATGTAGTTTGTTGCCAGTTAGAAGTAATCGTACCTTTTACCCATTTCAGATCAAGTACATAAAGGACTATGAGAAAGAGAAGATCCACTACCTGACACCAGTAGACAGAGTTGACTTTGTTGCTGCTAAGGCTGTCAGTGGCATGTCAGAGGTAAGGGCTCGAAATACTGAGTACATGTACATGTATGCATTAGTGCAGGTAGAATTGGGGCTATGCAGGTACATGTATTTCTGATATCCACTTGCACCTAACCTGCACTGATCCATGTACTGGGTTTGTGTACAAATGTAGGTACATAATTATGGATTTTTATTTGCTGCATATTGTTTACAATCATGTAAATTGCAGCCAATAGTTGTCATTAATATCATCATCAGATCAATCTTATAAATTTTCTTTTGTTTCTGGACTTATAAGAAATTTGGAAGGTTTTGAGAGTTTGCAGTAGTGTTGTAACAAGACTGTTTCTTCCACTGCAGCGTAAATACAGGCAACAACCAGGAAAACCCATCTCCATCCCAGACACACCAGAGATCGTCCGCAGCAAAAAGCTGGGAGTCCTCAAGGATGTAAGTAGAATGTCCCTTTTTTTGCTCTGAAAAGTCGATCAAAATGTTTTATAGGTTATGGTAGTGGAATTGTCAACTGTACATGCTGACACTCTGACCCTCAGAAGAGAGGCTGGAGTCACATGTTTCTGCTTTACTTTATACAAGTCTACCTCAATGTTTCGTCATGTGTAGCTTCTTTACTTTAGTGGCTTGGCACGTAGTGACCACAAGAACAATGCATGCCTGCTTACAGTATATACACAGTCATGTAGAGTAAGTCTTTCATGCAAGCTGTGAGAAACATAAATTGTTTCTTGTTTGCCATTTTGTGTTCCTCTCATTTATGGATCATCATCATCAGAATTATTCTTAGGATTCAAAATGTATCCTGTTTGTTACTAACAAGTTCGATCTTGAAAACTAAACTGTTTTTTTTTCTGCTAAACTAACAGCAAGTCTACAAGCAAGAGCCAGGTGCCTTCATTTCAACCCCAGACTCTATGGAGATGGAGAGAGTTAGGACTCTACAGGAAATCACCAGCGAACAATACTACAAGGAGGACGCTCAGTGGCTTGTACAGAGATGTCTGAGCCAGTATCCCTTCTCTGTAGAGCTGGACAGAGTCAACAAAGTCAAGTATCAGAATGATCCGGTAAGTGCTAATTTAATTTTATACTGAGTGCAGATGTGAGCAAAAAAATGATAAAACATATTTTTTGAGAAGTAGTATTTTCAGGAAGTTTTTAACAGAGGTATTTCTTTCCTTCAGCGTGTATACCAATGGGAGGCAGACAGGGAGAAACAGAAGTACACAGTCCTGGCAGACTCCCCCGAGATCACTCGTGTGGTGAACGCTGCCAAGATGCAGAGTGACGTAAGTCAGAATCTTCCATAGTCTCATGGCAACAATCTTCCAGTCATGCAACAGTGTGAAATGAAGCACGCATAACATTTTCTAAAACTAGTTTCCTTTTGTGAGTTAAGTCATTGTCTTTGGTTAATATTTAGATGTCAATGTAATAAATGTATGTTCTTACCGTCAATAGCGTGTCTACCAGCAAGGCTATGAGAAGCAGAAAGCAGGAGGCTACAGGCTGGCCGCTGATGCTCCTACTTTCCTCACAGCTAAGGAAGCAGCCAAGAATGCCAGTGATGTAAGTAGTCTACATTTTAGTCACTTTTTAAAATGATGAGCTTGATATACTAGAACTAGCAGAGTCTGTCTTTACATTGTAAATCATTAGATTGAAGCTGACAGTAACACTGAAAAAATTCTCTTGCAGTATGCCTACCAGTCAGGACTTAGGGAGGCCCGAGGGAAGGGATTCCCCAACTTCCAGGAGTCTCCACTTTTCCTGCAGAACAAACTGTCAGCACAGCTGGCCTCTGGGGTGAGTATACAATGAATAGAGCAACTCTCATGTTTTTGTTAAACAGTTAAGAACTTTTTTATGATGATAGTTAGTTGATTGCTGTCTCCGTGGTTTCTAAAAGATTATTTACTTTAAATTTTCATTGTGTTTCATTTTGTCTTATGTTTCAAAGGCTGTGTACACCAAGGACTATGAGCAGCAGAAGCTGAAGTACACCCTCCCTGCTGACAGGGTGGACATGGTGACTGCTAAGGCTGTTCTGGACTTGTCTGAGGCAAGTGGCTGTATTTTCTGTTGTCAAAAATGTCTTACATTTTTTGAAAATAAAAGAAGCTATCAATGAAAGCAACTCTGAATAGAATTTTTATGCTTTGTTATTATATATTGTCATTGTTATTTGCTTAGTACTGGTATATAATTTACTAACCGAAATATATAATGTATTTTATGAGATAAGTGTAATGTTAACAATTTTCCTTTCACTTCTTGTTCTACAGCGCAAGTACAGGCAGAAGCCAGGAAAGTTCATCTCTATCCCTGATACCATGGAGCAGGTCCGCTGCACAAAGGCTGCCAAGCTTGCCAGCGACGTACGTCTGACAATTTGCCTTTTTCATAGGTAGCATGCAGGGGGACAGAAATCCTGTATTTGATACTAGTAGTGCAACTACATGTATTGGTACAAGTATGTAACATCTACATTAGAGGTACATGTGTACACGTACTTCATTTGTAGTAAAATTAATTTGTGTTGTAAGCTACCAGAGATGTTACATATTACATGCTACCATCCAAACAGAAATACTACAAGCAAGAGCCAGGTGCCTTCATTTCAACCCCAGACTCTATGGAGATGGAGAGAGTTAGGACTCTACAGGAAATCACCAGTGACCAATACTACAAGGAGGACGCTCAGTGGCTTGTACAGAGATGTCTGAGCCAGTATCCCTTCTCTGTAGAGCTGGACAGGGTCAACAAAGTCAAGTATCAGAATGATCCGGTAAGTGCTAAATTACCAAACGGTAGTATTTTTCATACTGAGTGCAGAATTGAGAAAAAGATGATGAAAAATATTTGATTTGTAAGTAGTATTTTCGGTCATTGTATAACAGAAGTATTTCTTTCCTTCAGCGTGTATACCAATGGGAGGCAGACAAGGAGAAACAGAAGTACACAGTCCTGGCAGACTCCCCCGAGATCACTCGTGTGGTGAACGCTGCCAAGATGCAGAGTGACGTAAGTCAGAATCTTCCATAGTCTCATGGCAACAATCTTCCATACATAGTTCCTTCTTTAGTCCAAGTGTGAATTGAAGCATGTAATTATAATATTATTAACATTTTCTAAAACTAGTTTCCTTTTGTGAGTTAAGTCATTGTCTTTGGTTAATATTTAGATGTCAATGTAATAAATGTATGTTCTTACCGTCAATAGCGTGTCTACCAGCAAGGCTATGAGGAACAGAAAGCAGGAGGCTACAGGCTGGCTGCTGATGCTCCTACTTTCCTCACAGCTAAGGAAGCAGCCAAGAATGCCAGTGATGTGAGTAAACTTGAATAAACCATATTCCACTTGACTTGAGTGTAGAAGGAGAAATTTTGAATACAGTCAACATTATTAGTTTCTGCATTGACAAGATATGGACTATGTATGATAGGCTGTTATTATTTATATTTGAAGCTGACAGTAACACAGACACAATTCTTTTGCAGTATAACTACCAGTCAGGACTTCGGGAGGCCCGAGGGAAAGGATTCCCCAACTTCCAGGAGTCTCCACTGTTCCTGCAGAACAAACTGTCAGCACAGCTGGCCTCTGGGGTTAGTGCAACAAAACATATAATATTGAGACCCATGCTGTGCATTCTGTCATGATTTTTCAAATATTTCTTGCACCTGTTTATGATGGTTTACATCTCTAATGTACTATTCAGTAGACTAGCTGGGACTTAATTGTGTCTTATGTTTCTACAGGCTGTGTACACAAAAGACTATGAGAAGCAGAAGCTGAAGTACACCCTCCCTGCTGACAGGGTGGACATGGTGACTGCCAAGGCTGTTCTGGAGCAGTCTGATGTAAGTGTCGGTGTATCACAGTTCTTGTGTTGTCTGGTAGTGCAAACTTTTGTTTGATTAATCGCCAATCCTTTGGTATTTGACAGCTTAAGTGTAATGTTACTAATCTCTTGTACTTCTTGTTCTGCAGCGCAAGTACAGGCAGAAGCCAGGAAAGTTCATCTCTATCCCTGATACCATGGAGCAGGTCCGCTGCACAAAGGCTGCAAAGCTTGCCAGCGACGTACGTCCAATATTTTGTGTTGACTAAATTTTATCTATGATACTGTGGTGTATGCAGAGGACAGTGAACTTGTCTTTGATAGTCTGTTAAAAAATTCCATGGCCATCATACTGATAGCCAAATTCTGATTTTGAACAAAGAGAGTTAAGTGCTTTCCATTTGAATTTTGTGTTAGGAAGGTAATATCTCTCAAATTTGCTGACAGTGTAGTGGCAACGTCAATTGATTTGCCTTTCTTTCATCTCAACAGAAATACTATAAGCAAGAGCCCGGGACCTTCATTTCAACCCCAGACTCTATGGAAATGGAAAGGGTGAAGACCCTACAGGAAATCACCAGTGACCAATACTACAAGGAGGACGCTCAGTGGCTTGTACAGAGATGTCTGAGCCAGTATCCCTTCTCTGTAGAGCTGGACAGAGTCAACAAAGTCAAGTATCAGAATGATCCTGTAAGTGCTTACTTGCAATGGTGTAGTACTTTTTATGCTATTTGAGTTCCAGTGAAGCTACTTCTAGAACTCTAGAATACATGATTACATGCAGCTAGTAAGTCAAGTTGTAGTTACCATTATTTTGAATATATTTTATAGGTATACGTGAAAATGCATACACTGAGAGGGATGTTTGTTTTTTCTAGCGTTTGTACCAATGGGAGGCAGACAAGGAGAAACAGAAGTACACAGTCCTGGCAGACTCCCCCGAGATCACTCGTGTGGTGGCCGCTGCCAAGATGCAGAGTGACGTAAGTCTTTTTTATAATTTCTTTACCTATACCTTTTCTTAGTTATTGTACTAACATCGAGAAGAAAAATCACATAGTACATTCTCCAAAGGTTCAGATCTTAAAGTTACAAACTGAAGTTACGTGATTCATGAACTTGGCCTTGTTTCAACATCATTCTAAATGCAAATCATTTGCTCTTTCTAGCGTGTCTACCAGGAAGGCTATGAGAAACAGAAAGCCGGAGGCTACAGGCTGGCCGCTGATGCTCCTACTTTCCTCACAGCTAAGGAAGCAGCCAAGAATGCCAGCGATGTAAGTACATCTAGACAGTACATTTTATCAACAACCTGGTAACAAAAATGAGAAACTAGACACTAAGTGTTGTACATGTAAGTGGTGAACTTAGCATGTTGTCATCAGTCATTATTTTGTTTGAGACTTTCACCAGAGGAAAATAAGCAAGACATTGTGAAAGCATTCCGTGATTGTTGTAAACATTATTGTTTCTTTGGATTATGTGAATGGTAGCAGACTGAGCCCCTTTTTAATGTAAAAGTACATTGTTGTAAATCTAGCAAAATTCTCTTGCAGTATAACTACCAGTCAGGACTTCGGGAGGCCCGAGGGAAGGGATTCCCCAACTTCCAGGAGTCTCCACTGTTCCTGCAGAACAAACTGTCAGCACAGCTGGCCTCTGGGGTGAGTACATGCACATTTACTTACTAGATCTAGGAATAAACCTGAGTGTTCTTTTAGATTTTGCTTTCAATAAACATGACAACATGTATGTCCTTTGGTCATGATTTTAGAATTAGATTGCTGGTTCCATGGTGTTGACTCATGGTGTCTAGTACATGCAGGTTAATTCTATATTGTGGTGTTCCCATGTTTCACAGGCTGTGTACACCAAGGACTATGAGAAGCAGAAGCTGAAGTACACCCTGCCAGCTGACAGGGTGGACATGGTGGCTGCCAAGTCTGTTCTGGACTTGTCTGATGTAAGTATAATTAACAGTACATTGATGAATACGGTATTTTCCCATTTTGTATTTAGCTAAAGGATAAACAGTTTTGAAAAAAGTATAGATTAAAGAGGCCTTAAGGAATCTTCTATCAGCATTTCTATGATTACATGTAATAACTCCCCAATTTTATTTCTACAGCGGAAGTACAGACAGAAACCAGGAAAGTTCATCTCTATCCCAGACAATATGGAGCAGGTCCGCTGCAATGCTGTGGCCAAGCTCGCTAGTGACGTACGTTCATTCCTTCAACATGAATTTCTTCCAATGGAATAATTGTTATTAATATGAATATGAGATCCTCTTTTATTTATTGCAAAGAACATTTCCTAATCCTAGGAAACATGTGAGTTGGAGAATCAGTAGATGTTACTGGTTTTTACTCCTTTTCTGCACCTTTCATCTAAACAGAAACACTACAAGCAGGAGCCCGGCAAGTTCATCTCAATCCCAGACTCTATGGAGATAGAGAGGGTGAAGTCTCTACAGGAAATCACCAGCGACCAATACTACAAGGAGGACGCTCAGTGGCTTGTACAGAGATGTCTGAGCCAGTATCCCTTCTCTGTAGAGCTGGACAGGGTCAACAAAGTCAAGTTCCAGAATGATCCTGTAAGGGCTAAATTTTTTATGCTAATTTTGACTTCCAGTGAACCCACTTTTTGAACTCAGTGTTCATGATTGCATGCAGCTACTAGGTCAAGTTACAATTGTAGCAACATTTTCAACCCATTTATTGGGGAAAATACACTTTTAAGTGAAATGTCTGTTTATTTAGCGTCTGTACCAAGAGGAGGCAGACAGGGAGAAACAGAAGTACACAGTCCTGGCAGACTCCCCCGAGATCACTCGTGTGGTGAACGCTGCCAAGATGCAGAGTGACGTAAGTCTTGATTATTTGGGTGATACTTTTTTTTAGATAATTTTCATCCTTCCCAGGCTAGCGTGAAAATAAGTACTCAGTAGTTGTCCACTTTGTTTTAGTCATTGTAGGGTTCATGAAAACATGCTGATACTAAGAAAAATGTTCTTTTCACTGTTTCTAGCGTGTCTACCAAGAAGGCTATGAGAAGCAGAAAGCAGGAGGCTACAGGCTGGCCGCTGATGCTCCTACTTTCCTCACAGCTAAGGAAGCAGCCAAGAATGCTAGTGATGTGAGTGAATCTAATTATTGCTCATTTTATAAAGTACTGAGATTATTCATCAGTTTTATTACTACATGTTCTTTACTAGATTTGACATCTTTTAATAACCATGGATTTTTGATAGTTTTGCCATGTATTTATGACATGCCGTTTTTCATACCTCTTTTTCGAAATGGAAAATATCATTGACTTATGTATTGGCAAAATGTTGTTGCAGTATAATTACCAGTCAGGACTTCGGGAGGCCAGAGGGAAGGGATTCCCCAACTTCCAGGAGTCTCCACTGTTCCTGCAGAACAAACTGTCAGCACAGCTGGCCTCTGGGGTAAGTACACATAGGGATATCCTTGTACCATTTCTTTTAAATTTGCTTTGAATTAACAGTTACATGGACATGTACAAACCTTTTTATGACAAAGTGCATAGTATGTCCTTTGGTTATGATTTTGTGATAAGATTGCTGCTCCCCATGGAGTTAACTCATGGTGTCTTGTAGGTCAATTCTTTATTGTTTTCTGACTCGTGTTTCACAGGCTGTGTACACCAAGGACTATGAGCAGCAGAAGCTGAAGTACACCCTCCCTGCTGACAGGGTGGACATGGTGGCTGCCAAGGCTGTTCTAGACTTGTCTGACGTAAGTATAATTACTGTACATTGATGTTACAGTACATGTGAGGACACAAATTTGGTCATTTTCCATTTATGTTTTTAAGAAAACACTAAACAGTTTTAAAAAAATGGAGACAGCAAGAAACTTTCAGAAAAAATATTAACATTCCTACATGTTGTATGATAATGTTTCTGTTATTATGTTTCTACAGCGCAAGTACAGGCAAAAGCCAGGAAAGTTCATCTCTATCCCAGACAATATGGAGCAGGTCCGCTGCAATGCTGTGGCCAAGCTTGCCAGTGACGTATGTCCACCTTGTAGTTTTTTTTACTCTGTCATTTGTTTCAGTCGAGAAAAAATTATGTATTGTTAAGAAAATGTAATCATTGCTGCCTGAAAAATCTAAGTGAAAAGCACACTTTTAATTTTCAACCTCTCATCTACTTAAAACAGAAACACTACAAGCAGGAGCCTGGCAAGTTCATCTCAATCCCAGACTCTATGGAGATAGAGAGAGTGAAGTCTCTACAGGAAATCACCAGCGACCAATACTACAAGGAGGACGCTCAGTGGCTTGTACAGAGATGTCTGAGCCAGTATCCCTTCTCTGTAGAGCTGGACAGGGTCAACAAAGTCAAGTATCAGAATGATCCTGTAAGGGCTAACTTTATATACTAATTTTGGGTCAGAGTTAAGCTACTTTTTGAACTCATGACTTCATTATTGCATGCAGCTAGTAGGTCAAATGTAGTTAGCAACATGTTGAAAATATTTCTTGGTGAAATACACTTTGTAACAGAATGTCTGTTGTTTGTTTAGCGTCTGTACCAATGGGAGGCAGACCAGGAGAAACAGAAGTACACAGTCCTGGCAGACTCCCCCGAGATCACTCGTGTGGTGGCCGCTGCCAAGATGCAGAGTGACGTAAGTTTGAATATTGATTACTAGGGTGATACTTTTCTTTAGATAATTTTCATCCTTCAAAGGCTAGTGTGAAAATAAGTACTTAGTAGTTTTGTTTTAGTCATTGTAGGGTTCATGAAAACATGCCTGATACTAAGAAAAATGTTATTTTCACTGTTTCTAGCGTGTCTACCAGGAAGGCTATGAGAAGCAGAAAGCAGGAGGCTACAGGCTGGCCGCTGATGCTCCGACTTTCCTCACAGCTAAGGAAGCAGCCAAGAATGCCAGTGATGTGAGTGAATTTTGTAGAGTACTGAGATGACTTACATGTATCAGTTTTATTTGTACATTTTTTTGTAACATTCTACGTTAAATTTGACATCCTTTAATAAACATGGATTTTCAATAATTTGGTCATGTATTTATGACATGCTGTTTTTCATACTCCTTTTTCAAATGGAGAAAATATCATGTATTGGCAAAATGTTGTTGCAGTATAACTACCAGTCAGGACTTCGGGAGGCCCGAGGGAAGGGATTCCCCAACTTCCAGGAGTCTCCACTGTTCCTGCAGAACAAACTGTCAGCACAGCTGGCCTCTGGGGTAAGTACACATAGGGATACACAATCATGTACCAGTTCTTGTAGATTTTGCTTTTAATTAACAGTTACATGTACATGTACAACCTTTCTGTAACAACTAGTACAGTACAAAAACATGTATGTCCTTTGGTTATGATTTTAGTACTAGATTGCTGCCCCCATGATGTTTACTCATGGTGTCTTGTAGGTCAATTCTTTACTGTGTTCTCTTGTTTCACAGGCTGTGTACACCAAGGATTATGAGCAGCAGAAGCTGAAGTACACCCTGCCTGCTGACAGGGTGGACATGGTGGCTGCCAAGGCTGTTCTGGACTTGTCTGATGTAAGTATAATTACTGTACATTTATGTACATGAGCACACAAATATTGTCTTTACCCATTGTGTCTTTAAGAAAACACTTGACAGTTTCTAAAAAAAATATAGCCAGCAAGAGGCTCTTGAAACAATTTCTTTTAGGATTCCTATAGGTAATAACTCCCCAATTATGTTTCTACAGCGCAAGTACAGGCAGAAACCAGGAAAGTTCATCTCTATCCCAGACAATATGGAGCAGGTCCGCTGCAATGCTGTGGCCAAGCTTGCTAGTGACGTACGTTCAATGTTTAGTTGTTACTCTGTCATTTTGTTGCATTCTGGAAAGAGTGATGTATTGTTAAGAATGTAATCATTGCTGTCTGAAAATCTAAGTTAAAAGCACACTTTAAATTTTCAATTTCTCATCTACTTAAAACAGAAACACTACAAGCAAGAGCCAGGTGCCTTCATTTCAATCCCAGACTCTATGGAGATAGAGAGGGTGAAGTCTCTACAGGAAATCACCAGTGACCAATACTACAAGGAGGACGCTCAGTGGCTTGTACAGAGATGTCTGAGCCAGTATCCCTTCTCTGTAGAGCTGGACAGGGTCAACAAAGTCAAGTTCCAGAATGATCCTGTAAGGGCTAACTTTTTATACTAATTTTGGGTCACAGTAAAGCTACTTCTTGAACTCATGACTTTTTCTTGGTGAAATACACTTTGTAAGAGAAATGTCTGTTTGTGTAGCGTCTGTACCAATGGGAGGCAGACCAGGAGAAACAGAAGTACACAGTCCTGGCAGACTCCCCTGAAGTCACTCGTGTGGTGGCTGCTGCCAAGATGCAGAGTGACGTAAGTTTGAATCTTGATTATTCGGGTGATACTTTTCTCTAAGATGATTTTCATCCTTCCATTCAGATTCCAAGGCTAGTGTGAAAATAAGTACTCACTAATTGTCCACTTTGTTCAAGAAAACATGCCTGGTACTAAAATGTTATCTTCACTGTTTCTAGCATGTCTAACAGCAAGGCTATGAGAAACAGAAAGCAGGAGGCTCTGTTACCATAGCCCAAACCTATTTATATTTGAGGTATTATACAAATGTATGTATAGCAAACTTCATGACATGTTGATACATTATGTAATTCAATTCTTCCACAGCTTGTGTACCATGAAGGCTATGAGAAGCAGAAGCAGGCAGGCTACAAGCTGGCCGCTGATGCTCCTACTTTCCTCACAGCTAAGGAGGCTGCCAAGAATGCCAGTGATGTAAGTAATATCTTAACTGTCAAAACTTCCATACCTCCTTTAAGTATTGTTTGCTTATTCTTTGTTGCTAACCTTCATGTATTCCAAAAAAATGTACAAATCTTCTTGTCAATTCAACACTACAAGTTTCCAACCAAAACTGAGTTTATAGAATTTATTCCCTCACTACGTTGGCTTTGTCTTGTTGCTACCATGTTGTTACCATGTGCCTGTAAAGCATACAATGTATGCACTGAAGTGCATTTGGGTTGATAATACATGTATTTGAGTACCATAATAATACTACCAAATAAAGCTATAGGAAATAACAATAAAAATTATTATTCTTCCAGTATGTCTACCAGACAGGACTTCGGGCGGCCCGTGGCCAAGGATTCCCCAACTTCCAGGAGTCTCCACTGTTCCTGCAGAACAAACTGTCAGCACAGCTGGCCTCTGGGGTGAGTAAAAGCCATACTGTATGCAAACAATAATCAAACATCAAAAATGTTCTCCTTGTACATACATTGTATTAAGTACAATAACCAATCATGATGTTATTTTTATATTTCCACACCATTATAGGCTTTATACACCAAGGACTATGAGCAGCAGAAGCTGAAGTACACCCTCCCTGCTGACAGGGTGGACATGGTGGCTGCCAAGGCTGTTCTGGAGCAGTCTGAGGTAGGTGTTTGAATTTGTATTATTCGTATCAAGAACATTGTAGGACATTGATGAAATTTTTGGTAGAAATTTTGAAGGTTCTTTGACATGTTAAGACTTACCAATACTTGTATATTCTTCTACAGCGCAACTACAGGCAGAAGCCAGGAAAGTTCATCTCTATCCCAGACAATATGGAGCAGGTCCGCTGCAATGCTGTGGCCAAGCTTGCCAGTGATGTACGTCCAATATTTACTTTTTTTACTCTCAGTATTGCTGGAAGGCACAGAAAGCCTATCTTGGATAGAGTAGAATAGAATAGAAAAGATAGAATAGTGTAGAATAGAGAATAGACTAGCAAAGATTCTGAATAGAATAGCATAGAATAGAATAGAATAGAATAGAATATTATAGAATAGAATAGAATAGAATAGAATAGAATAGAATAGAATAGAATAGAATAGAATAGAATAGAATAGAATAGAGCTGTAAATCAGGTTTTGTGTGTTAACAAGTTACCTTGCTTAACCCAAACATATTTTTTTTATGAAAGTCTATATAAAAGGTTGACATTTTGTAAAATGATTATTTTACACAGAAACACTACAAGCAGGAGCCCGGCAAGTTCATCTCAATCCCAGACTCTATGGAGATAGAGAGGGTGAAGTCTCTACAGGAAATCACCAGTGACCAATACTACAAGGAGGATGCTCAGTGGCTTGTACAGAGATGTCTGAGCCAGTATCCCTTCTCTGTAGAGCTGGACAGGGTCAACAAAGTGTCACTGATGCAGGATCCGGTAAGACTCTATCTTTGCTGCGTTGGATACTTGGATGACTAAGAACTGTGTTATGTTACAGTTTGTTTGTTACCGTAACCTTTTTCCACAAGCAAGTACATTGTAAATCCGTTATGCTGAGAGTGTCTTGTATTTTTGTTCCCAGCGCATCTACCGTGAGGAGTGGGACAGGGACAGACAGAAGTACACCGTCCTGGCAGACTCCCCTGAAGTCAAACGAGTTTGTGATGTTGCCAAGATGCAGAGTGATGTAAGTTTTTGACCTCCATTTCTTCAAAGCATACATTTTGTTTACATATATGATATAATTATGCTTTTCTACAGCTTCAGCAAATTTTATGTTTTTCCACAGCTATTAAAGTCATATCATTTTGTCAGCAAAAAGTATTTAAAGACTGTGGTATTACTTCTGTCCGCAGCTTGTGTACCACGAAGGCTATGAGAAGCAGAAGCAGGGAGGCTACAAGCTGGCCGCTGATGCTCCTCTCTTCCTGACTGCTAAGGAATCGGCCAAGAATGCCAGTGATGTAAGTAAAATTTTATGCTTTTTTAAGATTGGTGTATCATTATCAGTTCTTGCCATCAGTAAGAACATAAATTATATACCATTATTCTAAAACCTTTTCTGTTGATTTTGTTGCAGTATAACTACCAGACAGGACTTCGGGAGGCCAGAGGGAAGGGATTCCCCAACTTCCAGGAGTCTCCACTCTTCCTGCAGAACAAACTGTCAGCACAGCTGGCCTCTGGGGTATGTTCAAGTTATTTCACATATTTTTGAAACACATGTACAAGTACATTGTGTACATGCTGTTTGCAATATTTAGAATTGTTTTAACTTTGTAAATGCCTTGCAGTGGTTGTCTAAAAACATGAGATGTTTTCAAATGACACATCTTCCAATATCGGTTTTTTGTTTGATGTAATGGCTTGTATTTTCACAGGCCTTGTACACCAAGGACTACCAACAGCAGAAGCTGAAGTACACCCTCCCTGCTGACAGGGTGGACATGGTGGCTGCCAAGGCTGTTCTGGACTTGTCTGAGGTACAAATACTGTGAAATACTCACTTGTCTAGTTGTGTATTTGTTAACTGTGCAATATTTGTGTCTCTGTTTTTAAACTAGCATATAATTCAGCACTACTTATTAGTTGCGCTGCAACATGCTAGCGATTGTACTCTTGGATCTTCGATCAATCAAACAATTATTATTAATTATTATTAAATGTACATGTGAATTTGAAAAGTGTCAAAAGTGTTTTTCAAGCAATTTTATGACAGAAACTTGAATGTGCATATTTTTTCTCAATTAATTTATGGGTTAATACATGTATATGTGTATTTGTTTTCTGTAGCGCAAGTACAGGCAGAGGCCAGGAAAGTTCATCTCTATCCCTGACAATGTGGAGCAGGTCCGCTGCAATGCTGTGGCCAAGCTTGCCAGTGATGTAAGTAAGATTTTATTGTTTCAGTTAACTCAAGTCATGGATTAATGTTGCAACTGCACACATGTACATTTGAGTTAGTTAACAACATATCTTGGAATGAAAACATTTTCTTATGTTTTTATACCAGAAATACTACAAGCAAGAGCCGGGCAGGTTCATCTCAACAGCAGACACTCCTGAAATCAACAGGCTGAGGTCTCTACAAGAGATTGTCAGCGACTACTACTACAAGGAGGAAGCCAAGGAGCTTGTGGAGAGATGTCTGAGCCAGTATCCCTTCTCTGTGGAGATCGACAGGGTCAACAAAGTGTCACTGATGCAGGATCCGGTAAGTAGCAAAGTGGCAAAACTCTAAAAGTTTTGTAATGAAGTTTTACCACAATTTTTTCTATTTTAGGGAAAGAAGAATACATCATAAAATTGCAGTCTTAGAGAGCATAATTATGTTGTTTATTTTATCTTGTTGCCTTCAATTTTCTTCATTATAACTACAACCATGTGTATATCCCCCCAGCGTCTGTACCGTGAGGAGTGGGACAGGGACAGACAGAAGTACACAGTCCTGGCAGACTCTCCTGAAGTCAAACGAGTTTGTGATGTTGCCAAGTTGCAGAGTGATGTAAGTTTTCTGTTTTCTCACATCTCTATTTCTTAAAGGCAAATCTTTTGTCATTCCAATTATAGGAATATCATTATTGTCAGTAAATAATATAAAGTATATTATTAAGAGATATTATCTCTCTCCACAGCTTGTGTACCACCAAGGCTATGAGAAGCAGAAGCAGGGAGGCTACAAGCTGGCCGCTGATGCTCCACTCTTCCTGACAGCCAAGGAATCGGCCAAGAATGCCAGTGATGTGAGTGATGCCTTTTGCAGATTTTATGACATTTACATGTTGGAGTGCATTGTAACTATGGTTTAATGACATTCTAATCGTATACTTTATCAGAAAGAATTTTTGTTTTAAATTTTGGCTTGTTTTTTCTAGTATAACTACCAGACAGGACTTCGGGCGGCCCGTGGCCAAGGATTCCCCAACTTCCAGGAGTCTCCACTGTTCCTGCAGAACAAACTGTCAGCACAGCTGGCCTCTGGGGTGAGTAAACGTCATTTCTGATACCTTGAAATTCTACATGACTCATTTGTCCCCTGTTCTGTACTTGGTTGGTTTCCGTTAGAGTTTTGTGTTTTTGTTTACCAAGTTTTTCTAGACATTCATCAGCCAAATTGTTAAGTCTTCACTGTCTCATATTTTTGCCCTGTTGTAGGCTTTGTACACCAAGGACTACCAACAGCAGAAGCTGAAGTACACCCTCCCTGCTGATAGGGTGGACATGGTGGCTGCCAAGTCTGTTCTGGACTTGTCTGAGGTATGTATGTCTATAATTCAGACACTTTTAAATCATAAATCATATAATAATTTTTTAAGATTATGAATTTCAAAAATCAAAGTACATCTAAAAACTATTATAGCTACTGAAGTGTTGGATTTCTGTTGTGATTATTTATTTCAAAATCATTCTACTCTGTATAATTCTTTGGAGACCTATAAGATGATTTTTTTGTTTTCCAACAGCGCAAGTATAGGCAGAGGCCAGGAAAGTTCATCTCTATCCCTGACAATGTGGAGCAGGTCCGCTGCAATGCTGTGGCCAAGCTTGCCAGTGATGTAAGTAGAAATCAAAGTACACTATACATCCAGTTAACCCTTGGGAAGGAAGATATAAGACCTTGCAAATGACATGTTTTACAGTTGTCATTATTTGTCCATGAGAGTCACAGAATCTGATGCAGAATGTAAAATGTCTGTCAGATTGAGAATGTAAGTTGAAACTAAAAGTACCATACACGTATGATTTGTCTTGGTTGTCCTTACATGTAGTTCTTGAAGATTACATTGTACTATCTGCATGTAGATTAGATTATGTTAATGGTGGCATTTATGAAAACATACTACATGTAGAGACGAAAGACTAAACACGTTTTCATGATAACTCCAACAGAAATACTACAAGCAAGAGCCGGGCAGGTTCATCTCAACAGCAGACACTCCTGAAATCAACAGGCTGAGGTCTCTACAAGAGATTGTCAGTGACTACTACTACAAGGAGGAAGCCAAGGAGCTTGTGGAGAGATGTCTGAGCCAGTATCCCTTCTCTGTGGAGATCGACAGGGTCAACAAAGTCTCACTGATGCAGGATCCGGTAAGAGATTTTGGCAAGACAATTTAGATGATGATCACGCTTTTTGTTTCATTCAATATTTCAATAATGAAATCGGAATACACATTGCCTTTTTTCTTCTTGAAAGAAAGATTTCTGTGTACTAAGCTTTTTCTTCTGTCCCCAGCGTCTGTACCGTGAGGAGTGGGACAGGGACAGACAGAAGTACACAGTCCTGGCAGACTCCCCTGAAGTCAAACGAGTTTGTGATGTTGCCAAGTTGCAGAGTGATGTAAGCTTATGTTTTCTCTTCTTAGTATTTGTGCAAATTATGTGTATAAGTATTTGTTTGTTAAAGAACTGTTTCCCACTGCTGTTCATTTTTAACATCTATTGTTTTCCACAGCTTGTGTACCACCAAGGCTATGAGAAGCAGAAGCAGGCAGGCTACAAGCTGGCCGCTGATGCTCCTCTCTTCCTGACTGCTAAGGAATCAGCCAAGAATGCCAGTGATGTGAGTGATCTTTATCATTTTCTTTGACACCAAGTGTTCACCAATCGTTATTTCATCATTTTGGTTTCCTAGTGTGTCAAGCTGAACTTTAAAATTCCTGTATTTAGGGTCAATTATTTAAATCTAATCTAAGTAATACTTATAATGTAACTTTGTTTTTCAGTATGCCTACCAGACAGGACTTCGGGCAGCCCGTGGCCAAGGATTCCCCAACTTCCAGGAGTCTCCACTGTTCCTGCAGAACAAACTGTCAGCACAGCTGGCCTCTGGGGTGAGTTAAAGTGATTCTGAAATGTATGTCAATGGCTCTTTTGCAACCTTAATGCTGTATTTCCTTTTCAAATGCCCTGTATGTTTTTTATAGGCTGTGTACACCAAGGACTACCAACAGCAGAAGCTGAAGTACACCCTCCCTGCTGACAGGGTGGACATGGTGGCTGCCAAGGGTATCCTGGACTTGTCTGATGTAAGTATTTCTAGCTTAGAAACTATATTTCACTTCGTTGTTCAAGACAGATAATATTTCTGTATAACATATTTAATGTAAATGATATGGGAAGTAAGATGTTTGAAATACGATCTTGTAGTGAAATTCCTAAAGTAAAAATCTATAGAATTGAAATCAAAATGCCTTAATTGTCTGTAAAACAACTGTCCTTAGGATTACATAATATATATTTAAATTGTGTTACAGCGCAAGTACAGGCAGAAGCCAGGAAAGCCCATCTCCATCCCTGACACTGTGGAGCAGGTCCGCTGTAACGAAGTGGCTAGACTCGCCAGCGATGTGAGTAAATCTTTCATTACACAATAATTAGAGCTGCACAAAGACATATGTTTTCAGACATTCAGAAATTATGTGAGAAAGAGTGCCCTGGGAATAAAAAGGTAACCTGAATCTAACTTATATAATTTCAATCCCTCAAACTGTGGTTGTGTCAAGGTACAGACTTCTCAAGGTATTTGTTTGAGGGATTTTTTATGCCAGAGAACCAACGAATGAGATTGGTATGGCCAAAGAAGAATATCATAAATCAAAATGATACACAATCATGTCCCATCAGGACTGAACTGTAGGTACTGTATCAGAAAAAGATAGTTGATAAAATATGGTTCCAGAAAAATAATGTGTGTTGCAATTCTTCCAACAGAAATACTACAAGCAGGAGCCTGGTCGCTTTATCTCAACCAAGGACACCCCTGAAATCCTCAGGCTAAAGTCTCTACAGGAGATTGTCAGTGACCACTACTACAAGGAGGAAGCCAAGGAAATTGTGGAGAGATGTCTGAGCCAGTATCCCTTCTCTGTGGAGATCGACAGGGTCAACAAAGTGTCTGCAATGCAGGACCCGGTAAGTTTTAATGTTTTAAAACTGCTTGCTTTCTGTCATTTAATATTTGTTGCTATGATTTGCACAACTGTTAGTCCATGAGGTGATATTTGTACCATATTTCCAGATCAGTAGCACTATTTTTAAGTGAGATGTTTCTTCCTTGTGCAGCGTATGTACCGTGAGGAGTGGGACAGGGACAGACAGAAGTACACCGTCATCCCAGACTCCCCCGAAGTCGCTCGAGTTGTTGAAGTTGCCAAGATGCAGAGTGATGTAAGTTTATGTTTTGTCCCCTTCGTGATTTTGCTAAGTTTTGTATCCTTACAGATTTTTCAGTTGAAAAAATGGTTTTCATTTTATTCATCATCCATTTTTTCCACAGCTCGTGTACCACCAAGGCTATGAGAAGCAGAAGCAGGGAGGCTACAAGCTGGCCGCTGATGCTCCTCTCTTCCTGACTGCTAAGGAATCAGCCAAGAATGCCAGTGATGTGAGTGATCCTTTTGATATTGTTTTAATGAAAAAATGTAACTTTACATCTTAAAGTATTTTCCAGATTTGTTTAAGCCATTATTAATCCTCGATAATTAAGATTTATTTTTTTCTTTCAGTATAACTACCAGACAGGACTTCGGGCGGCCCGTGGCCAAGGATTCCCCAACTTCCAGGAGTCTCCACTGTTCCTGCAGAACAAACTGTCAGCACAGCTGGCCTCTGGGGTGAGTATAGCTTAGTTTTAAAGCTTTCATTTTTTACATACACATTGTGACATTCAAAAATCAGTCAGCTTTTAGAAAGATAACCTCTTAAATGAGAAAGTTTCAAATTAAACCGGTATCGGCAGACTAAATGTAAAATTTACTGTACTTGGTATGCAGATGTGCTGTTTTTGCTATTGTACAGTTTTTATACTTTTGACATCTCATTTTCTATGTCACTGTAGGCTCTATATACCAAAGACTACCAACAGCAGAAGCTGAAGTACACCCTCCCTGCTGACAGGGTGGACATGGTGGCTGCCAAGAATATTATGGACTTGTCTGACGTAGGTTCCTTCCAACACTGTAATGTTGTTCCAGTATAGCACCATGATTCTAACTTGTAATTATTTCTGAATCTAGTTCCTTGCATAAGGAAATAATAAAAGAAGTCATCCTTTATTGAGTTGATGCTTTTTCCTGTGCACAAAATATTACTGGAATTGTGCTTCATCTTTTTTTTGCCCTATTAACATGAACTTTGTGTCCTGTTCTTTGTTGCAGCGCAAGTACAGGCAGAAGCCAGCAGTGCCCAAGCTGCCCCCAGACTCGGTTGAGCAGGTCCACTTCAAGTCTCTGGCTCCATTGAAAGATGTACGTAAAACAACTCATAAGTTATTAGCACAAACATATAGTTTTAGGAAAAATGTAGACTGTTGGTAGACTGTTTCTAACAGTCTACCAACTAACCTTTTATTACTTATTCTTCATCCAATTTTATTTGCAAAGACAGATGAATTTCAGAATACATGTACATGTATGTGGTGTTCAATAATCTAAACATTATTTATAGTTAGATGTATGATATGACATAATATAAATTATAGACATTTGACATAATTTGTCTGCTGATATGGTGTAATGTTGGTGTTTCATAGGAATTAGACTAAGCTGTAGTGACTTTACCTAAAAATTTGACACTTGTGAACATATTTTACCAGAAAATTCAACTTCCAAACCAAATTCTCCCAACAGAAAGTCTACAAGCATGAACCAGGCGGTTTTACCTCGGAGATCGACACTCCTGAGACCAGGAGACTGAGGTCCCTCCTGGAGATTGTCAGCGACTATTACTACAAGGAAGAGGCCAAGGAGATTGTGGAGAAGTGCAGCAGCCAGTATCCCTTCTCTGTAGAGATTGACAGGGTTCACAAGGTTTCGGAGATGCAGGACCCGGTAAGTTGCAAAGTAGACAAGAAAGGGCCAAGTATTGATCCTTTGTGGAACAGGGCTGATAGGCCTTAGACTTCGATGATTATGTCATGTATGGCTACTGTAAGAAGCGTGGCAAGATAGTTATATTTGCCAGTATGCCAATTTTTTTCTGTCTGACATATTGACTTGACAGTGGTCTTTGCTGATCTTATTTCTTGTTACATACATTTGCCTTTAATGCAAAAAGTTAGACATTATTTTGAGACTTTCTGAAGCCTGTTCTATATGGTCTTGTAGAAAAATCCTTTAAGAAAATACCGTCTTTAAGTCAGTTTTTTTCTGTTATGCAGCGTCTGTACCGTGAGGAGTGGGACAGGGACAGACAGAAGTATACGGTCATCCCAGATTCGCCTGAGGTTGCTCGTGTAGTGGAGGCTGCTAAGATGCAGAGCGATGTAAGTATCTCACTATCTCTGTCAAACTTTCATCTCATATTTTAGGCACCTACAAACTATACAGTGAAGGAAAATATATGTCTTTGCAGTACAAAGTATAGAATGGTAGAGACTCACAACCATCACAACCATCGAAGCCTTATTGATGTTTTCCCTCTTTTTTCAGCGCATCTACCGCGAAGGCTACGAGAAGCAGAAACAAGAAGGTTACAAGATGATACCCGATACGCCACTCTTCCTTCAGTGCAGGGAGTCTGCCAGAAATGCCAGTGATGTGAGTTTGAACACTTGTCGTTAATAAATATAGCTATTATATGTACTAAGGAAGTTGCGGATTTTGGGTAGCAAACTAAAGCAAACAAGACTGGGCTGCAGGCAACAGTCAACAGTCCAACTAAATGATAGATATACTATTGTAATTGATAGATATACATGACAGATACATTTAGATAATGTTACAATTTAGATAATCTGTTGTAGAACTTTCAAGAACTACATATAAATGCTTTGTGAGATTTTGTTTAAACTGTGTGTATCAGACTAATCCCGAAACCTGTTTTCGTTCCATTATTTAGTATGTCTACCAGACAGGACTTCGGGAGGCCCATGGCAAGGGATTCCCCAACTTCCAGGAGTCTCCACTGTTCCTGCAGAACAAACTGTCAGCACAGCTGGCGTCTGGGGTAAGTATCGAAGCTTCTTGCTTGAATTTTTTTGCATGTGTTACACATTATGACATTCAAAAATGAGTCAGTTTTTATAAACTTAAGATAACCTGTTATATTAGAAAGATTAAAAATAAATCTGTATCATTCTGTAAAGTACAATTTTGTAAATGTAAAGTTTACTGTACTTTGTTTGCAGATGTGCTGTTATTGTTTTTAGACTTTTGATCTCATTTTCTATGTCATTGTAGGCTCTCTATACCAAAGACTACCAACAGCAGAAGCTGAAGTACACCCTCCCTGCTGACAGGGTGGACATGGTGGCTGCCAAGGGTATCCTGGACTTGTCTGATGTAGGTTTTAGATATCATTGAATTTCTATTGATACGATTTCTAAAATCCATTTGCTATTGTTGTATTTCAATGTTTGGAATAGATGACTTTGTATTTCTGCAATGATTCTTTCTCCCTTTTACTCACACTTTCTATCTGTGGCTGTTTTTTTCAGCGCAAGTACAGGCAGAAGCCAGGAGTACCAAAGGTGTTCCCTGACTCAGTTGAACAACGCCACGTCAAGTCTCTGGCCCCACTGAAAGACGTATGTGAAACAAGTTATCAATTTAATTTTGTGAAATTTCTATCTTTGTATATGTCAAGATTAAGCATGCCCTATTGAGAGAATATCCACTGACAGCAAGAACTCGTATTGCTACACATTGAGTCAACACATTAAGGACTTATTTACTCAACATTTTTACTCAAATTATCAAATTGCTGCACCAACAGAAAGTGTACAAGCACGAGCCAGGCGGCTTCACCTCTGAGATTGACACTCCTGAGACCAGGAGGATGAGGACTCTACTGGAAACAGTCAGCGACTATTACTACAAGGAGGAAGCCAAAGAGATTGTGGAGAAGTGCTGCAGCCAGTTCCCCTTCACTGTGGAGATTGAGAGGGTGGAGAAGGTTACAGAAATGCAGGACGATGTAAGTGTGACAAAACTCTCAAATGATTTTTTCAAAGCTTTGTTGATACAGCCGCAAGATATTTTTGTGTGCTACATGATTGTGTAAGATTGTCTTCTGTAGCTTAAGTTTTTCTCTCCCTTTCCAGCGCCGCTACCGTGCAGATTATGAGAGGGACAGACACAACTACACCGTCATTCCAGACTCCCCTGAAGTCGCTCGTGTGGTGGAGGCTGCCAGGATGCAGAGTGATGTAAGCTCTTCTTTTTAAGCCATTGATTTTACATAAACTCACATTTCTTTCCCCCTGGGAAAAGACCAAATTTCTGGAGTGTAAATTGACAAGCTTTTCAATTATGCTTTCATGTCATAACTGTGTGACTTCTTAGTTTTATGGTAGTTGGTAGACGTGTATGAAGTTTTCATGTATACATGCCTGTAATGGTTGAACACCTGAAATTACCACGTAATACATAATCTTCCCAATTCAATAAATTTTTCTAATATATTATCTGAGCTTTGTTTTGTTATGAAGGTGGTTACAGTCTTTTGTGTTTGCTCCTGTCTTTAACAGCGTGTGTACCGTGAAGGCTATGAGAAGCAGAAGCAGGAGGGATACAAGATGGTGTCTGACACACCTCTCTTCCTCCAATGCAGGGAATCGGCCTGGAATGCCAGTGATGTGAGTTTTTTCAGCCAAACTTTTGTAGTTTATTAAGGTCTTGCTCTTTCTTTTAAAGATCCTATAGCTAGACTTTTGTTGACAACATTTTTTTTTACATTTTGTATTACTATTAAAAATTCTATCTCTGGTACTATATGGAAATAAGTTGTTGAGAAAGTAACCGAAAGTTGAGAAAGATAACTTAAGTACTATAATTACTGAAAGTATCATTTTTCTACTTCATTGTCCTTACAAATTGTTCATGACAAACTTGACTCTCTGTTTAATGTATTTGGTTGCTCTGTTTTCCTCAGTATAACTACAAGACAGCACTTGAGGAGGCACGAAAGGCCCAGTTCAAGAATGTGCACGAGTCTCCACTGTTCCTGCAGAACAAACTGTCAGCACAGCTGGCCTCTGGGGTAAGCACCACAGTTTATTACATACATGAATTTGAAGTTTGCCTTTTCAGAATAAAAACCAACCAGCATGTTTCAGAATCAAGTTTTTTCTTGATAGTAATGTACAAATGTACTGTAAATCCTTGAAAGAAAATTTGTCTAATCTGTTTTATGCTTTTTGTACAGCCGCTGTATGTCAAGGACTATGAGCAGCAGAAGCTGAAGTACACCCTACCTGCTGACAGGGTGGACATGGTGGCTGCCAAGAATATTCTGGACTTGTCTGACGTAGGTTTCTTCTTAATCATTATCAAATCGTATGATGTTTACTTGGCAGCATTTCTATAGTTATAGCATTCTGCTTTGTTTTTGCCATCTCCATCTTCTGTACTTTTCTTACAGCGCAAGTACAGGCAGAAGCCAGGAGTACCAAAGGTGTTCCCAGACTCAGTTGAACAACGTCATGTCAAGTCTCTGGACCCACTGAAGGATGTACGTATACCGTGACTGATAAGTTACATGACTGTAGCAACACAGGATTCATTGTGTTAATCAAATACTGAAGCACTACTTGTGAATGTCTCATTCTGAATATAGATTCTGAGTATCTTCTGAAAAATTCCAGTTCTCCAAATTTGATTGTAAAAGCAAATTTTTACCAAAAGATATTGTACATTATCTCAACAGAAAGTGTACAAGCACGAGCCAGGCGGCTTCACTTCTGAGATTGACACTCCTGAGACCAGGAGGATGAGGACTCTACTGGAAACTGTCAGCGACTATTACTACAAGGAGGAAGCCAAGGAGATTGTGGAGAAGTGCTGCAGCCAGTTCCCCTTCACTGTGGAGATTGAGAGGGTGGAGAAGGTTACAGAAATGCAGGACGATGTAAGTGTTGCAATGTGAAAGCACAAACAGATTTTCTACCTGCACATATGTAGCTGTTGTAAAAGGCATGAATTTTCTTTCTTCTCTGAGTAAGGGTAGTTGATGTTGTTCTTTAGAACCAGAAGTAAAGATAACAATCCTATAATTTCAAAAGAATTGCAAAGTGTTTGACAGCAGGTGTTATAAATGTATGTTGGAAATAATGTGTATTGGAAAAATGTGTATTGGGAAAAATGTGTATTGGAAAAAATAAATTTGAATGCCTATGTTGTTCACAAGAAATTGTCAACATATGTTCTACATTGTATGTACCAGTTTCTGTTCAGTAATTTATGTTGCTTTTTTTGCTTCCACCAGCGCCGCTACCGTGCAGATTATGAGAGGGACAGACACAACTACACCGTCATTCCAGACTCCCCTGAAGTCGCTCGTGTGGTGGAGGCTGCCAGGATGCAGAGCGATGTAAGTTCTCAATATTTTCTATTACAGCAACTATTCTGGAAGCTATGCAAACACGTTGAGCCTTTGCAGTCTAAATATTAAATTTTGTGCTGTTGGGTTTATGGAAATGTACTAAAGCAGTAAGTCACTAATAAAGACTAACAATGGATCTTTCTCTTTCCCTAGCTGATCTACAAAGAAGGGTTTGAACAGCAGAAGAAGGAAGGCTACAAGATGGTGTCAGACACACCTCTCTTCCTCCAGGCCAGGGAGTCTGCCAGGAATGCCAGTGATGTGAGTTTTTGCAATCAACATTATTGTACAGTAACGTTAATGGTTTTCATTGTCTTGAAAGCCTTTTTGTCATTTTAAGTACTCAAATATAATTCCCCTGGCATGCCTTGTTTTTGCGGTATGACCTAGTTGAATATTAGCTAGAAAGACCAGCTATTATAATTATTGTAAGCCTTCCAGTTGTGACCACATTTCACTTTGTTATGAACATGGGTTGGTTGGTGTAACTTTGTTGTGCATTAATTTCCTCAGTACGTGTACAAGACAGCAATCAAGCAGGCACAAGAGGCCCAGTACAAGAATGTCCACGAGTCTCCACTGTACCTGCAGAACAAACTGTCAGCACAGTTGTCTTCTGGAGTAAGTACATGCAGCATGCTTTCTGTTTGTGTTTTCAATTTAAATCAATTTTTAATAAGCACCTAAAACAGAGCCTTAAAATTGCATTGCACCAAAATATCTTAGAATTAGCATATTCCATTAAACTTGTTGCTTTGCTTGTACAGCCTCTGTACGTCAAGGACTACGAGCAGCAGAAGCTGAAGTACACCCTCCCTGCTGACAGGGTGGACATGGTGGCTGCCAAGAATATTCTGGACTTGTCTGACGTAGGTTTCTCTCTTAATTATAACACCATGATGTTGTCTGAGGTTTTCTCCTGAACTATATCTTTCAGCACAATTGTTTTTGCTTTTTACCATTTGTATGGCTGCACTGTAACCCCTTTTTTACACAATGAACTCTGTATTTTTCTTCTTTCAGCGCAAGTACAGGCAGAAGCCAGGAGTACCAAAGGTGTTCCCTGATTCAGTGGAACAAAAACATGTCAGGTCTCTGGATCCACTCAAGGATGTACGTAATCAGTCTTTTGTTTACTTGTTTATTATTCATTAGTTCTTTGTCAAACTCATGTATCACTAAAGCACTGACAGTAGTTAGTAGTTTCTAAACAAGCCATTGCTTTTGATTTTAGTAAAGAATTCTCTGAATCATTTTAATTTGAAGATCAGTTAGGACTACTTAAGATTCACTTGTTTGACTTTTGCAAAATTGCTCTATCAACAGAAAGTCTACAAGCAAGAGCCAGGCGGCTTCACCTCTGAGATTGACACTCCTGAGACCAGGAGGCTGAAGTCTCTTCTGGAGATTGTCAGTGACAACTACTACAAGGAGGAGGCAAAGGAGATTGTGGAGAAGTGCTGCAGCCAGTTCCCCTTCACTGTGGAGATTGAGAGGGTGGAGAAGGTCTCAGAGATGCAGGATGCGGTGAGTAAGAAAAACATTTAATATAGGCACTCGTTGAAAGTATCCAAATATTCAGAATGATCTCCTGACTTACATGTATCTTGTTTTATCTAGAACCTTGTCTATAACGTTCAATGACTAAATGGGTTAGAGTTAGGATCAAGCATGGTTCTGGATGGCCTCAGGGCCTCAGGATAATCCGAGAACATAGATTTGCCCCAGACATAGTTCTGGGTATGTGTAGACCATCCATGACCGTGCCTGGGCATGGTTCTAGATACAACATTGCTCTTATAGATCTTGGTAAAAGTTTGATCTTGTAATCTGACGTGTTGCTTGTTCCTTCCATAGCGTCGTTACCGTGAGAAGTGGGACGAAGAGAAGCAGAAGTACACCGTCATTCCAGACTCCCCTGAAGTGATGCGTGTGGTGGAGGCTGCAAGGATGCAGAGTGATGTAAGTTCTCCATCATTTTTATCACAGTAACTGCAGCTATTCAATAAGAACCTTGACAAACCCGTGGATTTCTTTTCATACATGTTGGAATTTGTGTCTACAGGATGACAGAAAAATACTACCTTTTGGGTAAGTCCCCATTATCAAACACTGACAATACTCAATATTGTGGCCTCTTTTTTTCACAGCTTGTCTACAAAGAAGGGTTTGAAAAGCAGAAGAAGGAAGGCTACAAGATGGTGTCAGACACACCTCTCTTCCTCCAGGCCAGGGAATCTGCCAGGAATGCCAGTGATGTGAGTTGTACAGTCCTTTGTCTTTCATTTGCATGTTTCAATGTTTACAATTTGTAAAGAATGACAGAAATGTCTCATATGGTGGCTTGGATTAAGTCATGGCCCTCTAATACTGAAGAGACATTATATTAAACATTAGAAATTCTTGTTTTAGTATTTGTAAGCAAAAGTACTAAATCTTGATCTCTTTCTTGTTTTTGAAAACCAAATCCTGTGGTATTTTTATTAAGATTATCATCCAGTTGGGTGGTCATTAATTTAAATTCCATGTTTTTTTCAGTATGTGTACAAGACAGCAATCAAGCAGGCACAAGAGGCCCAGTACAAGAATGTCCATGAGTCTCCTCTGTACCTGCAGAACAAACTGTCAGCACAGCTGGCCTCTGGGGTGAGTTAATATCTGTTTGTTTCATACCTGCTGTGAAGAATGGAAATATTTATTCCTCATGGTATATAGAAAAAATGCTTTTGGCAATTTTTTAAATTGTTGTGGAGCTGAATGTAACGCTTATCTTTTCCAGCCTCTGTATGTCAAGGACTATGAGCAGCAGAAGCTGAAGTACACCCTCCCTGCTGACAGGGTGGACATGGTGGCTGCCAAGAATATTCTGGACCTGTCTGAGGTAGGTGTTAGATGGATCTTACATTCTTATTTAGTAGTAGTAGTCCACTGTATTCTACCGCTGCAGTAGCTCGGCATCCTGCAGCATCAATCAGTCTTTCTTCAGCTCTCTCCACTTCGTCCTGTTCATCGCGAGCCTCCTGAGCTCCTGGAGTTTTCTTTCTGACCGCAATGGTCCTAGTCCTCTTTCCTTGAGGTTTGCCCTCAGCAAACTTAGCAGATTACTGCAGTGCCTTCCCATGCTTATTTAGATTATAAAAATTAACAGAGTATACATTTATATCTGATAAATCATTGACTAATACATGTACATCAAATTTTGACACTGATCTTTTTTTGTTTCCTTTAGCGCAAGTACAAGCAGAAACCAGGAGTGCCTAAGGTGTTCCCAGACACTATTGAGGGGGTCCGTGTCAAGTCTCTGGACCCACTGAAGGATGTAAGACCTTTGTACCTTGGTTGTCATTCATGTTTTGTAACTGCAGCAAGATCAATAATTTTATTCCTCTTTCTCAGTTCTCTGTTAAAATTTAGATGTTGAATCAAAATACTTTCCGGCCCAACCAACAGAAAGTCTACAAGCAAGAGCCAGGCGGCTTCACATCTGAGATTGACACTCCTGAGACCAGGAGGCTGAAGTCTCTACTGGAGATTGTCAGTGACAACTACTACAAGGAGGAGGCCAGGGAGATTGTGGAGAAGTGCTGCAGCCAGTTCCCCTTCACTGTGGAGATTGAGAGGGTGGAGAAGGTCTCAGAGATGCAGGATGCTGTAAGTTACATGCAATAACATCAACAAAACGTATTGTAAAGACAGTCTACACTTTTCCCAAACCTTGCTTGTTGATAGAACAATGTTCTCTTGGTATGGACCAGAAGCATTTTACAAGATAGAGCAGTTTCACACCCCAACAAACTCAAAAGGGAAGTTATAAGTAGTGTAGCTCATTGTTTATTTTTCCTTCTTGTGATACACTGTCATTTTAAGTTCCTTGTTGAGAGTTTGAAACTCATCAAAACACGGCCATGGGTATGCTTGAATATGGTGAAAATGAATTTAACGGTATCATGTTTGTAAATCTGTTTCATTTTTTCACAACAGAAAAAGTACCGTGAGAAGTGGGATGAGGAGAAACAGAAGTATACCGTCATCCCAGACTCCCCTGAGGTGTTGCGTGTGGTCGAGGCAGCTAAGATGCAGAGTGATGTAAGTTTTACTCAATCCTGAACAGATACCAGTATATTGTATCTAAATCTATGAACCAGGTCAGTTTTGTGTATATTATGTCATGTACATTCAGAATTTCAGAAAAAATTGAGACGCATAATAATGATAATGTTGCAATGTTTTCCGTAGCTAAGATGCAGAGTGATGTAAGTTTTACTCAATCTTGAAGACTGTCAGATAGATGCTAAGATACATAAAACTGCATACTGGTCAGTACTGGTCTTAGAATTTCAGGGACAAATTTTGATTGATGATAATTTTTTGTTTCTTGTACAATGTCAATACATACTGAATTTCAGGGAAAATTTAGATTGATTATAATGATGATGATGCTCTAATTTCTCTAGCTTTGATTTGATATCTATAACTGTTATCGACTTAATATATTTGATCTTGATTGTTGTGCTTGCTCTTTTCACAGCTTGTCTACAAAGAAGGGTTTGAAAAGCAGAAGAAGGAAGGTTACAAGATGGTGTCAGACACACCTCTCTACAACCAGGCTAGGGAATCAGCCAGGAATGCCAGTGATGTGAGTCTTAGATCATTCCGCAAATCTTCACAATCTTGTATTTCTTGACATTAGACATAGGTTTCAATACACAGTATATACATGTACAGTATGTCTGATTATGCAGAAGTAGTCCTGGTACTGGATTGATATGAAATTTGGATATTAGGTTTTGCTTCCTCTCATATTGAATGGATATGTCATATTCAACTGTATTTTTCTGCATACTTAAACACTGTCCATACTTGCAGTATAACTACAAGACAGCACTGAAGGAAGCTCAAGAGAAACAGTACAAGAATGTCCATGAGTCTCCTCTGTACCTACAGAACAAATTTTCAGCACAGCTGGCCTCTGGGGTTAGTACATGTATCACAATCATGTTTTACTTTCTCATGCAAATCTATTCACACCAATAGCAATAAATGTTGGTATTTTAAATATTACTTCTGCCTACACTGCCTTAATTGCTTCTGTATTTTTTGGTGTGACTTTTTAGCAATAAATACATAAATAGGTCGTGTGATAAATCACCAACATGCAGTAAGACACAGTTTCCATTGCATGTACATTTTTTGTAAACACCATTTTTGCTTGATGTTGTAACATCATCATTTCATAGTTTGCAAGAAACAAGATAATTTTTACTGCAAATATGTCACAAGATTAAATAGTTCTTTAATTTTTAATGTTGTGTCTTTTTCAGCCACTGTATATCAAGGATTACGAGACAGGGAAGGTGAAATATGCCCTGCCGCCTGACAGAGTGGACATTGTCGCTGCAAAGAATTATCAGAACTTCTCTGATGTAGGTATCGCCTTAGTTTGTTCATCCATGTTTTATTTATTATTAGAAAATGTATTAATTTATACATGACCCTTATGTACATTTATGGATTTTACTTCGCAGTAATTTCTAATTATTTTGTGCTGTTATTTTTTAGCGCAAGTACAAGCAGAAACCAGGAGTGCCGAAGGTGTTCCCAGACACTGTTGAGGGGGTCCGTGTCAAGTCTCTGGACCCACTGAAGGATGTAAGACTTTATACCTTGGTTGTCATCAATACCTCTCAACATTTCATTGTCATAAAGATATTTTGTTCATCTTCCTCAGTTTTGTATCAAACTTTACATGTAGATATTGAATCTTGAAACATTTTCTGGACCAACCAACAGAAAATCTACAAGCAAGAGCCAGGCGGCTTCACCTCTGAGATCGACACTCCTGAGACCAGGAGGCTGAAGTCTCTACTGGAGATTGTCAGTGACCACTACTATAAGGAGGAAGCCAAGGAGATTGTGGAGAAGTGCTGCAGCCAGTTCCCCTTCACTGTGGAGATTGAGAGGGTGGAGAAGGTCTCAGAGATGCAGGATATGGTAAGTAAAATATGATTGCCATAACATCCCCGTGAATTCCCGTTGATCCACATGAAGTTTGATCATAGAGAAAAGGATATCATTCCTTTTAAGCTGATGAACTTTATTCACCTTACAATTTCACTTAACTTAAACCTTGTGCATTGACATGGACATGCATGTCAATTTTGTTGATATAACAATAACAATGTGCTTTAGGCCTTAAGCATAAGCATGCTACAAGTATGAGTATTTGTAGTTCCTTTTACATCATTGTGATATACTGTCATTTTGAGTTTTGTGCTGAAAGAGGCTGACATGTATTTACAGTCCTAACATACCCTTAGATATGTTTCTGTGAACCTGTCTAGGTAATATTGTAATCAACTACATTTTTTCTCATCAGAAAAAGTACCGTGAAGCGTACGATGAGGCCAAACAGAACTACACAGTCATCCCAGACTCACCTGAGGTCCTGCGTGTGCTAGAAGCCAACAAGCTGCAAAGTGATGTAAGTCCTGAAATTACTTTCTTTCTTAGTCCTAGCTCCTGCTTGAACCAATCCAGAAGGTCTCCTCCATAGCACTTGGTCTTCCATGACCCTTCGCAATTCGTTGGTATCATGTAGGTCAGTGTCACATCGCAGATTGTAGGTGACTCATCAAATTAACGTTTAATGTGTAACAAACGTTAGACAACAGTGGGTTGTAGAGGAATGATGCCCCATTGTTTTTTGTAGATTCTCCTCAAGATGATTTTCTGGAAAGTAGTGATTCTTGATTTAGTTGTCCTCTAACTTTGTCACTTTAAGTTGTTGCATAGTCTCCAGCAACTCTAGCTTTTAATTTTTTAATGAATTCAACTGAAGCTTTAGGTTCTAATGGTGGAATTATGAACTTAACATTCTGTTGGAGACAATATGTGTTAAAGGAAGGACATTTTTCATATCTTTCACAGCTTGTATACCACAAGGGCTTCGTGAAACAGAGGGATGAAGGTTACAAGATGGTGTCAGACACACCGGAGTACCGCCGAGCTACATTTGCAGCTGCCCTGGCCAGCGATGTGAGTACAAGTTTTTTAATGTTTACCGGAGGAAAACATATTGCTTTTCCTCAGTTTCTTCCTCTTCTTCTCCAAACAAATAAAGTCAATGACCTGAACCAGATGTCTCTCACCATGGTAACTGGTGTTGGGTTACATAATGTTGCAAGTGCCATGCGGAACAGAGTTCAAGAGGGGCTGCATGGTCACTATATATATATGAATGTGTTTGAGAAAGAATAAACAAAGCTTGTTAAGCTGGGCCATGTGAAGGTAAACATACTTTTCTTTGCAAATGTTACTTTCTAGTTATTATTTTATCTCCTCCATTGTGCATGATCTGCAGAGTTAGCAAATTACATAGTCACTGTCCATGGTGCTGAAAATGCTGTAGATATGTGTGTTTTAAGAAATCAGTGAAAATCGATACGATACAAAATATAGATTCAAGATTCAAGATGTCAGACCCAGACAAATAACTCAGACTTTATGATAGACATTTCAGAAGATAGAAATACAGCACAAATGAATCTCCTTTTTTTCAAACAGCCCGAACTAATTGTTACAAAATACAGGTAGCAGTATCAATGCAGTTCCTCATTTGTTGATGAAATAAAGGAAATTTGTACAAAAATATTCTCTGTTTGAATTTATATCTTTTGTTAATATGTCATTGCAGTACCTGTACAAGACAGCACTGAAGAGAGCTCAGGAGACACAGTACAAGAATGTGCACGAGTCTCCTCTGTACCTGCAGAACAAACTGTCCGCTGAACTGTCATCAGGGGTAGGTGTCTGGAGTTTCAATAATGTATTCACAGCATATCTCTTAAAATAGTGTTATATACTGGTTTTATTTGTCATTTCTAGATAACAATACAAAATCGCAGGGCTCCCTTATCAGGGTCTTGAATTGATTTGCCATTCGTTTACCATTTGTTTGCCAAATATGGAATACATCACTATAGCATTAAGTTCACATAAGTTAGGTGCCCAAAATGGACATTCTCTAGAATCTAAAACTGTCTAGGAACAAGTAATGTCAATGACCTGGCTTTATTCTTTCAACTTTTAACTTAAAGTATGTTGCATGGAACAAATCTGCTAGAATGGTCTTGCAAAAGTAATGGAATATTTTGAGACATACATGTACATGAGTCCACTGCAATGTTATTTCAAAGTCCTCTATGTACAGATGTATGTTTTAACATTGTTGTATATTTTTCCTCAAAGGTGAGGTATGTAAAGAACTATGAAGAAAACAAGGTCAAGTACTCGTTGCCTACTGACCGTGTGGACATGGTCGCAGCCAAGGAAGCAATCGCCCGATCTGATGTAAGTACTCATTAGATGTAATGTTTCCAACTCTGGCATAGCCTTCTGATTTTCCATCCCTGTTCCTTGCTGATACAATAACTGTCCTTAATCAACAATGAATGCCAGCGACATATTCTTATTTTAAATGTCATTTATACCCATTATTTGTCTCTTTTTAGCGCAATTACAAGCAGAAGCTTGGATCACCTAAGGTGTTCCCAGACTCCGTGGAGGGGGTCCGTGTCAAGTCTCTGGCACCAATGAAGGATGTAAGTACACTATGCTTTGAGTTAAGGAGTCTAAAACCAAAAAAAAAAACATGTTGTCCTGTTGAATGATTATTAGTTTGTGAATGAACCTATGGAGGCCATAACAGGCTCCTGAAATTATCCTGAATTTCCTTACCAAGACACGTATCAATAAATGATGAAATACTTTTAATCCAATTAACAGAAAGTCTACAAGCAAGAGCCTGGTCGTTTCACCTCTGAGATTGACACTCCTGAGACCAGGAGGCTGAAGTCTCTACTGGAGATTGTCAGCGACAACTACTACAAGGAGGAAGCTAAGGAGATTGTGGAGAAGTGCTGCAGCCAGTATCCATTCACTGTGGAGATTGAGAGGGTGGAGAAGGTCTCAGAGATGCAGGATGCTGTAAGTTACATCCATTCAGATGTATACAGAATAGAAGAGGGCCAAGTAGTGATCCCTGTGGCACCTCATAATGGGTATTCATCTGCAGATGATGACATTTGTCTAAAAATGTTGCCTGATACAATGCTGTGCCTTAATTGCTCATGTATTTAGTTCCTTTTACAATGTGATATAAGTTCCTTGTTTACTGTTTAAAAAAGATTGATGTATCTGTTTATGTATCTAACACCCCCAATGAATTGTGATGTCTTGCATTTTTTTTTCATCAGAAACGTTACCGTGAGGCCTGGGATGAAGACAAGCAGAACTACAAGGTCATTCCCGACTCCCCCGAGGTCCTTCGTGTGATCGAAGCTGCCAAGATGCAGAGTGATGTAAGTCTTTACAGTTAGTTTTGATAGTTGCCCGAAGTACCTAGCTTGAGAAAATGGTAGATTTCCATCCGCAAGAAATCTTTTGTACAGGCTTAGGTGCAAAGTTCTGTAAAAGTTTTTTGGCTCTATACAAAATGTCGTTTTGCTTCTTAAAGGTCTTTAATTGCTTTCTTGAAAGTGATCAAGTGGTTCATCATATCAAGTACCTAACAGCAGCAAGCTGTAGCTTTCTGTATGACAGTGTAAAGAATGTCTGGATTTTTATTTTATTTGTGAATGTGTGTCTTTAACATAGTTTCATCAACTTGTGCCAAAGGATATAGCTTAGGTTCGAAAAGTGATAAATGCTCAAGACAAGATGTAATCTCACAAACTTGTACTCAAAAAAAGAATATCTTACCCCCTTCACAGCGCCTGTACCAGAAGGGTCTAGAGAAACAGAGGGATGAAGGGTACAAACTGGTGGCAGACAGTCCAGAGTACCGCAGGGTTCTCCTGGCAGCAGCACAGGCCAGTGATGTAAGTACAGGTCCTTTGTACGGTTCTATTTTTTTTTATTGTTTATTTCAGGTTCAACGGCTCATAGTGTACAGATACATTAACATGACACAAACACATCTAAAAACAAATGTCAAAATATGTACAGATAAATGTAAAAAGAAGACTACTGAGCTGTACTGCCACAAGAAGGCCCCCTTACGGCGGGTGGACCAATCTACAACAATGTTGCCAAAACAGGCTAGAGGAGAAGGCTTCCGAATGGAGCAACAGTTTGATGATGGTGTTCCCAGACCCAATTTAGTGAGAGACATAAGAATACAGCAATTTCTGGCAGTTGGACTCTCTAAGGCTAAAGGATATAATTTGGTTACTGTCCTTGGTGCTGAAAAACTGGTAGTACACGATTTTAGCAATCCATACTAAGTGTTACATTATAGATTGTTTGGCCATGCCTTATTCCTTCCATCTGGGTCTGTCCTGTCACATACTACATGTAAATGTGAAGAAGATTTAATGATTCCTATTTCAGAACTACAACCATGAACAATGATAAGCTTCCTTTGAGATGTCTTCATTGGATGATTCTCAAATTTTTTAGGGGATGAGTTTACTAATTGGATAAAAAGTTCTATACAACAACATCATTTGAATCTTCATCTTTACTGTTGTGTACCCTCAGGTCCTCTACAAGACAGCAATAAAGAAAGCTCAGGAGACGCAGTACAAGAACGTCCATGAGTCTCCTCTGTACCTGCAGAACAAACTGTCTGCTGAGATGGCTTCTGGGGTTTGTATTCATCCATTTCGCCTATTTAAACCTAATGCAATTGTAACAACAACATAGCAACTCTCTTCATCAGAAAAATCAAGGGACGGTATAAAATATATGTACCATATGCAGTGTCTTCAACAAGACTGTGCATGAGAGATCTTCAGTGTTTTAAATGAAGCTGTTCACAGGCCTAAGGTGGTTGCAACCCACGAACATTTACATGTATGTTGCTAACATTTTGTCTTGCACTCACACTTACTATCTGGTTTATCGTCTGTTGTTCCCCGTGTTTCAAGGGTTAGATGTGCTTGCACTCTGATGCTGAGGCTTGATAGCAGCCCGCCACTTGCCTCTATCCTGTGGGTTGACATTATGTAGGTTCAAGTGGTGGAAGTCTTCCCTATGCACAGCCAGCATAATTTATACACATAACGTTACTTGCACAAACTAAGTTTAATTCATTTCCTTTTTCTTCTTCAGGCCAGGTACATTAAGGACTATGAACAGATGAAGGTGAAGTACTCGTGCCCTGCTGACAGGGTGGACCTCAAGACTGCCAAGATGGTGGCTGGCTTCTCTGATGTATGTACTCTCCATTAACATAATATTTGCCATTTTGAAAAACTGTGTGTTTGAGAGATCTCTAGTGCAGCACTCCTAGGTACACTATGTGTAGTAAGATATGCAGGAGTACATTTTTATGATTGTACTCATTTTTTTCATGGTGGTAGATATATTTGAAATTATGTGAGTAGATGTTACTTGTAGTTTTGTTTTGTTATGATATGCTATAGTTACACATGTACATACATGTGACTTTAATGTCATTACTTAAGAATGTTTTACATTTTTTGCCTGTTATCTCTGGACTTGCAGCCTTTTGTTGTGCACTTGTAAATATAAATGTGCACTTACATTGTGTGATAAACTATTAAACCTTTTCTCCCTGTTATTTACAGCTCAAGTACAAGCATATTGAGCCCAAGTACACACCAGTTGCTGACACTGTGCAGAATGAACACGCCAAGACCATTGCTGGCTACAGTGATGTGAGTTCTAGTTATGACCCTCAAACATATTTCTCATGTTTAACTGCCATGGGCTATACATGATTGCATGTTAATCAGAAAAGTAGGATATACATGATTTTTTATTTTCTTCAGCACACTTTCCAGTTTTTTGTTAACTGCATTTCAAAGCTACTTGTTCCTTTTCCCAGCTTAAGTACGTCCAGAAGGTTGCCGCCAAGAACTTGTCTGAGACGGACACGCCAGTGATGAGGAGGATCAAGTCTCTCCAAGAAATCACCAGCGACAATCTCTACAAGGAGGAGGCCAAGGAGATTGTGGAGAAGTGCTGCAGCCAGTATCCCTTCACTGTGGAGATGGAGAGATTCGAAAAACTCTTGGAACTCAATGACAAGGCAAGTCAGCTTCTCAGCTTTAGTTCTTTCATAATTTTGGGAATGTATACATTGTACACAGTCATAGGAAACCTTTTAAAAGTCCCTGTACTTATGCATGTAATGTCAATGAAATGTCTACCAATTAGATTGATAAGATAGACATATTTGCTTTGTAGCATTCATACTTCCAAGAGATGTTAAATCCATTTTCATTCAGTTTTGTGTGTCTGTAGTTGTAGAATACATTTCAATCTTTGCCATTCTCTGTTATTTTTACCTGCAGAAGTTGTACAAGAAAGACTACGAAGAGGAACGTCAGAAATACCATGTGTACCCAGATACACCTGAAGTCAAGCGTGTCATCGATGCGGCCATCTTGCAGAGTGACGTATGTTCCACTCACTCACTATCTTTCTTTAAACATTTTATTTGCATTAACTACATTGACCTGTATTTAACCCACTATGTTCACTAGAGCTGCATACCGTTTTTGTGTACAGTACTGCGAAAATCAGTATGTTGTAAATGCTGATAAATGTTATGTTTTTACTGTTCCCCAGGCGAAGTACCGTGAGAAGTATGAGACAGAGATTAAGGGTAAAGGAAACTTCCCCCAGCACATCACTCCTGTGTACGCATCACAGAAGGAGGCTTCAGGCCTCACGGATGTAAGCAGCCATTACCTCTTTACTGCTTCAATGTTTATTTTAAATTTGGCATTTCTGTTAAGAGATCTGAATTGGATTCTTAACATTCATGTATAAGTGTGTATTGAATAGTAACTAAGATGGTTATATCTTTTCCAAGAAATATACATTGTTTAGTCACAGCAGGAAAGTTTTAGTAAGGAGCCTATTGTTTGAATAATGTTTCTTGATCACTACTTTTAATACATAAATTTTACTTTGCCTTGCAAATCCTGAAAGGAAGGAGGCATTTTGGAGGGTGTTGGCTTAGGATCTTAGGATCTGACAGACCAGTATAGAATGGGACATGGGGGCTAGGGGAATGCAGTCAGCTCTTTGCATATGGGATTTGTTGTATAATTGCTGTAGAAGTAGGTATCCTTTCACCTTGAAAGATGATCATTGATGTAGGTTGTAAATTAATGATATGTTAGTACTACACTGTGTGCACGTTTTGAAGTTGGAAATTGTGTTTTGTTGCTGCTTCAGGCTGTGTACTCGAGGGATGCCCGTGAGAAAATGCAGGAGAAGAGCTACAAGAACTTCCACGAGTCTCCGCTGTACAGGACACTGAAGGACGACACTGACATGGCCAGCATGGTACACACACTTCCACTTCATTTTGTAAAAATTATTAGTTAGATCCTTCAACTAAACACATTGTGACTTTGCCTTTAAGTTGTTAATTTATTGCTCACAGCCAAGGCGGGACATAATTTATTTCAGAAGTCATACCTTTGGTGCCAGGCAACCTTCTATCTACAAATATAGCATTGCTTCCATTGTTCAGGTTCCTCGATGGGTGGACTCCATTGACCACTGAACAGTGAGAGTTTGTGTGCATTCATCTGTCAGACTACCTCACTCTTTATTGTGTTATTTTCATGTGACCAGTCTAAGTACGTCAGTGACTGGGAGCAGAGAAAGGTGGACTACAAGGTTGTCGCAGACACTCCGGACATCAAGAGGGTGAAGAAGGCTGGCACCCTGGCCTCCCCGGTAAGTCCAAACAACTATCTGTACTTTGCAAATACTATGCTCTATCTTGATGTTATTTGATAGCAGATTATACAATGTGATCATTCATATACCAAAAATATTCCCAAGTCTCTTCTTCTATAATGTTTTTTTTGTTTGATACATGTATGACTGTATTTCAATATAGAGATTTATAGTTATCCAGTATTGCTGATTGTTAAGACTATATTCCTTTACTGCTTCAACTGATAGGTTTTCCATATACTAAAGGTGTTTTTGTGCCCCTTACACAGAGAACATATGTGCAGAAACAAGAGAAATATGAGACAGTTGCTGACACCCCAGCCAACACCCTGGCCAAGGAGTCAGGCAAACTGGTCGGAGATGTAAGTCATGAAGGAATGAATGAATGAACTTGAACATGTGAATGTACTTGCAGTTACCCTTTGGGCATGATTTTTCAAATAAACTTAGTATACATGTACCTGTACATGTTTAGAGACACAAAGGAGACATTCAGTACAGTGGATAGCTAATGAACAACATAAGCATCAACATAGAAATCAGCACCAAGGACAGATGTGGAAAATGTAGAAAGGGCAGGGTAACATTTAGCAAGGTGGATTACACAAAGTGTAACAATAGAAATACACAAGAGTGACATTCAGTACAGTAGATGGCTAATGCACTACAACACTAACATGGGAATCAGTACCAAGGACAGGCAGGGGAGACACAGAAAAGCCAGGATAGTAACATATAATACTGTGGTTGTCACACTTGTCACAACAGAAATACAGAAGCTTGATATCCAGTACAGTGGATAGCTGATGAACAGCATGCTTCGTCTTTCCTCAGCTCCACTACAAGCAGGTAGTGAAGAGTCGTGGCCTCACAGACACCGACACCCCGGAGATGAGGCGGATCAAGTCCCTCCGTGAGATTGTCAGTGACAACATCTACAAGGAGGAGGCCAAGGAGATTGTGGAGAAGTGCTGCACCCAGTATCCCTTCACTGTGGACATGGAGAGGTTCGAGAAACTCATGGAACTTATGGACCAGGTAGGGATATCAGAATCTCATACTATCTTAGAATCCATACAGTGTACAATCAGCACGTCGGCAGAACGTACTGCACCTGCGCGAAACCCGTAATGTATTGTACTTAGCATTTCGGCAGAATGTCTCATATAAGGTTGTATTCGCTCATATAAGGTTAGCATTTCGACAGTAGTTTCCAAATGTTATGTCGGAAAGAATATCCTCTGCAACAGGCAAAATTCTAATGCAACGTTGACCAAAAACCCAACGAAAAACGTGAAAATACGGGGTTCTGCGCAGGCGCAGTACGTTCTGCCGACGTGCTTGTACAATCATGTTTCAGCTTGAGAGTTCTGTGTTGGTAGAATTGAACTTACCCAGATTTTCTGCTGTTCAACTCAAGTCAATGAATGAGCAATTCACCACTTCATGTTATGCAGATAATATATGTGACTCAGTGAGCAATTTTTCAAACCTGCTTTGTCTTTGCAGAAACGGTATAGGAAGCACTATGAGGAGGAGCGTGGCAACTTCCATGTCTACCCAGATGCACCGGACATCAAACGTACCCTGGCAATGGCCATGCTCTACAGCGATGTACGTTTCTATTTGCTCCTCAAACGTTTGCTGTGTATAAGATTATGTAAATTCATTATTTAGTTGTATGTGTATGATTTGTTAATCCATTGTGCCTAATATCAGCCATTGCTGCCTTTCTAGCCTACTGATGTTGCAATTCCAATGAAATAACAAAATTGCGTTGAACTGTTTGTGGATTTTTTGTCTCTTTCTCAACAGCTGAAGTACAAGGAGGCATATGAGAATGAGATGAGAGGCAAGGGCAACTTCCCGCAGCACATCACCCCAGTCTACCGCAGCCAGATTGAAGCTGCCAAGATTACAGACGTAGGTCTTCAAGAGTTCTACCTTTAACTATTTCTTAAACAGTTGTTTTAACTATTCATCTATATTTGACAAGTTGGTGGTCTGCTAACCCTTGTACATGTAATTCACATATGAAATACAATGGAAATGGGAACAGTTAGGTTTTAGATACTGAATAGGACTGGGAATTTGAGGTAAACAAACAAATCCTTATCAACCATGTACTTGTCATGTATAGATTCAGACTGTTAGAAGTTTATTTTAGCCATTGCTTGTTCATGACTAAGAGCTGACACAATATTGTACTCAGTATGTTTGCTGTATTGCATAAGACTTCTGACTAAGTCCCTATAATTCATATGAATAAATCTTTTTGATATTTGCAAGTAATTCTCTCCTGGTCACCTTGTACAGGCTGTGTACAAGAAGGATGCTCATGATGAGATGCAGAAGTTGAGTTATAAGAACTTCCACGAGTCCCCGCTGTACAGGACTCTTAAAGATGACACCGACATGGCCAGCATGGTATGAATACAAAATGATTTGTATATCTGTGCTCTTTTTAATTCACATTCATTATGGTTCCTGTCCTAGCCTCAGCCTGAATATTGTTTTCATCATCTCAATTTCGTTTCACATAAAATCGTGTGGAGTGCCAAATAAAGGAGTGACAGTTCTAGGAAAGTTTGGGGACATGCCCCCACCTGCAAAGTTTGAAGTTAACTTTTATGCATCGAAATCAGTGCCAGAATTTGTTATATCCCTGTTAGTGTTACAGTAGTAATTGAAGGAATTTATTTAGATACTGCATGTTGTATTTCATTTTCTAAAACACTATGGAAAGTGCTGCACTACACTAAAAAAATAGTCATATGCACTGTCTTACAAATTGTTACGATTAAAAATGACAAAATGTTATGTTCTGTCAATGAGCTTACATGACTTCTTTCCTTTTTGCAGACCAAGTATAGGGACCAGTATGAGAAAGAGAAGATCAACTACAAGACAGTAGCAGACACACCCGACATCAAGAGAGCCAAGAAGGGCGGAGTTCTGGCTAGCCAGGTACTGCCTCATTGTTTACACCAAACATTCAATCTCATTTTCATGTAAATCAGTGTTATTTCAGAATTATGTTCATAGATGAAGGTGAAGTGTATTTCAGCATCATACTTTTTGTCCTTAATCAAATCGTTGTGTTTCCCTCTAGCAGCAGTACTATCATTTGCTAATAACGTGGTTGTTACATCATTGATGTTATTGTGACAATATTGGTGCATGATGTGAAATATCCTTGTAAAATTGACACAATAATTCACAAGAGTTGTTAAATTGTACTTCTCAACAACTTTAACAATTTACCCTACTGGAAACACAAAAGATCACAATTTCTAATGTGTCTGTAACTGTGTGATTGCAAAGTTGGCACATAACGTTGATTCTATGTTACCTTCTGTGAGTCAGAACATATCACCTTGTACTTTTATCCCCGCAGCGATTGTACAAGCAGAAATGCGACTCGTACGAAACTGTGGCCGACACGCCCGCCAATATCCATGCCAAGGAAACAGGCAAACTGCACAGCGATGTATGTATTCTCCTTGTAGCAACAGCCGCAATCCCCGCTCCTGTTGTTGCGCGAAATTTTTGCTGGCTTTTTGCGAGTGTACACATAATAAATGCTGTAAGCTTGGAACCTAGTGGCAAAGTTAAACTTTCTGTAAAAGTTGCTGCTCATAAGGCTCCTGTATCATGTAAGCTTTGTAAGCCTCCCCAGCAAAGTCTCTTTTACCATCTTCTCACTCCTACAGCGGTTACATTCATGTCAAAAGTTTACTCTGAAAGCAAAAAAAAAGTGTTTAACACATTTTGTACGAGCTATGTCCTTGGTGCTGATTGGTTGGTTGCGGTACACATTTGATATGCTGTAGGTAGTGAGAAGAAAAACGTCCCAGCTATGCTATAAATTCAAAGCCTTTCTAGGGTTTTATTCTTCAGTAGTCATTTATGTGATCTATTTCCTTGGCTTTGTCGCATATTTGTGCCTCTGCAATTTGTCATCTATGCAAAACCCTCCCTTCTTGTGTTCCCTGCAGTTACATGTATGCTTACAGCATATCCCAACAAAATTCCAACCTCTGGCTTCCCAGAGTTTTGTGTTTTACCCACATTTTTGCTGATTCACAGTCTTTAAGTCCTCTTCCCATAGAGAAATTTGCGCTTAAGTTGAACAAATCCTCCCCCTGTATCCTCTGTGGTTGTGCTTGCGACATATCAGAAAAGAGTTGTACTTCTGCATTGTCTTGCTTACTTTTGCTGCACCACTGCTGGTAAGTCATTTTCCCATAGAGCTTTTTTGGCATTTTTGCAAAACCAGTCTTTTTCTCTCAGTATCCCAGTTAGTTAATGCTTGCGACATCCTATTTCAACATTTCCTTACAAAAAATCCTATTTCAACATTTCCTTGCTCCCCAAAGATTCACAGCTTTTAATTGTTCTTTCCACATTTCGTGCGAAAACCTTTCTCCCTGTGTGCTTGTACCCATGGAAGTTATGCTTGCGACATATTGGCAACAGAAAATCCTATCTTCATGTTGTCTGGCTTTCCTTCCCCTGCAACATCGCTGAACTGGCACCCCTTTTCCCCTCGCAACTTTGCTCAACTGTGGTCACTGCAATGTCCGTTTCATCCGGAAAACACAGCTGCCATACAGCAATCGCGATGCGGGCACTTTACGGTCTGTGTACCGAGGCCAGCGCTTCACTCCACTGGACACGCCCGAGTCCAGGAGGTTTAAGAGCCTGCGGGAGCTGGCTAGCGATAGCATCTACAAGGAAGAGGCCAAGGAGATTCTGGAGAAGTGCTGCACCCAGTATCCCTGGACTGTGGAGATGGAGAGACTTGAGAAACTGAAAGAACTGTATGACAAGGTAAAAATGTGGCATCATTTACTGATTTAGTTTAGATCTTTAGACATAAAAATGTTGTCATGAATGTTGAACTGAGGGGGTCTGTTGCCGGGGTAACCAACGTCACGTGACGACACAGGGAGCAGGCAGAGACAAATATGTGCTAAACAACAAGCAAATCTACAGTTTTCTTTATCTTTAAAGAAAAAAAATCGTTGAAAAAAAAGTTGGACAATATGTATTACTAGGTTAAAATGTGACAACGTTAATGTAGAACTTTCAATGTGATAACTGAAGGCATACTTGACTCATGAAATTTCTTGGAGATGCTAAAAGATCTGTATGACAAGGTAAAAATGGACTTGTGCATAGTACCAGTGTTGATTTGCCTTTAAGTTAGTTTAAACCTTTTTCTTACAGTATTTAGAAAAGGAACAAAAACAAAGGCTTTCTGTTTGTATAGTAAATCTTGGACGAAACAAACACTCTCAGTCTGGTACTGTTACAGTAGTATATCTTAGAATTTGCTAGGGTTTGGCTGTAGGTGCAAAACGACTCCAAAAGCAATAATATCATTCAATCAGTATATCTTTCCCTCCTATCGCAGGCGCTGTACCAGAAGTTGGTGGATGAAGCACGTCAGTACCACCTCTTCCCAGACTGCCCGGAGATCAAGAGGGTTGTGGATGCTGACAAAATGCAGAGTGATGTGAGTCCTATTCTTCTTGCATTAGCTTATCTAGTGCATTTCTTACTCACATTGCATTCAAAAACTGAGGCTGAATTAACATGTACTATATATGAAGAATATTTTTTTTTACAAAGGATGTCTTTGAAATTACCAAAGGCAACAATGATCAACATACATTTTGTATTTCTCCTTCATAGTGTTTTGTATTGTTCATATTGACATCCAGGACTCTTACATATTTCTTTCTTACAGCTTGTGTATAAGGAGGCGTATGAGAAGGCACGAGGGAAAGGGTACTTCAAGGTCACAGACACTCCGTTGTACAAGACTTTGGTACAAGCTGCTTTGGATGCCAGCCCGGTAGGTTGGATTTTGTTTTCATTCATTACAGTAGTAGCATGCATAGTCCAGTAGTTAGCGACCCTGCCTCAGGACCAAAAGGTTGGGAGTTCAAATCCTGGCTGTTGTAGCTCAGCCATCATGCAGCTACTGGAATGGCTTGCAGTCCTTAGGATGGGACGTTAAACTGTGGTCCACTGTCCATTGTGCTTGTCGAAAAGAGTTAGGGAAATTTACCTTGTACAATGGACAATGAACCTGTAAATACTGTACATAGGCTAATATGGGACATACTGTAGTAATCATACACATCTGAAACATAGATGCATCTGATAGAAAGTAGTGTAGTGTATATGTAGAGACCTTAGTAAGACATGAAACAAAATGTTTTTTCTTCTGTGTGTTTTAGGACCACTACAGCAGGGCGGCTCTGACTGAGATGAGGGAGAAGAATTACAAGAACGTACACGAGAGCCCACTGTACAAAATGCAGAGGGAGAACACAGACAACCAGAGCCCGGTATGTATGCACTCATAATACAGTCTAATGAAATTCTTTGTGGTTGTGTTATGTGTTTGCATAAATTTGTAATTGAACATAAGAGAATTCAATGTATCAGTTAAGCCAACTTGAAGGTAACAGTTATTCAAGCAACTTTGAGTACCGGGTTCCAAAGTAACTCAACTAATAGGTATCTTTCAGTCACTGACAAAAGGTAGAGGACATGTACCTGAAACATCTGACCCTTTTCAAACTCTATTCAGTTGCTTGTGTACTCATTGTTACCACTACCTTCATCAACATATCCTAAATCTTGTAAAATTTGAAGAAGATTCAAAATTGTTCTGTATACTAAATACGATAATAATGATCTTACTATATTCACAACAGTTACTGATCTCTTTTACATGTACTTTTTGATTTTCCAGTACTTGTACAACAAGTTCCCAGAAAATAGACACAACTTTAAGATTCCTGTGGACACACCAGATCTGAAGAGGATTCGGAAGGCAGGCGACATCGCTAGTGAGGTACAGCCTCAAGGGAAAAGAGTGTTGTCACTGTTATGTTGATATACCCATGCATCGCTTAGATTTAAGATCCAGTGCCTAGTAGTACATAGGGCAGCAAGCTTTTTTCTAGTCTGCATGGTTCTTAGCCATGGCTTCCAGGTCTTTCAGGTCCTTTTGTAGAATATATATCTCCAATTGTAAATGATGTATATACAATGTATATCTTTCCATGTATAGAGCTTTCTTGTGAAGTACAAAATGTATTTATTAGGAATGTCATCCATTTATTATGGGATAACATGTACTGGTAGAAGTTCTTTGTTTTTTCCTCCCCCTTCACCTACATGTACATGTATGCTTCTGCTGCCTCATTGTTGTAAAAAAGCTGCTATTTTTAACTGTATTAGCTGCTTTTGCAGTCCTGGGTATAGTTGTACTGACATGTTTTTGTAAGATCCTTCAGATTTTTCAAGTATTGGTTCATGTAAATGGCTGTAACTAAGATCCAATTTGCACTTTTGCTGTTAAATTTTGCCTAATCAATTAAGTTCAGAAATCTGTAGTGATCTGTTATTTCATTTCAATACTTTGCATCAGTTCTATAGCAGCTTGAAGATTTATTGAATAATGTATGAAATAAACATTGTACAGGTATTAGATAATTATTATAACATGCAGAATGCAGTACTGTAGATAGGTTTTTTGGGGATGCCAATTTTACAACTTTTGTATATTTTCCCAATTGTGCTTCTCATTTTCTGCTTCATTGTGGCTTTTTTGTGGGAACTGTTTTGCGCGATTGGCGACTTTTGAATTGAGACAACCTCTTGACTGGAGACATTTTGCCTACTGCGTTGTAGCTACAGCCACCATTTTTTACTATGCAACAGCTACATGTGCCTTAAACATGCAATGCGCCAACCCTGCACGCCTTTTTGCTGTTAAGCTTAAGCGAATTCATAATTGAACTGCTTCGTACTATCATAGCAACAGCAGTAAATCATACTATGCCTTTACTGCGATGCATTATGAGCGCAGAGAATTGTGCGTCATCTTTAATGCACTACCCCTAGAAACCCTTTTACCTTTAAAGTAATCTATTGCAGCAAAACGGATTTTAGGACTGCTTTAAACGAAGGGAAAGCAGCATTTTGCGAGCAATTCACTGCAAAGAACAGATAATGTTATGTGCCAACTTTGTAACAGGACAGGTGACAGCCACATGACAGGTTTGAAGTGTTACAGTAGATCTTTCCTGTGTATTTTTCTTCTAACTTCTAACCTTTTTTTGTACATTAATGTATGACATACATGTAGGATATTGGTATTTTCTTATACACAACGAGTGCTTCTCTTACTTTGCTCATGTTTTGATGTCTGTCAGACACCTTCCTCAGAGCTTTTGACTGGAGTAATGCTTCTCACCTCTATATGTTATCCAAAGTAGGTGGCAAGAAGCAGTACTCCAGTTAGAAGCTCTGAGAAAGGTGTCCAATTGACATCGAAACAAGAAAATCCCAACATCCTATGCTCTACCAACCTGATGAAATTTCTGAAATGTACATAGTTTTACATGATATAACATTTTGATATTCACCTTGGATTTGGTCCAACCCCTTTTCCCCCATAGCTGAAGTACCAGAAGGACAAGAACACAGAGAAGTACATCCCCATCGCCGACACTGTAGCTGTGAAACATGCTCAACACATGGAACAGATCCAGGGCTACGTAAGTCTCAACTGATTTTTTGTCTTTTTCTTTTCTATAACTAAGGAAAACGGATGTCACTAAAGGTTTGACAATGACTAAAATAGGCTTCATGTTCTATAACTGTTACAGTATGCCAAATCTACTATCAATTTGTAAGAAAGCTAAGTGGTGTTTACAATTGAAACAAAGTTGGAACTGTGATGGGGGTAAAGAGTTGTATACATATTACTAGATATTCTGTACAAGCTAAATTGAGATCGATCAAATATTAAACAAATGTCCTCTGTTGGTAACACAGCTGCCGTATGAGAAGCACGATGCAGGCACAGTCAGGAACAGGTACAGGGGGAAGCGCTTCACTCCGGTGGACACGCCCGAGTCCAACCGTCTCAAGAGCCTGAAGGAGCTGTCCAGCGACACCATCTACAAGGAGGAGGCCAAGGAGATCAACGAGAAATGCTGCTCGCAGTTCCCTCTGACTCCCGAGATGGAGCGATTCTGGCGACTTCAGGATCTCTACAGCGATGTAAGTAGTAAAGTACGCTATTTAGTAGCATGGAATCTATAGAATAAGATAAAAATAAACAGATAAATCTATGATTGATTAAATCCATCGTATTCTAGCTTCAGTTTGCTCCTCCGGTTGCTTCCCTTGCCAAAACTGCAGACTGCAAAAAACTGGTCAATGTGGATAGGTTTTGTAATTGTTTGTGGCAAGGGAAAAATTATCTAGGGAACCACTAGAAATTGGTCACATTGGCCAGTTGGGCCATGTATGCAGGTGGTCGCTGGTACAGGTTTGACTGTAGTAAAGTCTGTGTAGTAGTCTGGAATCAATAGAATAAAATACAGATGCTGGTGAACGATTGTTTGAATATATCCTATTCTAGCTTCAGTTTGCATCTGCGATTGCTTTCCTTACAGACTTGATTATTGTGGAAGAACCTTCTTATACAGTCTCTTGCCAACTTGATGAAAATTTAATTATTCACGGAGGAAATATGACTCTGTTTTCAGGCTGACTACAGAATGAAGGCTTTGGAGACACGTGGAGATTTCCACCTGTACCCAGACACCCCTGAGTTCGAACGCCTCAATAAGATGAACATCGTTCAGAGTGATGTAAGTTTGTCACATTTTTTGTTTTTATGTTTTAGACCTTTCTTCATGTATGATTTATACATGTCATGCATGCCTCAACTCTTAATTGTCATGGTCACCAAAACTGGCTACTAGTAAGTGACAAGTTTGACTGTATAGTTAAGAGCTGCACCACTACTTTCTAGCATGTGTAGTCAAGTGGTTAGAAAGCCTGCCTCTGTACCAAAATGTTGGGAGTTCAAATCCCGGCTGTTGTCATTCACCCAAAATACTACACACTACTGTAAAGGCCATAGTGTTAAACTATGTTTGGCTGTTCATTGTTCTTGTTGAAAAGAGCTAGGGGAATTTCCCTAGTACAATGAACCTGTAAATTCTGTACATAGCATTCTGTATTCTCTGTCATGACCAGTGGGAGAGTAGCTCATCAGTGAGCTAAAACTGGATCAAGATCACTTTCCTTTCTGTCTGTCTTCTCTATCATGACCAGTGGAAGGTTAGCTTTCAGTTGTTGGAGATCGTTTTTTAAAATTTTTTTCTTTCTTCCTTGTGACACAGCTGAAGTACCAGGAACGTTACATGAAGGAGTTGAGAGGAAAGGGATACCAGCTGACGCCCGACATGCCGCTGTACCAGAGGATGAAGAGGGTCACAGCCCAGAACAGCGACGTAAGTTCAACATTTCCTACCATTTATATGTTCTCTATGATTTCTTTAAAGCTTTTACACATGCACACGTGTATGTTAATCTGAACGTGCCCTGTCCTTGGTGCTGAACGCCTTCCAATGACAAGTAATGAACTGAACAATCCAAACAAAAAAGCTCCACATAATTCACTGATATTGAGTGAATATTATGTATCCACATGTAATCATGTACATGCTGGTCTGACAGTGTTAGCTCTGTCCTTGGTGCTGAAGCTTACTGATTGGATGACTTTCCTGTTGTTGTTTTACCATGTACAGAATGTCTACAAGGGAGAGGCTAAGAAGCTGCTTGGCAAGAGCATCGATGTCACACAGACGCCCGAGTACACACGCCAACAGGAAGCTCAGAAGATCAGTAGCCAGGTAACACCCTAACACATGTAGCTCTCCCCTTCTTTTCTTCAAAAATCTAAACCTTCCAGTGACATCCTTGTCTAATGCAGTGTGCTGTGTTTCCATATTCTGTGTTTTTATTCATTTAAAAGATCACTGTGACCAAAGCACTTTGGATTGTTGTAAATTGCATCCTGTTTTAATTGTGACTCAAGTGTCTTTCAATGTGTTCAATTTCTGTATACATTTGTATGTCATTGCAATTAGTGCTACAGTAACTGTTGTTACCTTCGAAACTATCAAAATTTATGTCATGTTACTGTTACAATTAATCATGTCATGTGGTTTCTATCATAATATATGTGTCCAATATGTTGAACATGTGATATCATGTAAGTGTTGCTCTGTACATTACCCTGTGTTACTTGCTTATTATGGCATACATTCATCATTTATGTTTTCGCCCGTTTTCTTGCTGCCCTCCTTGCAATTATAAGTTCCTGGCTGTTGCAGTCCTTTCCATCTTCCTGCTTTGTATATTACATTGTACATGTTAAGCTTTCCCTTACGCTTTTGTACCTGTTTTATCCCTGTTTTGCTTGTAAAACTGTCTTGCTGCCTTCTTATGTTTTGCTGTTGTCCCTTCTTTGTTGCTATGGCTTTGCATCGACCCTGGCTACCTGCTGTCCTACCTGTGCTTATATTTTCTTTCATTCCATTTATTTTTTCCTTTTGATCCCTCCATTCTTTGTTACCAAAGCTACACTGCATAGATCCTTGCTACCTTTGTTTTACAGCACTGCTCTTCCTCAGATCCTGCCCAGCCCTTTGCGCAATCCTGTTTTTGTTTTCCTGTTGTACGGTGTCCAATCATTTTCCCAGCTGTATCATTCTGTAGTTTGTGTTAAGTGCAGGACTCTCTCCAGGTCTAATTTTTTCTCTGTCTTCTTAGCAATGATGATAGAGTAAAGCACCAAAATGATGTGATGATTCAAAGCACCAAACTATGTTTCTAATCACCACGCGATGTAGCAAAGCACCAAATTATGTAACTTTATCAAAGCATCAAAGAATCTAAGGACAAATTCTGAACCTGATAAACTTTTTTTAAACACTGCAACCTATTTCCACATTTTGTGAGCTCAGATGCCAATTTCAAAAGGTCTTATCTTAATTTTGTAAATGTTTTGTGGTGCTACAAACAACCTGAGGAATATGTATTGAAGATTTTTTATCTTTGCCTATACATGTCCAGCAAAATTCCTCCCAATGATGGAAGGATAGATGCTAGAGAGAGCCCTGTTACGTTACAATGAGATAAGAATTGCCCACCTGAGGCACCTCTGTAGTTTGTCTGTGCTCTAACCTTGTTACACCCACAGTCTGAGTATGAAGCGAAGGACAAGGAGAGGAAGCATCAGTACAAGACCTCCTCAGACACACCCGAGTACCGGCGGCACAGGAAGGTGGCCAAGTTCACTCCTGATGTACGTGACTTCTCAGTTATCCTCTCACATGCAGCCCTTTGCCTCACTGTCTGTGGTAGTTTATGAATACATCATATATTACATGTATATATATATTCTCAATGTTTCTGAAGGAGACATGATTGTAGTAGTTATCAATGAATGGTCTAAATAGCTTTGTAGCTTTGACTAAACATAACTATCTAGTACCTAAAAGCTAAATAGAGTTTTGTAAGACTTATAGATTTGTTGGAATTTTGTCACTATGTTTAGCCATCTTCAATATGTTTTTTGAAAGAGTAGTGGCTCAAGATTTCTTTACCTGTAGCTCACAAAGCAGTGAGTTTATGTGGTTGAAGTACATGTATGTCACACTGTTTTCATTGATGTTAACTTTGCAACCCCCCCTTCCCATTTCAAATGTAAAAAAAATTAACAGAAAGCGTACCAGACAGCCAAGCCAGATTTGGACAAGTACCACCCTGTGAAGGACACCCCATCCAACAAGCGTGCTGATGATGCTCAGAAGATCCAGAGTGACGTAAGTACTAATTTAAAAGTGAACTCTTTAGTTTTTCTCAACCTCTCTCCAATAAGATACTTTTCTTATCTGTAAAATTTGGCGTACTTCATTGTTATGATAAAGTAACCTTAACAGTTACTATAATTATTGTAGACAATTTACACATCTTGCAATGTCTTGCAAGTTCATGCCTGAGGGCTAATTGCAACATGTGTTAAAAGTGTACATGATTGTACATACAGACAGTGCAAGCTAAAAATGGTGACAATGGTAACAAGTGGAACAAGACATATGACTATTCTAAGCCCTGCTATAGTATACAATCACCTTTCTTTGGGTTTGAGTTCTTTCTTGGAAGCATGTAAGATGATTGATTGATTGATTGATTGATTGATTGATTGATTGATTGATTGATTGATTGATTGATTGATTGATTACTTTATCCACAGCTCTGGTACCAGGAGCAGGGCCGTGAACTCAAAGGAAAGGCCTACACAGAGGTGGACAATCCCGTCAACCGTCGCGTCAAGAGCCTGCGGGAGATCACCAGCGACACGTTCTACAAGGACGAGGCGCAGCACCTGTGGCACGTGGCCTGCACACAGTACCCCTACACCCCCGACATGGAGCGCCACGAGGACAACCTGCGCAAGTTCAGTGACGTGCTCTACAAGAATAAGTACGAGATGACCAAACACGAGTACCACCCCGTCCCAGACAGCCCCGAACTCAAACTGGCCAAGGAGAACGCTGTCAGACACAGCGGGGTATGTAACCGTCTAAGTCCATGCAAGTTTGCTAGTAAACAGTTTAGTACACGGTGTATTCTCCATCACCCAAGGTACCAGCCCGACCGCAACTCAGATCATCTAAAGGCTGGAGGGTGATCCTACCTGTGTAATACTGCTTATCATACGGTCCATATCGAACGTTATCGTGGCTTAGACATAAATGTTTGTATGTCTACGATAGTAAGATACAAGAATCTGCACTCAGTTGAATCCATCCATTTTACTGTGTAATGTCAAAGTAAATTACTGAAAAAAGAGCCATATTGAGTAGAGTCGATAGGACTAATTTTCAACTGGATTTTTTCCTTTTACAGTTCAAGTACAGGGAGAAGTATGAAGAGTTGAAGAAAAAACCCAAGTTCAACGTTGCAGATACACAACTGTACAGGAGAATGAGAGAAGTTGCAGCAGCTACATGTGATGTACGTAATGCACATAATTTCTTTAAAACATTTTTAACATACACGTGTATAATGATCTGAACTGCCCTGTCCTTGGTGCTGAACGCCTTCTAATGGCAAGTAATGAACTGAACAATCAAAACAAAAGGCACAACATAATTGATATTGACTGTTTTATATGTATCCACATGTAATCATGTATGCTGGTCTTATAGTGTTGGCTCTGTCCTTGGTGCTGAACTCCTTCCAATGACAAACAAAAGGCATACAAAAGAGTATTATGTCCATTCCAGGATTTGAACCAAGGGACAATTGTATCTAAAATGTAGGCAAATGGCCTAGACTCTTAATTGTCCAAGTATTGATGAAAAATCTTTCATCTCAGCACGCTTCAAATAAAAACTAGATTCTTGTAACTTTTATACTTCCAATCACAGCTCTAGTAGACAATTCTGTACATGAACTCTATAGGCAGAAATCTGTCTTAAATTTTGCACAGGTGAACAACAGTCGGGTACTTACATACATTTATTTTTTTCTAGCTTTATACTATATAGAATAAGATGTTGACTTTTCAAATTTTTTTGCAGGACAATTATATGGGTGACTACAGACAGAACATCAAGGGAAAAGGTGTTTCCAACTACGCGGAGACGCCGCTGTACCAAAGGAACAAGGAGGCAGGGGATGCTTCCAGCGAGGTCGGTGGTTTGTCATGGTGGTTACCAAACTGCCCCCCTCCCCACTCCCTAAAATAGTCGCACCATTCTTGGTGGTTAGTATGACTGTATGCCCCACTTCCCATAATGACTGAGCCATGTTTGTGAATACCAAGCTGTCCCTGCACCCCTCCCCATAATATAACTTTACAGCTGGAATATACAGCTGGAATATACATTGTGGTTACCTGACTTCCCCCTCCAATTTCAACTGCAACATTTTTGGGGTTACCAAACCACTCCCCCTCCCCCAAAGTTACATCATTTTGGGTGGTTAACAAAATGCCCCCCTCCCCATAATAGCTTTACAATTCTTGTGGTTTAAGCCCCCTCTCCATAACTGCAGCTCTTATCTCTTGCTTAATCTCAGTTCCAGGTTTTCAAAGCCTTTCCAAAAGCTATGTTTCATGATGAGTTTTATCTTCCCAAATGCTTATAACATCCCCCTGCTGACTTATACCTTTTTGGTGGGTAAACTAGCCCTTACAACTGAAGTTTAACTTCATCTTGCATCATTTCTATGGCAAAACTCAAATCTACATCAGACTTCTTACCCCATCTTTTAAGACTTATCATATTTACTTGGGCCAAACTCCAGACATAATATCCCCGAGTTTTTCATACGCTAGCCTGCTTTATAACTCTCCATCTGCTGTGTTCACTTTTGTTTTCCAGATTTTGCCATCAAACCATCTTTCCCTTGCTGCCCTCCCCACCTTTCCCATTACTCCATCACTGAACGGTATCCTTTCGCAATCCTCTCCTTGCTAACTTGTCGACTATTTGCATTTTACAGCTTTAAAACATGTTTGTGCTGCTTTTCTATTTCAGTGTGTTCCAAGACAGTATCCTTTTTCGGTGCTATTCATTCCATGCTTTGTATATATTAAGCAACACCCCTTTATCTTTTCCTTTAACTTGCTGCCTCCCTCCCAGCTAAACATTACAGGAATTTATCCTTCATTACAGTTTAAATATTAATTTTCATCATACTCATGCTCCACAGCAGCTTTAATCTCATTTTCCCCTTTCTGATTTTTCCCTTATATAAGACCCTACACAGCTTTCCCTTATATTCTGACTTCTGATCACCTTATCATGCTCTTGTAATTCTTTTCCCTGCCAGCATAGCAATTTTGCTCACAGTTTTCCTTCCCAGCCAGAACACCCTGCAATAACTTATCCTTTTTCATTTATCTTTTTTTTAAATTATCAGAGCTGATCATTAATCTATGCACCCCTCCCCACAGCCTGACTAAAAGGTCTTTATTTTCAGGGTTGCTGCTTTTCACACACAACTACCCAAACTCGAAACATTTCCACACCATTTCTGTTTCTTTTCAAACTTTCCTTTTCTTCTGCCTCTCCTTTCTAGAAGTCTAATTGTGTTTTTGATGCATTTTCTTGTGTAGCTTAAGTATGGAGTGGACCTTAAGAAGATCCGTGAAGGCAAAGGCTACACCCCGACTGCCGACACTCCTCAGAACAGACATGTTAAGAAGATGGAGAAGATACAGAGTGCGGTAAGACATCACTTTTTTTCTGGAAATGTTGTACCTTTTTTTTAAGCTTTCAATGTAACAACAACATTACGTTATCTACCATGTCTGAAAGTACATGTAAGAGCCTGAATGTTTCATTAGTAGGTGCAGTTAGATATCTGTAAGGGGAGAAAAACATAAATAGCCACGTGTATCTGTAGCTTCTACCAAAAATACACCCATGTGAACATGAAAGATATAGAATGAAAAGTCATCTATGTTGCGGTGCAATTTGATGTAAAACAAAAGGTCCAATACTATAGACAATGGGCAGAATTTTAGACTGTCACAATACTTCTGGTCCTCTTCATGAAAACCCACTTGCCCAGGATAGGCAACGCTATGAAAGTGTGACAAGAACAATGCTTTAAAGTCAGTGAGATTATAAATCTACTAGGTTTATTGTTTAATATAGTAACATTTATGTCATGTTCCCCACAGGTGAAGTACCCCAAGGCTCTGAAGGACCTGGCCAAGTATGCGACGGTGCTGGACACCCCAGATACACAGAGGGCCATCAACACGTACAAAAACCAGAGCACGGTAAGTCTAGCCACATTGCAAAGGCACCATTTTATCGACTGATATTGGGTATTTTATATGTATGCACATATAATCTAGTAATTTTATAGTGCTATGAGCGTATATTATTGCATTGGCTCTATCCTTGGTGCTTCCAATGGCAACATAACTATTAAAACAGAAGGCAGAACATAATTGACTAATATTGAGTGTTTTATATGTATCTACATGTAGTCATATACGCTGGCCTGAGAGTATATCATGGGATTTGCTCTGTCCTTGGTGCTGAACACCTTCCAATGGCAACATAACTATCCAAACAAAGGGCACAACATAATTTACTGATATTGAGTGTTTTATGGTTTCCGCATGTAATCATGTATGGTATACCATGGCATTGGCTCTGTCCTTGGTCCTGAAAACCTTCCAAAGACAAATATGTATATGACAATCCAAACAAAAGGCATACAGTAGAGTGTTCTTTCACTTCAGGTCTGTCCAATCTGGTCTGTGTGGACAGGCAGTCACTATAGACAGTATTTTTAGGGCCTGTCATAAAGGAAAAAATACCTAAGGGACCACCTAATTGTTGTCACATTGGCCAGGTGGTACTGGTCACTGGCAGAGATTTGACTGTACATCAGTGGCCAGGTTTTCCTTACAAATAGGTAGTCACTTTGCTAATTTTTTTCCTGTCTCCCCAGCTGTACTACGGAGCGGACGCCAAGAGCGAGATGATTGGAAAGCCGTTCCGGGAGGTGAACGAGACTCCGGCCAGCGCTCACCACAAGAAGGTCCTGGACATGAGCGATGTGGTGTACAAGGATGAGGCCAGACGTCTGCACACCATCGCCTGCACACAGTACCCCTACACACCCGAGAACCTGCGCATGGCAGAGCTGTCCAGGACACAGAGCGAGGTGAGGGGTGGGGTTTTGTCTTTAAGCCTTGTTTCTTGGTGATCTACATAAGATGAAGCACATTTTACTGTTACGGAGGATTGTCACTTGTATAATAGCAATAGATTCTGAAGCATTCTTTTGGGTCATGTGTTAAGTAAATTCCTCACTTTGAATACTTGAATAGTAAAGAGAAATTCATATTCTTGATTTATTTCTTAAATGATAAATGTTGTGCTTGCTCCCCACAGCAAATGTACAAGGAGCGTGCAGAACTGGAGAAGCACAAGTACACACAGCTGCCTGACACACCCGACATAAACTTTGCCAAGGAGGTCCATGACATCACCAGTGAGGTGAGAGCTGCTTGGAAACAATGTGTCACAAATATTGTTCAGTTCATTAAACAACTTGATAAATCATGTATAATTATCAGCTCCATCTGTTCTTACATGTACAACTGTCTTAAAAATCAAGTAGGAGTTGGACCTGTACATATTAGTATACTATAGAATGTAGTATCATATCAGACTTCTTTCACTGTTACTGTACAATGTAGAACTTTATCCCCATGACCTATGTACTTGCATGTATATTGTAAATTCAACAGATGATTGCAATGTTTTCTTTGCACTTTCAGAACAAATACAAGGAGGAGTACAACAAGGACAGAGGCAAATACTCCATGGTGGCCCAAACACCTCTGTACGAAACAGCACAGAAAGCCAACAAGCTCACCAGCGAGGTATGGCAGATATTTAGTGTCATCCATTAATTAAAGTTGCTTTGTTCTCAAATAGAATCTCTTATCCTACCTTTGTCTATACATATAAGATATATCTTGGTCTGATATGTTTAAAGTCTGTTACCACTGCACAATCTGCAGTGTAATGTACATCTATATTACATTTTGTATATAATTTAGCAGTAATATGTATAAGGGGGAAATATGAAACTGGGAAATCTCTTAAGAGACTCATTTTTCCAGGGTGGCACAGATATTTACCTCCTGGTAGATGTATGACTGTGTGTCAGCAGACATATACATGCTTCTACGTTAACAAAAACCATGTTTTCCTTGTTACTCCCAGACTCTGTACAAGAAGGCCTACAAGGCACTGCAGGGTAAGGGATACGCACTGATCGATACTCCAGAGTTCGAGAGGTGTAAGCAGGTGAACAAGCTGGCCAGCCGGGTAAGAAAAATGTATTGTCCTTGAGTGATGTATCTTGTGTTTGCCTAGAACTAGATTCATCATTTTGATAGGAACTAAAGGATGTAAATTATGTTGAATTGTTTGTTGTCATGTGATATATACGCATACATATGGGACAGTCTATTATAAAATGTGTTGAGAAGTTGTGAAGTTACAACAAGGTGTTCAGCATGTGTATTAGTTATGGCTCAGGAAAATGTCACTTTGTTAGCAGGCAGTTTTTATGAATTGGGTTGTGAATAATAATGCATTAATTGAGCTTTAGGCATTAGACTGCTAATGAAAGCTTGGCTTTAAGATAGTACCTACATTTGTTAGCCTGTGATAAAGTATTGTGATCAATGAAACTGAGAGAGCAGTACTACTAGAGTCTAATTATTCAGAGAAAAATTAAGTACATGTATGTTTAGCTGTAGCATGAGAAAGCTGAAAGTTTTTGCTATAATGTATCAATTAGGATTCAATCTTAAGCAAAACTCTTGAGCATGTGATGTTGTAGATTTGTATGTGTAATGATGTTGTACTGATAAGTATTTGTTGTTGCAGATTCAGCATGCAAACGGGAAGTTGCTAGTTAATCAACTGTTGTTCGACATGTATAAGCATGAACCATCGGAGCAAACTTTACCGGGAGATGCCAAACCAAAGATGTATGAACAACGGGATACCGAAGTGCACGCATGCATGCAGAAACAAACTGTGCTTTCACATGCACACAACACACACATGCACACACAAACACACACACACGGTTTCAGGAGTGCATGAACATACAATTGTGTGAATGTGCATCATAATCCATGTTTCCCATATAGCTAGTAATATGATGGTAGATAATTTTGTAACTTGTTTACCAGTTAGTAAGTTGCCATTTTACATGTTGGTTGGTACACAATTATGTAAAAATTGTGATGACATGTATTTTACAGGGTTTGACATGTGTTTTGGCCAAGTGTATGATGCCTTTAGATTCTCAATTTACTTTTGGAAAATTAGATATAAATAAGTTTCATTTTGTTCAGTTTGGCTATAACTGAATACAGAAGTCTGGTATCCAGGCTTGTTCAGCTTTGGTGTACTTCCCTGTGGTCACTAACCTACATTGGCAAGTACACAGAAGCTGCAAATGGATGGGTACCAGGCTAATAACTATGAATTCAAATTGAAACTATCATGATGTGAAAATATTTATTAATGTTATATCTTTGCTGCTTTATCAGTGTATTGGTTGTAATTTTTAACATTCTCCCTGCTGACCTTCGATTTTTCACCAATTTTGGTTAAGTTATAATTCTAGACAGCAGGGAGAAGGTTAAAAAAACAAATCACCTTTTAAAAATATGAGAGTAAACATCTATTTTCTGTGTGCTATCTGCCTGATGTTGTGCTGGTTCTTATTTTGGCTTTTGTCATCCGTCCTTCCCAACAGACCAAGTACCACGAGGACTATGAGAAGTCGAAGATCAAGGGTTACACACCAGTGGTGGACACACCGGAGAACATCCGCCTTCGCCAACAGAGCAAGATTCAGAGCCAGGTGAGATTTCATGATGTAGTAGTAGTAGTATCAGGTCTTTGATTATACTGCTGCCTTGGTCCCTGGCACAGGGGTGGGCAGTAGTTAGTCTTCACAGATACAAGCAGCTCTGTTCAGTGGGTCCACACCAGCAAGGCTGCACTCTCTAATGTCCTTCCTGACACACTCCATACAGGTCTTCCTTGTGATTATTGCACAATCTGAGAAACAGATTTTCTTCACGTCTGGCAGGTACAATGTAGCATCGGCCACTTGCTTTGACTTCCAGCATCTGGGAGAATATCAGCCAAAGGATCATCTGCCAGAGCAACCCATCACAATACCTTTTTTACTTTTTCTGCTTCTATGGTGTACTAAATGTACTCCTTAGTAGTCCTTGTCAATCAATGATGACTGTCAGTGTGGGGGGTATGACCTCATGTGGCTTCAGAGTCCAAAATTTGAGGGGTACTTGGTTGTATACTACTGTACTAGTAGGCAAAACCCCCGTGGGGCATAATAAAAATCTTTGGGATTCCAGGTCTTGTCCTAGTGTGATTGTCGATGTTCACCTTGGGGAGGGGGCTAGCAGAGTCTCTTTGCTTCGAATCCCTGCTACTCTTGTCAGACTCTACAGAGGTTTAGGTTGCTTCAATCCCTATTTAGGGGACCATAAAATAAGGGCAGACAAATTAACATAATGTCATGGGAGACACCTGAGAGAATAGGGATTTTCAGTTATATCCACCTGTCACCAGATGTTTCATCTAATGTTTCAATACAAATATTTTTAAGTAGGGATAAAGGATTAAAATTGTCCACTCTGTCTCCCTGCCTTTTCCCTCTCAGACAGATGTTTAGGTTCTTTCCACCCTTTTTAGGAGGCCATAAGAATGAGGTCAGAGAAATGCTAGTCTAAGAGTGTTAAAGGATGACATAGTTGTGGAAGGTTCCAGATTAAAATGTCTCCTTTGACTAATTCGAAATTATACTTTCCCTAATTACATGTTGACACAAATTGTGAAGTTGGTATGGGGTCCTTGTGAAATGAAAGAGAATGTTGTCATACATATGTAATTGCTATCAAAACGAACTGTCAAAAAGGGGCCGCATGCGTCCTATTTTTGGCAAAGCAAGCTTAGAATTTTTTCACCATCCTGCGTGACAGGTTTGGGTTGTCTAGAGTTGCTCTCCATAACAGCAAATTCGTGTGGCCTTATGATGATGCAACCAGGAAAAGTTTTGTGGGTGGCACTTCATTTTTGTAGCAATGATTGCATTGCCATGCATGTTTTTCTGTGTGTCACAGGGCTGTGTCCGCATACACTCATACACAAATTCCTCCCACCCCTAATGCCGCATTATATACCCAAAAGATGATGCCCTTTGATGCTAAAAATATTTCCATGATGAGTATACCAGACCTACCCTGATAGATCTTGCCAGGGGGTCCATCTGAGTCAACAGATGTGCTCCAAAAAAGGAGTTAGGTTATTAATAGAGACATTCTTTTAAAGCAGAGCCTGTCCATTCTGGTGACTAGCATGTACATGTAGGACTTGCAGTAGGGATTCTGTTCACACATTGGTACCAACGAGTTCTCAACACCACTTGATTTTTTGTCGGTAGGAGTTTTTCTGTCAAAGGACCTCATGTAAGTTTGTGTTGGGTGTATATTGATGTTTGAGATGAGAGCTACTGTATGGTAAAGCTTGCTGGATGGATGTCTTGTTCTAAGGAATGTTGGTTTCCTTGTCGTCCATTGCTATTTTGGCTTTGCTTGTCACATTTCTGGATTGAAATCTTTCTTGCTTCTGTACACAAATGTTCCCTTTGGATAAAGGTAATCTACATTTGTTCTTAGACCTAGATATCATGCAGAGAGCTTTGATGGTGTTTTTATTGTTTCATAACTTGATTCTGATGGAAGAGCATGTCAGTTTTGTCCATTAGTCTCCGTCAGACATGTTTTTGTTGTTCAGTGTCTTCGGTAGCTACGCATGCTGTTGACTGTATTTGAAGGATCCATTAGAATTGCGTTAAGCCTGTCGTTATGTACTGAGAGCTACGTTGTAGGCATGTTAATATGGAGTAGTTGTGATTTATTTCTCGCAGTTGTTACTTGTGTAAGCTATAGGGTGCCATGTGCCTACTGCGTTATGGCTTTGGCAAGAAACCGGCCCCTTGATTCTATTATTACATACAGGTCATTAGAGTTAAAAGTAGCACGTATCATCGCTTGCACTGGAATGAAGGGCCCGTTAGTGCATCTGTTATTGCAATATGTGAATAAAATTTTGATAGATGTAATTGGTTGCGGTCATCATTGCTTAAGTAGTTTGATCCAACGTATTTATAGTATCATGTGGCAATACATAGCGCTACTTGTTACTTTATAAAGCATCATGCTTCACCTCAATTTAAAAGAAGAATAATATTTCACCCTGAATCATGACTGTGTTGCTAATCGAGTGTATTGAGTCATCTGACAAGATAGAAAAGGGAAAGCTGCTGTATGGTTTTTACATGCACATGTAGCTGCTCTCTCCACCCATACAATCATGTACATTAGCAAAGTTCCTTCAAACTGTTTTACTCTTTTCTACAAATTTATCTGTTCTGTTCTCTCTTATGTCCTACCTTATTTCTTGTTCTTAATTCTTTCTGTAACATTGTTTTCTCTTGCATTTCTGTTCTCTTTTTTCTTTGACTCTTTCCTTCTGTCCCTCTTCCTTTCTCTCCGTAGAACGAATATCAGAAGGGTTACAAGGCTTTGGCAGGAAAGTTCCATTACACCTCGGATAATCCTGAGCACAACCGGATAAGGAGCGTCAGTAAGATACAGAGCCAGGTACTGTACAAAACAACTCTTCCGTTCAAACCTACTAAGTGCTTGTTGGAGTGTGGGTTTCACTGGGTGCTCTAATCGTGCACAGAAGTGGTCACCAGGTCCTGCAATGGAGAGATAAAACTCAGAGGATGAGCCTGCAATTAAGGAGATCACATGCACTTTCCCAGCATATCTCTTTACTCTTCTGAATCACAATCTCTCCTTGTTCATTTAGATATCTCCTTTTCTACACATTGGTAACTCCTTACTTTTTGTTTGATCTATTCTTTTCCATGTCATTCTCTAAGTGGTTATCAACTAATTGTTTGCACTTAATGTGATATTGCTGCACAGTGTTTATGGTGGACACTGTTTTAAGAATAAGACAGAATACAAAAAAAATTTTACGGTGCAGATAATCACTTAGAAAAGGACATAGTCATACCTGGTTTCTTTTACATTCATTTTCTTGAAGACCAGCTGACTTTTCTTCAGCAAAATGGCTACTGTTCTTTTCTCATAGACAATTGTGAATTTTTCAAGGCAATAATTCTGGCCCATGCCAATTCCAGGTCTGTCTACCCTCATTAAGCAGGGGTTGAGGAAAGCCTTGCGCAGTCCACTTTAACGGGTCCATCAGACCCAGTACCTGAGCGCCTCAGGGTTCGCATAGTGTCCAGCGTAGGCTTTCCTAAAATGGATAACCATCCTAAATTCCATAGTCAGGAATCTGTGCCTTACGAAAATGGCATGATGTGGGGTGCCAGGGTGCTTACTACTGGCTGCTCACGGCTTGCCCTCCTTAACCGTAATAATAACAACAACATCAATGACAGCAGTGATGATGAGAATGATGGTAACGGTAACGTCCAACCTGGTGAACATGAAAACCCTGCTGCAAACAGCCCAGAACAAAACCCTGGTCAGGACGAAACTGAATCTGATAATGCAGATCAGGCAGAAGGTAGCGGTGCCTTTGGCACTGACGGTGGTCAAGATCAAGGCCAAGAAGAGGACAGTCCTCCACCAGAAGAAGAACCACCTCAAGAAAGTCCATCTATTGAGGTAACTCCTCCTGATGACGTCTTTGAAGAAGATCAACCAAAGGAAGAAGGAGGAGGACCCATCATTGAAGAGGCGCCAAGCCCTACCGTTGAGGACGTTGAGATAGAAGAAGCAATGGAAGCAGCAGAGGGTCCCTCAGAGCAGTTCACCGAGCTGCCTTTGTCTTCAGACGCTCCTTTAGAACCAATGCGGAGCCCTGTTGTTGAGGAGCCTGAAGAGGAAGAGCCTGCAGAGTATGAGGAGGCGGAGGATGCTCTCGTCGACTTTGATCTCCCCAGTCCACCCCCTGAAAAGGCTACTCCGGAGGTAAGACCAGTTTCTCCTAGGGTCACATCTCCTGTTGAAGAAGATATTCCTCCAGAGAGGCCTCCTTCTCCAGCTGCGGAAGCTTTTATGGAGGAAGACATCTCTGTAGAACCAGCCTTCCCCAGCCCTGCAGAGGCTCCAGCACGGCAGGATGTTCCAACACCACCCTATATGGAACAGGCTTCCAGCCCTGCTGTACCGGAAGCTCTGACAGAGGCTGTGGAGCCTGAAGTTCCAGAAACACCCATGGAAGCAGAGTTCCCCAGCCCACCTGCCTACGAAACCTTAACGGAAGAAGTTCTGCGGGACGTTCCTGTCCATGTCGAGAAACCGAGTCAGCCGACGGTCTCAGTGTTTACCAACCCAGATGAGCTTGATGACGAAGGTGGGTACCCTCAGCCATTGTTGGGAAATCCTGGCCACAAGGCTGGCAATCCTCATCCTCACAACCCCGGCACTCCTCCGCCTATCGAGGAGAAACCCACCAGTCCCCAGCCGGGGCAGGTATCAGGAGGAAGGCTGGTGAAGACTGGGTCGTACAGCTCGTACCAGTACGAGGAAAGCGTCCGTGAAGTCAGGTCTTCAACAAGGCAAACCATCAGGGAGGTTGTGACCTCCGACGGCAGGGTGGTTTCAAAGCAGGAGTCTGAGGAGACATCCCACGCCGAAGCATCTCAGGCCAGGGCGAAATCCGAAACCACCCGGTCGGACGGCACGAAGACCGTCACGACAAAGAGAGAGGCAGAGGAATCCATGCAGGCCTTGGAGATGCAGAAGAAGGCAAAGACCACATCAGGTGGGGTGACAAAGGTTGAACCCACACAGGGCATGCGAGCAATGGAAATGGAAAAGAAAGCCAAGGCTTCAACCACCATACAACAAGCGCTTGGTGAAGCAATGGAGGTGGAGCCCCCTCCCCCTATCCCTCCTTTACCAGTAGAGGTCGGCAGAGTGACCATAAAACAAGAACCTGGAACTCTGAGGGGCATCTCTCTTAAAGGTGTGTCCAAGTCTCGTGGTGGAGTGAAGCACACCATCAAAGCCACTTCTGCCCTTAGTGAGGAAAGATCTACTCAAGTTACTACGTCGGCAATGAGTGAACAAAGATCTAGTCATGTTACTACTTCTTCACAGAGTCAACAAAGAGCTAGTCAATATTCTACTTCTGCCATGAGCGAAGAGAGAGCTAGCCATGTTACTAGTGTCCGAGCTGCAAAAGCCGTGCACACAGGTGTCACCAAGAAGGTGGAGAGCCATCCCAAAATCGTTGTGGCACGCCGGACCGAAACAGTGAAAATTCAGCTCCCAATGGGGGCCAGGGAAAGAGTTCTTCGGATTAAGATCCGTTTCGGCAGGAAGAACAAACCAAACCGACTTACAGCATACGCCTGGCAGCAACTTCGTTGGCCAGGGATAACGGAAGTCAAAACACAGGAGGATGTGAGTGAAGACACTAGATATGTCTACATCCTTCTTAAACAAATATCTGATGATCGTACATCTAAGGAGTCATGCCTCAGGATCGAAGTGCCCCCGCTGATAGAGCAAAGTATCATGAAGATATCCGCGGAAACATCGCGCATGTTGGTGCAACAACAGAAGGTCATCTACAAAGCTCATGAGAGAAAGTATGGTGGTCACAAGTACAAGTTCACTGTACAACAGGCGGTGCCTCCTGAGCTGGATGAAACCCCCACTCTCAGTGCTCGGGATGCAAAAACAAGGTTTGAAATGGAAAGAGCAGAAGAGCTAAGGCAGCGCAGGCACGTGACCCGCCACGAAGTGGGACAAATGAAGGAAATGTTTGAGCGGGGTGCCAGCGATGCTGAGGATTTTGAAAGGGAACCAACTCAAATTACACGCTACGAAGTTGGTTCAAAGAAGGAAATGTTCGAAAGGAGAGCCAGCGATGCCGAGGATTTCGAACGACAACCGGCTCAAATTACACGCTACGAAGTCGGTTCCAAGAGGGAAATGTTTGAGCGGGGAGCCAGTGACGCCGAGGACTTCGAACGAGAACCAGCTCAAGTTACACGCTACGAGGTTGGTTCGAAGAGGGAGGCCTTCGAGAGAGGAGTGAGTGAGGTTAAGATGGCAGAGAGGGAAGAGATTCATGTGGCTCGGCAGGACATTGGCCAGAAGAAGCAGCTCTTTGAGAAAGTTGCCGAAGGCCACTGGGCTAGTCGGTACATGGACTCCGATGAAGGTGGAGAAGCACCGGAGAGACCGCCTCCTCCAAGGTTCGATGTCGGTCAGAAGAAGGAGATGTTTGAAAAAGGTGGGCAGTCTTGGAGAAGGACCGACTCTGAAACTGAGGAGTCTCTCCAGATGATAACTCAGCAAGATGTGGTGAGAAAGAGAGAGCTCTTCGAAAGGGGAAGGAGTGGGAGTGAAGAAGAAGCTCCTGAGAGGCCTCCACCTCCAAGACAGGACGTTGGCCAGAAGGCTGAGCTGTTCGAAAAAGTTGCCGTTGGGCAGTTTGTCAGAGAAGAAGGGGAAGAGAGAGAGCGCGTCATTCCCATCAGGCCACCTCCTCCCTCCCCTGACATGATCCAGAAACGTGAGATGTTCCAGAAGTTCTCTGAAGGGCGCTGGAGCAGCTCTGAGGCGGAAGAGAGGGAAGAAATACAGATCGCAGCCGGCGTCACCTCCAAGAAAGAACTGTTTGAAAAGGCTGCGGAGGAACTACGATCAAAGAAACTGCCTCCTCCAAGCCCTAGACGAACTCGTCGAAGGATCCGCTCGGACAGTTTCAGGCGGTCGATATCATCAGACGAGGAAGGAACTCCGGAGAGGCCACCCCCTCCCCGCCCGCCACCTCCTGCCCCGGCACCGCCCACCCCCTCTCCTCCTGCATCTCCGGTGACCACAGCCCCACCGTCTCGCCCCCCACCGCCTCCCGAAGGTGAGGAAGGTGAAGACTGGATCGCTTCAGTCTCGAAATGTGTGGAGATGTACGAACGGGAGGTGCAGATCAGAGGAGAGAGGATGAAGCTGAAGACCATCCGGAGGGATCCGACCCCCGTGCGTCGTCCGGTCCGGTCCTGGCCTCCAACGCCTCCGAGCTCACCGGCAGAACCGATATCCCCCGTACGCAGGACCCGGAGGTCCCCCTCCCCTGGACCGGCAGTACCAGACCGTCCACGGGGCAGGGAGCCACCTCCCGTCGCCCGCCGGTTCAGAGACCGCAGCCCGGCAGTCCACAGGGAACACTCCTCAGAAAGGAGGCTGACAAGCCTGGCCCAGAACATTCTCTCTCAGGAGGGTTTCGAGGAATACAGGGCAGTTCCGCAAGACACCTACCAAGTCGTGGTCGACCCCTTCTTGCAAAAGGCGCAGGAGGTGACCAAGCTGCTCAGCCGGGCTGAATACGAGAAGGAAGCCAAAGAGCGGATGTGGCACTACCACGGCCTTCTGCCTGATGACCCGGAGGCAAAGCGCCGTGCAGAGCTTGCCAGGATGCAGAGTGACTTCCGCTACAGGGATTACCCCAGGTACCTGGAAGCAAAACCAGGCATGGTGGCTGTTGTGGATCGGTGGATGATCGGGCAGAAGAAGCAAACTCATGAGCAGAGCACAGTGGAGTATCCACGTGACCACCCGAAAGACATGACATGGAGGTTGAAGTACCAAAGCACGCCAGACGACACCGTGACAAAGCGAGCCCAGGAAGTCACCCACATCAGTAGCGAACTGGAATATCAGAAAAGGGCTAAACAGACAAAGGACAGGTACACTGCCATTACTGATGAGCTGCAGCTCGAGACACAGAAAGATGCTGCCAGGATGCAGAGCTCCGTTTCCTATGTCAAAGATCACCCATTGGCAATGGAGAAACGACATGCATACACTTCAGTAGAGGAAGACCCTAGCTCCAGGCATGCCAAAGATGCCTACAAAATGTCCAGTCAACTCGAGTACGAGAAACGGTACAAGCAGGAAGTGCTGGGCCACATCGGGTACGTAGAGCTTGACACCCCCGAACAGGAACGCATACGTCGAATGAAAACTCTTCAGTCCCAACTGGAATACCAGAAAGACTACCCGATGGACTTTGAGAGAAGGAAGGACTACCAGACGGTAACTGACGACCCGAGCACAGTCCGTGCTAAGGAAGCTACTCACCTTGCCAGCAAGGTTGAGTATGAGTCCAGGTACCATAAAGAGAAAGACATCTACAAAACAGTCGCTGACACCCCAGAGGCAGTCAGAGTCAAGGATGTGGGCAAGATGCAGAGTGAGATCGAATATCAAAAGCCAGACAAAGTGAGGAGACAGTACTATCAGACTGTCACTGATGCCAAGGACAGCCAGAGGCTGAAGGAGGTGGGACACCTGCAAAGCCAGATTGAGTACCAAAAAGACCACCCCATGGGCTTTGAGGGGAGAAGAGACTACCAAGCAGTGCCTGATGATCCAGAGACTCTGCGTGTGAAAGATGTGACCAAATTATCAAGCGGAGTCGAGTACATACGAAAGGACAAGCCCAGACGAGAGGTGTATCAAACTGTCACAGATGACCCTGAGGCAAAGAGGATGAAAGAGGTGGGCAAGCTGCACAGCCAGCTTGAGTACCAGAAGGACCATCCTATGACATTTGAGGGAAGGCTTGACTACACCGCGGTCTCTGACGACCCCGAAACACTCCGTGTCAAAGACGTGACAAAAATGGCCAGTGGATATGAATACCAAAGAAAAGACAAACCACGCAGGGAGGTTTATCAAACTGTGACAGATGATGTGGAGGCTAAGAGAATGAAGGAAGTTGGGCATCTGCAAAGCCAGATAGAGTACCAGAGAGATCATCCTATGACTCTTGAAGGAAGGCTGGACTATACAGCTGTAGCTGATGATCCCGAAACTCGCCGTGTCAAAGATGTAACAATGATGGCAAGCGAGGTTGAATATGAACGGAAGGACAAGCCTAGGAGAGAAGTCTACCAAACAGTCACTGATGACATGGAGTCAAAGAGAATGAAGGAAGTTGGGAAACTGCACAGCCAAATTGAGTATCAGAAGGACCATCCTATGACTCTGGAGGGCCGTCTTGACTACACAGCTGTTGCAGATGATCCGGAAACTCGCCGTATCAAGGATGTAACAATCATGGCCAGTGGGGTTGAGTATGAAAGGAAAGATAAACCAAGGAGAGAGATTTACCAAACCGTGACAGACGATGTGGAGTCAAAGAGAATGAAGGAAGTTGGCAAACTTCACAGCCAGATTGAGTACCAGAAAGACCACCCCATGACACTTGAGGGCCGTCTTGACTACACTGCCATCGCTGACGATCCAGAAACACGCAGAGTTAAAGACGTGACAATGATGGCGAGTGAAATCGAATACGAGAGAAAAGACAAGCCACGCAGGGAGATCTACCAAACAGTGACAGATGACATGGAATCTAAGAGAATGAAAGAAGTCGGGCATCTGCAAAGCCAGATCGAATACCAGAGAGATCATCCTATGACTCTTGAAGGCAGGCTGGACTATACAGCTGTAGCTGATGATCCTGAGACGCTTCGTGTCAAGGATGTGACAATCATGGCCAGTGGGGTTGAGTATGAAAGGAAAGATAAACCAAGGAGAGAAATTTACCAAACCGTGACAGACGATGTGGAGTCAAAGAGAATGAAGGAAGTTGGAAAACTTCACAGCCAGATTGAGTACCAGAAAGACCACCCCATGACACTTGAGGGTCGTCTTGACTACACTGCAATTGCTGACGATCCAGAAACACGCAGAGTTAAAGACGTTACAATGATGGCCAGTGAGATAGAATATGAGAGAAAAGACAAGCCAAGGAGAGAAATTTACCAAACGGTAACTGATGACGTGGAATCTAAACGGATGAAGGAAGTTGGGAAACTTCACAGCCAAATTGAGTACCAGAAGGACCATCCTATGACTCTTGAAGGAAGACTGGACTACACGGCTGTCGCAGACGATCCAGAAACTCTACGTGTTAAAGATGTCACCAAGCTGTCTAGCGGCATTGAATACCAGAAGAAGGACAAGCCAAGAAGAGAGATCTATCAGTCCGTCACAGATGATGTTGCCACAGTACAGGCAAAGGATAGCCAAAGGCTGCAAAGCCAGTTGGAATATGAGAGGCTTTATCGTGAAAAGAAGGGTACTGGCATTTTCACTATGATTGCTGATGACAAAAATCTCCAGCACGTCAAAGATGTGTCGAAGTTGGGAAGTCAGCAGGGGTACACCAAGGACTTCCCCATGGAGCTGGAGAAACGTGGTGGGTACACCTCAGTGGAAGCTGATCCCACAACGGAAAGAGCGAAAGAAGTCTATCAGTTCCAGAGTGATGTCGAATACCAGCGCTCCTTCCGCCAGAGAAGAGGCAGTTTCACAGCCATCACAGATGATGCTGCCACGAAGCATGCTCAGGAGTCTGGTAAGGTTTCGAACGAGCTAGAATACACCAAGAAGTTTCGACAACGTCGCGGCAGCTTTACCGCAGTCGTGGACACTCCTGAAGCACAGCGTGTTAAGGAGGTGAACAGGTATCAGAGTGAGCTCGAGTACAAGAAGAGAGCTCTGCAACGACGTGGTAGTTTCACCGCTGTTGTTGATGACCCTGTTACTGAGAGAGTGAAAGACTCCACTAGACTGGCCAGTGATACCATTTACAAGAAGGCAGCTGCTGAAAGGAAACAGGCATACACCATTGCCCTTGATGATCCCAACACTGAGAGAGTTAAGAATGTTTCAAAGATGGTGAGTGATTATGAGTACCAGCGAATGTACAGAGAGAAGAGAGGAACTGGCATCTTCACTTCCATTGTGGATGATCCATTCACAAGGCATGCCCGAGAAACGGCAGAATACCTAAGTTCACACGTGTACAAGAAGGACTTCCCTGAAAACATGGAGCGTAGGTCTGGTTACACAACTGTTGTGGACGCCTCCGGGCTCAAGCATGCCAAGGAGGCATCCGAGATCCAGAGCTTGATCAAGTACTACGAAAAAGACAAAGAAGGGAAGTCACAGTACACGCTGGTGACTGACGACCCAGAGAGTATGAGGATGAAAGACGTTGGCAAAATGCAAAGCAGGATTGAATATGAGAAGGACTATGAGGCATCGAAGGATAAGTACACCATGGTGGGAGACGATCCACAGACAAGGAGAGTACAGGAGATGACCAAGTTGCAGAGTCAATACGAATACCAGCGTACGTTCCTCGAGGAGCGAGGCCTGGGCTGGTACACGGCGTGGCTGGATTATGATAAGGAGATGGAAAGGCAGCTTGGGATGAAGCACATGTACAGCCACATCCACTACAAGAAGGACTTCCCTGAGCAGATGACAGGCAGGGAAGGGTATCAGATGGTTGCAGACGATGTCCAGACTGTTCATGCAGGGGAGATGTCCAAAATGCAGAGCCGGGTAGAGTATGAGAAAGACTACCATGAAAAGAAGGGATTATACACCACGACAACTGATGAGATGAGAGCTACACATGCCAAGGAAGTTGGTAAATTAGCCAGCTCAGTGGAGTATCCTGTTGACCATCCGATGGAATGGGAAAGGAGGAGAAGGTACACTGCTGTCGCTGACGATCCCAATACTAAGAGGGTCAAGGAGACAACAAAGTACCAGAGTCCGTACGAATATGAAAGGGAACATCGCAGGAAAAAGGGGCAGTACACAATGGTGGCAGATGACCGAGAACAAGTCAGGGTTGTGGAGATGAACAAGCTTCACAGTCTGGTGCAGTATCATGAGCAGTTTGAGAAGGATAAGGGCCAGTTTACCACCGTGCTGTTTGATCCAGAAACCAAGAGAGTGGTTGAGCTATCCAAACTCCAGAGCATGAATCACTATCAGCTTGAGTTCGAGAAGAACAAGGGCAACTACATCACAGTCCTGTTTGACCCAGAGTCTCAGCGATACAAAGAAGTGGGCAAGTTGGCAAGTGATGTGGAGTACCAGAAAGAATTCAAGGACCTACGAGGCAAGTACACTGCCACCGCAGACACTGTTGCAACCAAACACGCAACCGAGGCTGGCAAGCTGCAGAGTCAGCTGGAATACCAGAAGGATTTCCCACAACAGATGACAGAAAGAGCGGGCTACACCCCAGTCACCGACAAGGAGACCATCCGTGTCGTCGAGATGTCCCAGCTCCACAACCTCATCAAGTATCGCGAGCAATTCGAGAAAGACAAGGACAGGTTCACCACCGTCCTGTTCGATCCTGAGACCAAGCGTGTCGTGGAGCTGTCCAGCATTCAGAGCGTTATCCAGTACGAGAAGAAGTACCAAGCAGACAAAGACAAGTACACAACGGTCATGTTTGATCCTGAGACGTCCCGCACAATGGAAATGTCCAAGCTGCAGAGCTTACACGAATACCATCTGCAGTTTGAGAAGGACAAGGGTCAGTACCAACTGGTCACAGATGATCCTGTGTCAGAGAGAATAAAGGAGGTTGCCCGCCACCAGAGCCAGTATGAGTATGTCAGGAAGTGGTTGGAGGAAAGAGGCATTTATCATTCGGCACCTGATGACAAGGAACACATGCGAATCGTTGAGGTCAACAAACTGCAAAGTCTTCTGCATTACACTGACGAATACAACAAGGAGAAAGGAAAGTATACCACAGTTCTATTTGATCCAGAAACCAAGAGGGTGGTTGAGCTTTCTAAGCTGCAAAGTGCAGTGCAATATCACGAAGAGTTTGAGAAGAACAAGGGCCAGTACATCACTGTGTTGTTTGATCCTGAGAGTAAGCGGTACAAGGAGGTTGGAAAGTGGCAGAGCGATGTGGAGTATCAGAAAGAGTTCCGCGGCCTCCGCGGAAAATACACGTCTGTGGAGGAAGACGTGCAAACTAAGAGAGCGAAGGATGTAGGGAAGTATCAGAGCCAGCTGGAGTACCAAAAGGACTTCCCTCAAGAGTTTGAAGGAAGGGTGGGGTACACCCCAGTTGCTGACAAGGAGACGGTCCGAGTGGTGGAGATGTCACAGCTACACAGCTTGCTGAAGTATCAGGAAGAGTTTGAGAAAGATAAGGGCAAGTACACAACAATCCTCTTTGATCCCGAGACCAAGCGAGTGGTTGAGCTGTCGAGTATCCAGAGCGCAATCGCCTATCAAAAGGAATACCAGAAAGACAAGGACCAGTTCACCACCATTTTGTATGACCCTGAGACCCAGCGTTTCACAGAGTTGTCGAAGATACAGAGCCTGGTATCTTACCATGATGAGTACGAGAAAGAGAAGGGCAAGTACCACTCTGTTGCTGAAGACATTGAAAGCAAGAGGCTCAAAGATGTTGGCAAGTTTGCCAGTGAGACAGAGTATCAGAAGGAATATCAGAAATTGAAGGCCTTCTACACAGAAGTACCTGACAAGGAGATGTTGAGGGTGATAGAAATGTCACAGCTACACAGCGTTGTAAAGTACCACGAAGAATACGAAAAAGACAAGGGTGACTTCACCACTGTCCTTTACGACCCAGAAACTCGGCGAGTCGTGGAGCTGTCTTCGATCCAGAGTCTGAACAAGTACCAAGAGGAATTTGAAAAGAACAAGGGAAAATACACCACCATATTGTTCGACCCTGAAACTGAACGTGTCCAGGAGGTTGGGAAGATTCAGAGCAATGTTGAATACCAGAAGGCCTATCATGAAATGAAGGGCAGTTACAGAACTGTAACTGATGATCCTGAATCTGAGCGCCTCAAGTCCGTCTCTAAATGGCAGAGCATGAGCGAGTATCAGAAAGACTTCCCGGCCAAATTCGAAGGCCGTCCTGAGTATCAATCCTTGGCTGCTGACAAGGAAACACTGAGAATTGTAGATGTCACAAAGCTTCAGAGCCTGATCAAATATCAGGAGCAGCACAAGGATGACATTGGCAAGTTCACCACCGTTCTTTTCGATCCTGAGACAAAGCGTGTCCTGGAACTCTCTAAAAGTGCAAAGTCTCCTCAAGTACAAGGAAGACTTTGAGAGTGAAAAGGGGGGATACACGACTGTGTTGTATGACCCTGAAACTCAGAGGTTCATTGACCTGTCCAGCAAACAGAGCGATGTTCATTACCATGAGCAGTACGAAAGAGAGAAAGGCCAGTACACTGCAGTTGTTGATGATGTGGAAACCAAAAGGCAGACGGGAATAACCAAGGTCCAAAGCTCAGTGGTGTACCCGAAGGATTACCCTCTTCGATATGAAGGTAGATCAGGCTACACTACAATCCCTGATGACAAGGAGCTGCTGAGGGTTGTGAACCTCCAGAAGATTCACAGTCTCATCCGATACAACAAAGAGTATGAGGACGAAAAGGGTGCCTATACCACTGTGATGTTCGATCCAGAAACTAAACGTCTGATTGAGCTGTCCAAGATTCAAAGCCTGATCAAGTACCAGGAACAGTTCCAGAAAGAAAAGGGCAGCTTCACCACGGTTCTCTTTGATCCCGAGACAAAACGAGCCATTGAAGTCGGCAAGATCCAGAGCCAGGTCGAATATCAGAAGGACTATCCGATGGGTATGGAGGGTAGACCTGGACAGGCGGGGGCAGAAAGCGGACAAGGAGATCCTCCGTCTTGTGGACATGTCGCAACTCCACAGCATCATCAAATACCAGGAGGAGTTCGAACAGGGCAAAGGGAAATACACCACCATTCTGTACGATCCTGAAACTCAGAGGGTGGTCGAACTGTCCTCAATTCAGAGTGCGATCAAAGTACGAAGATGACTACAGGAAGAATAAGGGCCAGTACACAACTGTCATGTTCGATCCTGAAACCAAACGTCTCTTGGAACTGTCTGAAATCCAAAGTGCCTTCAAGTACCAGGAGGACTTTGAGAGGGGTAAGAGCATCTACTCGCAGATTCCCGACGATGTTCAGACAAAACGTGCAGAGGAGGTGTCTCACTTCCAGAGTACAATCGAGTATGGGAAGGAAGCTCGAGCACAGCTGCCACAGTACACCCCTGTTGCTGACGAAAAAGAGGTGGTCAGGATGGTGAACATGACTAAGCTTCACAGCTTGATCAATTATCACGAGAGGTATGAGAAGGAAAGAGGTGGTTACACCACGATTCTCTTTGATCCGGAGACAAGGAGAACCATGGAGCTCTCCAACGTACAGAGTCTGGTGAAGTATCAGGAACAGTTCCAGCAACAGAAGGGTAACTACACCACTGTTCTGTATGACCCTGAGACTAAACGAGTGGTAGAGTTGTCCAAAACTCAGAGCCAGTTGGAATACCAAAAGGACTACCCACTCACCATGGAAGGCAGAGAAGCTGGAACGATTGACGACCAGGACAAAGAGGTCCTTCGTCTTGTGGACATCACCAACTTGCAGAGCTTGTCAAAGTATCAGGAGGAGTTCCAGAAAGGAAAGGGCAATTATACCACAGTGCTGTACGACCCAGAGACCAAGAGGGTTGTGGAGGTTAGCTCTATCCAGAGCCTTATCAAATATGAGGAGGACTACAGGCGATCTAAGGGTCAATACACTACAATCATGTTTGACCCTGAGACCAAACGCCTTATGGAGATGTCTGAAATCCAGAGTGCCTTCAAGTATCACGAGGACTTTGAAAAAGGTAAAGGTAACATCATGCAGATCACAGACGACGTGGAAACTCGCAGAGCTACTGATGTCAGTCATCTTCAGAGCACGTTGGAGTACAGGAGAGACTATCCACTTGATTACCAACAAAGACCTGGCTATACTGCATCCACAACTGACAAGGAGCTGGTCAGGCTTGTGGAGATGTCAAAACTTCACAGCCTCTCTGAATATCGTTCCGATTACGAGAAAGGTAGAGGTGGCTACACCACCATCCTGTTCGACCCAGAAACCAAGAGACTCCTGGAGATTTCCAGGGTTCAGAGCCTGATAAACTATCAGGAACAGTTCTACCGTGATAAGGGCAACTACACAACTGTCCTGTGGGACCCACAGACCAAGACAGCTGTGGAGTCTACGAAACTGCAGAGCCAGATTCAGTACCAGAAAGACTTCCCAGTCGGCATGGAAGGCCGGGGTGGAAAGGGTGCTGACGAGGCAGACAAGGAAATTCTCCGACTTGTGGATGTGAGCAAGCTGCAGAGCTTGGCACAGTATCACGAGGAGTTCCAAAAAGGCAAGGGTAAATACACAACTGTCCTCTTTGACCCAGAGACACAGAGGGTTATTGAGTTATCAGCAGTCCAGAGTCTGGTCAAATACGAGGATGAATACAAGAGGAATGTTGGACAGTACCAAACGGTTCTCTACGACCCGGAAACGCAGAGGGTAATCGAGATGCAAAAGATGCAGAGTGTGTTCAGGTATCACGAGCAGTTTGAGCAAGAGAAAGGTCAATACACACTGGCAACAGACAGCATCGACGCCCGCCATGCGCAAGATGCCTCTAGAGTTCAGAGCACTCTTCTGTACAGAAGGGACTTCCCACAAGAGTTTGAAGGCAGAGCAGCCTACATCCCCATTCCTGATGACAAAGAGACCCTGCGCATCATTGAGCTCACCAAACTCCAGAGCTTAGTGCAGTACCAGAAGGAGTATGATAAGTCCAAGGGTGACTACACCACATGCCTGTATGATCCAGAAACACAGAGGGTACTCGAGCTGACAAGAATACAGAGCTATGTCAACTACAAGAAAACTTTTGAGAAAGAGAAGGGAAGCTACACAACCATCATCTACGATCCTGAAACAAGGAGATGTATCGAGCTGTCAAAGACAGAGTCACAGATTGGGTATAAGAAGGACTTCCCGGTAACATTCGATGGAAGGCCTCACATCTCGACATACGGCGACAAAAGAGCTGTTGAGGCTCATCGACATTTCAAACGTACAGAGTGTGATAAAGTACCAAGAGGAGTTCCTCAGAGACAGAGACAGGTACACAACGGTAATGTACGACCCAGAAACCAAGCGTGTGATCGAACTCTCCAGGATCCTGAGCCTTTCCAAGTACCAGGAAGAGCACCAGAAAGGCAGGGGGAAATACTCAACCATCCTCTTTGATCCAGAAACACCACGGGCTCTGGACCTGACCCAGGTGCAGAGCTCTGTCAGGTATCGCAAAGACTACCCACAGACCATGGAGGGTCGGGCTGGGTACTCTGCCAGCATAGACATGTCTATCCTAAGGGTCATCGAAATGTCCCAGGCTATCGGTCTCACCCGGTACCACGAGGACTATGACATCGCGAAGGCGAACTACAACGCCATCTTGTACGACCCGGAAACGCGGCACGTGATGGAAATATCCAAAATCCAACACCTCGACAAGTACAAGGAGGTGTTTACGCACCAGTTTGGGCCCCATGTAGCAGTTTTGTATGACCCTGCCTCGAAGAAGGCCATGAATTTGTCAAAGATCAAATCACCGCAGGATTACCGCCAGGAATACGCAGAAAGTTTTGATACCATCATCAAACGCGTCACAAACAAGGTCGTTCTGCGTCTTGTTGACCTGACCAGGGTAGATAACCTCGTGGCATTTGAAGAAGAGCTCATAATTGAAACCAGCAACTACAGGACCCTGCTGTTCAACTCGGAGAACAGCCGCGTGATCGAGATTTCGCGTCTGGATAGCTTCGTTAACTACGAGAAGAGGTTTAAGGAAGCTAAAGGCAGCTACACAACAGTACTTTATGACCCCGAGACTCAAAGGGCCCTGACACTGTCCAAAGTTACCACTCAGGTTCATCAAAGCCAAATGATAGAGAGTTCTTTTGGGGATAGGTTGTCCGAAAGCACACAAATGGAGGAACCCCAGTGGTCCCTAGATATTGAAAGCATGGCCAAATTCTATGAAGATGTTGCCTCTGGTAAACATCGGGAAGCTGAGGTCCCGTACTATACAGAGGGTAAAATCACTAGTAAAGGGGTGCCTAAGTACCGTGGGAAGAAAAAGGTAGGTTTTACCTTGTCGGGAGAGGAGTTGAGAGGGGCCGACTCTGCCGGAAAGGCGGAGTTGGAGGTTATCTATAAGGGTGGGGATGTTGTAGAGACTAAAGAGCAGACAGAAGAAGTGGTGCAGGCGATAGAACAGGTGGGTTTGAAGGCAGCAGGGGCGGTGAAAGATGAGAAACCAGGGGTGTCGATCACGAGTCGCCGCTCGGACACTCCCCCTGAGGCGCTCGGGGATGGGGACCAGGAGGAAGACGACACCCCCATGACACAGGACATGGTGCGCCGTCTGATCGAACTCCATGAGCAATCGATGCGGGGGATAGTGCGCACCCTCGACGAGGACCTAGCTGCTTTGAATGGGAATAACAATAACAATAATAAGGTCGTGGAGGCAACACTGAGATATAGGAAGCCAACATGGACGGTGTGCACTATGGAAGACCCTGAGGCGCTCACATACTGTCAGGTACATGGACCTCAAAACTATCCACTAACAGTACTAAACAGTTAGGGAAGTCTTACAAGAGTAGAAGAGGTCCCTTCCCTCCGTAGTAGAAGAAGCTACTTTGTAGTCGTAGGATCCGCCTAGCTAACCAAACCAAACAAAAGCTCTACAGTAGACCACTGTCTCTTCCTTCAGAAAAGCTTTCTCTCCTCTTTCCATCCTTCCAACTGCTCCCAGAACCTCAACCTCTCTTTTCCACCAATGTCTCTCTGGTGTTTTTCTTTGCTATGATGCATCTCTCATGCCTTTCTGTGTACTGTTCCCATCTTCTTACATGCCACTTGCTGGACATCTGTTGCTCTTTGTTGTTCCTTTCTATCTCTCTTCTCTCTGTGTTGTCCATGTTGAAATCTCTCTGCCTGCCTGCAATGCTTAGCTTTCAGTAGGCTCACCGTTAAAGGTATACAAGGCAAGATTGTTCACAGCTGCCCAACTAAGTTTTTCACATAAAAGTTTGTCCAGCCCTGATGACAAAAATCGAAATGGGCCAAAAGTCATGCCATGTATACCTTTAAGCAACTATTACAAGTCATGCACATGTAGTGCACCTGATCCTAAGCTTTACCTTTCAACACTACCCTTATGTGTACACTATTATCTGTAGCACCATTAACCTATGGTAGTTCCAGGCACAGTTTGCTTTTTGTTTAGTTTTACTTTATGTATAATATGCATGCTACTTTTTTTTTCAGTCAATATGACTGCTTTTCTCTTGATTTTGCATGGCTGATAATTTCCCTTTCCTCCTTGGTTTGCTGGCTGTCCCTCTGGTTTTCTTTATCTTTCTCCTCTGCCTAAATCACTTCTCAATAGATCCACTATGGCCCCTCTCGTCTGGAGCAACATGGCCAGAAATACCATGCAGCCATTGACGACCCTGAACTCAAACGCCTCCAAGAAGTTGGGAAGTTCCAGAGCCAGGTATTCAAGCCTGTCAAGGAGTGTTGTGTGGCTTGATGTCGAATGCAAGTCCAAGTTCAGGACTGAGTTTGAGGCATACAGTTGTCAAAACTGCATGTGACGTGAACTTAATCACTGTTTTAGACAAATACACGCAATTCACTCAGTGATGCTAGCCTAAATATGCCCAATACCTAGTCCAGCCCTGTGTTTGAAGACTGACATGTTACCCTCAAAATGTACATGTCAAGCAGTTAGGCTTTTGGGTAAGAATGTTCTACTTGTGACTTGCTTGCCACAATATCTTATATAAAGATTGACCAATATAATAGGAAACAATGTAAGTTTGCAAGTTGTGGGACTAAACTTGTTTGAGTTGTAGTTATGGCATTGCCATGATAATTACAAAGTTCAATCTTTGATGCCTCCGTATTTACCGCCTGAGTATGCTTGCATACACCTTGTGGGGCTGGTATGAAGTCAGATAATACAGATAATCAGCTTTTTCTGATCTTCTATCAATGACCATGCTGGTTGGGATGTTCCTAAGGTTCTCTATGGAGAGATTAAAGACAAAGACGATGCCAGCAAGGGTCGTGGCAAATACACACAGATCCAGCAGGATCCAGAGATGAAGAGACTGAAGGAGGCAAATGCCTACGCATCAGAGGTAAACACAAACAAACAAACAAACATTTTGTGTCTTATAATGGTGAAACCAAAACATACGTGTCATACATAATAGTTAAGATCAATCATTATGTATGAAGACTTAGTGTTTTGAAAGAGTACCTGAATTAAGAAATTGCAATATTTGTGCATTTTTCTTTCTTTATTGTTTGTCCTATTATTACTATCTTGCTTTGCTGTCTCTTTTTCTTCCTTCTGTCATTTTGTTTCTTTTCTTTCTTTTTGCATCATCTTTCCACACAACTCGTAGGCTCAGGTAGCAGTGAGAAGGTTCGATGAAAAGAATCGGTACACCACAGTTCTGGACGATCCAGAACTGAACCGTATGAAGAACGTTGGCAAGTTCCAGAGTGAGGTACATGAATGTAAAATCTAAAAGCCTTTTAAAGAAGGGTTGCTGCATGTAAACTTATTTCTGCATCAAGTACATCCTGGTACAGTCAGGAATGTGACTTACTTCAATCTTTTGCAGTTACCAGTAGGCATGATGATTACTGTCGAATTCGTACCTGTACAAAGTCTTGTAGAAGTTGAAGTCGCTTCATGATTGGGAAACGTTAGGCATGACTGCTAGGGGTGTATGGTGACTAAGTGATCTTAAAAGATACATAACCTGTAAGTATATGGGTGATAATGGAACATACTACAGCATGCCTGTCCCCCCATTTCATGTCAGACTCTGCATATCATCACATGAACTAGGAAAAGATGGTGGTCTTCTTAAGAAATAAACTTATAGGCTTGTATATATAAGAATGTCTTGACTTACGTAAATGGTCGATCGCGGACGTGACACAATTGCTTGAGCCTCCTGTGGGAATACAGAAGATTAGGGTGACTACTAGCATAAGGGAATGCTTAATAGATTTAATCCAGTAATCGAAATGCATTGCCTGCTGAATGGTTTCAAGAATGCCAGAGACTAAGATGCTAAGAAAGCAGGTTCTTCATAGCCTGTGAAGGAGGAGGATTGGAAACTGTTTTTAAGGCTTGCGTACAAGCATGACGTGTCCAGCAGTGTGTCAAACTGCTGCGTCAAGGATTCAGTTCCGATGTAGTCCCATGGCATTGTCAAGAGCATGTCCATCGAAAACTGCTGTGTCAAGAATTTGGTTCCGATGAAGCCCTTGTGGAATCATGAAGAGCATGTCCATGAAAACTGTCCTGAAAACCTTGTGACAGAGGAAGTTTTGGACACTGTTCTCTTGGCCTGTGGATGAGCATGACTTCTCCTGCGGCATCCTACCTCAGACTGCTGTTTGAAGATGTTAAATATGACGATGAATTCCTCATCAAAGAGCATGCCAGTCAGTCCAACCTGTTCTGAATAAAAAAAAACCTCTGGTCGCACATCTCAGCTGCAATACAAGGACAAGTGGACCAGAAAGACTGGAGCCCGCTACACCAACGTTCTGGACGATCCAGAAATGAACAGAATCAAGGGGGTGACCAAGATGCTCAGTGAGGTAAATATAGCAATGATTGGACTCGTAGATGAAGCCCCCTCCCCTACCCTCTGCCCTAAAGCCATAGAGCACACTGGTTAATATGGCCTGCTGTATGGCTATAAGATATGAGCATAGAGGCTCATTTTTGGTTTTTGTAAACAGCCCTTATACTATTATATAGATTCATAAAATGCCACTGGCTTCATAGAACATAATTATGTATATTAAGTAAAGAAAAGTACCCCATAGTTAGGCTTCAGTAAGGTTAATGGCCTCATGCAAGTTTCCCCTTGCCATAGCAACATAGCGCCACAGCCTTCCCTTCCACCCCCTTTGCAATGCTGCTTCATTCTCATATGCATTTCTTCATTGCAGCAAGTGGAATATCAACAATCTGAGCACTATAGGCCAGACCTGTTTCTTTACTTGGTTATACAATCTTTAAGATAACATTAAGATTTCTTTGATTAAGATGATCAAGCAAATCAAATAGCCAAGTAATTCAATAGGTCTGGCTGTGTGTTGATATTCTACTGGCTGTAATTCACTGTCTTCATCTTTTTACTTGATGTATATCACTTTGAACTGTGTAAAAATCAATAAGTTTGGCAGTAAAACTATTATATAACTCATTATCTAAAATGCCTTGAAACAATTACTTTGTATGGAAATACCTTCTAGGAATTTCTCGAATGAGGAAATCAGAATGAAAGTGTGTTACATTTTCCATACTTATGCCAAGTGACATCAGTTCAAAGTGATAATATCCTCCACACTATTCCCCACTTGCCATCATTCTAGGAGATCCCAGTCAGTCTGAAACCACATCTCTGTGTCATTTCGCTCCTCTTATAAGTGAAAAATCTGTTGCAAAATCAAGATGTCGAATTAGCCTGGATGCCATCTGTTTTGTACCGTGACTACTTGCACTCCTTAAAATGGATGGCTAATTGGCTACCAAGTCAGCTTTTGTTAAGGACCTTTAACCAATGACTGACTGTGACCTGCCATCATTCCATTGCATCTGATCATCTCCGCCCTCCCCTCTCCCTGGTGACGTTACTACTGTAGGTGCAGTATCGTGATGCGGAGTTAAAGGCAGGAAGATTGACTGCTGTTACAGACGATCTGGACACCGCGCGTGTCAAACGGAACACCAAAATACAGAGCGAGGTACAAGAAAAACCCAACTATCCCCTGTAATATGTATGATATACTTCCCCGCTTTATGCCTTAGCTTGTAAGGAAATGGCTTCCCTGTACATGTGTCTTGAAGTAAGGGTCCTCATGCCTTCAGAAAATCCTGTAATATGATGATATGTTCTGGTAAAACTTCTTCAGTAACCCTGAAAAGCCCTAAGCCCCTGTCACACATACATGTAGCTGACCATGGCCTCTCAACAAGCCATGGTTATAGTGTGTGATGAGATTTACTTCAATGAAAATACCCTGCTTCGTCAAAGTATTTCCTTCATCTGCATAGTCCAGGTAAGCATTGCTGGCAGCATAGCAGAAATGGATTGTTCTATGCTGAAAACTATTCACATATTGGATAATCAAACCCATACTATATTATATATTGTGATAATTTTACAACTCTGCAAAATGCCCCATTTCCATGGCAACATCACCAGCTCAAGTATCGTGATGCCGAGTTGAAGGTGGGAAAGTTACACGTGGTCACTGATGACATTGATGCCAAGAGGATCAAACGGAACACCAAAATACAGAGCGAGGTATCAACCATGCCCCCCTCCCCACCCTGTGGCTACCGGACCAGCTGTCCTCTCCCTACTTCACAATGCTGACAAAGAAAAACTTTAAATTCTAGGCTCTTTTGACCCCTTTAAGGTGCTTTTTTGACCCCTTTAAGGTGCCTTTTTACCCCTTTAGGGTGCTTTTTACTATACCCCTGAAAGATAATGGCTGCAAATCAGACAACACTTGAGCCGTAAGATTACACCCTTAAATAGAAAATATATACTATCATTAATATGTAACTGTAAGCTTGATCCTCCCCTTTGCTTACAGAGCTCCCTTTACACTCCCTGTATGTAAAGACATAATGATATAGTTTTATTACACTAAGATATGGTTGTAGTTTTGTGCATTGAGCCCTATTCGGTTGAATGGAAGTTAAGAAGCCATCAGAACTCCACTGGGATAATGCCTAGCTTTGTCAAAGATTATTTGTAACATAATCCCATGTTTTGATATGACCAGACCCTGTACAGAAAAGACTTCACCAAGGGCAAAGGTACTTTCACTGGTACAAATGGCATCATGGACTCTATGGATTATGAAAGGATCAGAAAAGCTTCTAAACTAAGCAGTGAGGTAAAGACTTGTCGTGTGGGTGTACCTGTCCTTGGTGCTGAAATGTCGGTTACCGTGAAGTTGTTTGTCTCTGTTGTCATCAGGTAGTTGTTTTTGTCTTATGTCTCTTCAGTGTCCATGTACTATTTAAAACTGTGGATTTATACAAATATACAAGGCCCTGCTTCATTTTTAAGTAAAAGAAGTGTAGTTTATGTTGATTGGATTGTGTTTATTGGCTTGCATGAAATGAAAAGAAGCTTGTACTGTGGTGGTGTTCAGATACCTTTAACGTGAGTTTGGTCTGTTCCTTATTTGTTGGTCTTAAGCAACTGTTCTAGACAGTAGATCTCTGGTCATGAAAGGATAGCTGTGGTAGGAATTTTTTTGTCTGCCACTGTGCACCAGTTTTACCTGTCACTTCTTGGTATGCCAGTTGTCTGTTGGTCCTGCTAAAGGTCTTGAAGTTCCTTGTAACTCTGTATGCTTCAAAGATGCAGGTTAGATCTCTCTACCATCAATTGTGGAAAAAGATCCTCTGTTCGGTTTTTATTAGTAGTAATCACTCTGTCTTTCATCTCAGATCATTTTGTCGGCCACATCAACTCAGGTCCTGGGAAAACATTTGCCTTTTTCTCAGTTTCTCAGTATCCCTAAGTAAGTGCCACTCCTATAATTCTTGTACTGACTTGTTACCATGGCAACCTGCCATTTTCTTCACCAGAATGAGTACAAGAAGGGCCGAAAGATGAACACGTACAACGCCGTCCTGGACACGCCAGACATGCTGAGAATCCGCAATGCCACAAAGATCTCCAGCGAGGTAGAAAAGGAGACTCGGCTGTTGTGTGGATGTGGATTGAAACTGATGTTGTGTGACATGACATTGTGATGCTGTTCAGACTGATTATTGTCAAGAGAAAATTGTATCATAGCATGGATTTGCTGTTGGTAACGTTACACCATCATATTAGCATGGTCAGATTTTTATCAATGTTCGTTTCATTTCCAGCATTTCCACATGTATTTGTCTTGTTTTAGTGCAAAATGTATTTCATGTTAATGGTAAGCATGAAGATGATCTAAACAAATACACATACTGTCTGCTTTATAATGTGAGTTCTATCCTTACTGTTGGTGAGGATCTTTTATTGCATGTTGAGTTCTTTTTGTTATTTCTTGCTTGATAAGAATGTAGCAATTGCTTATTTGCTACCACCTCAAAGAAGGCAAAACAGTGCATTTTACATTTTGAGGACATTTTGTATGTCATACATGTCACAAAGTCTCAGAGCATGATCTTAGGATCTTGTCGTGTTTGAAGTTGTTGCTAAATCCAAAGCCATTTTCACTCCCCAACAACAGCAAGCTTGCAAGGACTGCTGGGAAGAGCCAGAGTGCCCATCCATTTTGCCTGATGTTTGTTTTAACCTTGTATAACCTTGAAACACAAGAAATACCATGTCAGCCATGTTGTTCAATGTTCACCTCTGAACAAAAAAAACATTTGACATTGAGAAACAATTCTTTCTGTCAAACAAAATGGCTGATGTGGGGTTTCTATGTGTGACCTCTGGACAACAGAATCTTGTCTGACCTTTTTGCTCACCTCTGACCTCTGAACCCCTCCAGGTGAAATACCACGAGGACTTTGAGAAGCAGAAGGGGAAGGCGTACCACACGGTAATCGATGACCCCGAGCTCACGCGCGTCAAGAAGAACACGGTCATCCAGAGCAACCTGGCGTACCAGGGCGTCAAGGAGAAGCTTCAGACCATGGAGTCACGGCGACAGATGATCCCCGGGGAACACCCCATGCCTCCGCCCGGCCCCGCGCAACAGCTCGGAACACGTGAGTTCTAACAGGCAGCTCTTAGAGTACACAGGATACTTAAACCACACCAATTTAATTGTTTTGGTTCTCAGATTTTTTAAAAACATGTTCAACTGGAGAACAACAACAAAAATGCAAAACATACCTGGTCCATTCATTTATTTCTCAAACAGCACAGGTAAATACAGTAAATATACAACGCCATCCAGAGCTCGAAATACCCGGTGGCGCACTGGCGCGGCGCCACCTGATTTTGCTTGGCGCCACTTATTCCTAAACTCAGGTGGCGCAGCGCGCCACCTATAATTTGCGTGGATCGAGCCGCCAATCGCATGGATCGGGCCCCATTGTCGGCACAATCTTGTGAATTGTCGATGAATTGTCGATCTCGCCATGACGCCACAAAGAAAACGTTCTCATTGGTAGAAAATCAGACACCTCGCTGGCGTTTCACAACACAATTTTCATGTAAACAACTCCGACTGTCCTTGTTTACATGCAAAGCGCGCCGATACAAAATCCTGCCGGCCGCCCGACCGACCGCATGCGACGCTAAGTTTTCGGCGGCTCGGCGGAAAAATAATCCATCCCCAGAAGAAATTTTACGCATGAAAATAACAACTGCAACTTGTTTTCGTCGTTATATGAGTTTCTGAGGCCGTAAAATGTTAAAACGGTTGAAATTTGTCGGAAAAAACAGCTCGAAAGACAGAATGAAAATGGCCGACGCTGCTTCCAACAATGTGGTCAAAGGTGAAGATAGCATCCAAGCGTCCAAGATACATGTACTAGTATTACACGCATGTAAAAAAAATTTTTCGGCAACGACAGAAATAAAAATTCACTCGTATTTTTAAAAGGTTAATTTGTAAACATTACCGAGAAATTTTCCGAATTTATTGGTTTCTAGTGTCAGAATATAATGTTGTTTCTATGAATGTGCGGTTGGATGCTGTGGGGGCTTTTACAATTGGGAGAATCAGATATTAAGAGCATGCTTTCTTTCTTTCTTACTTTCTTTATTGAGTGTCTCTAAATTTTTTTTAGTATGAGTTTATAGACATAATCACATTTTTATTTGTTCAGCTGTGTCAATATGTGAATTTGTTTGGGAAATATGATTGGGTTAAAAAGTTTGGTATATATTAATTATGTCCGTAACACCTTAGGAATACTTGCTCCAAGTTCCAGGTAATAAGTACATGTACAATTTGTATCATGTATTTTTCACTTGTTGAACTTGTGGAAGCACCGTGGGCCCCTACGGGTTAGGGGTCATCCGGGGAACCTATGCCCAATTTTTAATCAAGGGAGCTAATACCATTTTTTATTAGATTTTGAAGATTTGTCCGGGGGGTATGTTTATTCCGGGGGGGTATGTTTATTTGGCAGATGAGAGTAACATTATCCTTGCGCAAACGAAGAACATGGCGCACGTAATACCACCCGCATAAGTGTGCCGCCATGTAGAGGCGTGGCATTCCCACGGCGGCAGCCCTGTGATGAAGTGATGTAAAGGTGGCATTCTTTATTAAAACATTGTTGTTTGAGAGCTTTTGTGTTCTTTACATTACTTTATTTTATAACATAAAACTTAAGTAGTTAACTAGAAGAAAACGTAATAGATATAAGTAGCAGATTTGAAGAAAATGATAACTTGGAAGTGTTGCCACTTGAATACTGATGGCGCCACCTGGCTTTTGACTCAGGTGGCAACATGCGCCACCTGGCTGAAAAAAGTATTTCGAGCCCTGCCATCACTTCGCAGCCATTAAGGCTGAGTTGTGGGCATTGAAACATTTAACAATAGCTAAAATCAAAAGAAACACAAGGAAAACAAAGCCTGAGGGACATGTTTATGCCTTAGTGCACTATGTTTCATATTCAAGTTTCATATTCAAGTTTCCTCCCTACCCTCTGCTTTTTAGATGTCTGCTTGCTATAGTTCTAATGTCTGAGAACCAAGAAATAAATTGGTGTGGACTGACTGTGCAAGGGACAGATGAGATTTTTGTCTTTCCTTTCAGGCAGCAATATTGCTACTAAGGTAAGTATGAGCTTGTAACCAAGGTAAGGTACTTTTCAGAGTGGCCTTCTTGTAAGAAAGGGAAAAAAGAGGTAAGTATACCTGGCAGAAGAAGAACAGGAGCATGTGATGGTGAGAGCGTTTGTGACAGTCGTAGTAACAAAGTTTACATGAGACTTTTTCATGCACTGATCATCTGCACTTCTATTAAATATATAATCAACTCATTGACTAACCCTTTTAAGAATGTGTCATATTCGTGTTTAACAATATTGTAACGTTGCTTGGAAAGAGTCCCGAACTTCCTGAACTTGACAAGTGTTTGAAAGCACTATGAAATAATTCATTCATGACCTGCCTACTGCCTCTATGTACATGTAAGATAGACTGGACGGGGCACATGCACATAATGCAGCTGCAAGGCAGTACAAATGTCTAATGTCTGTACCCCAAAGTGCACATGTCTCTGTGTTTAGTACCATGAGGTATGTACTCCTAGAGATTGAAGTATGTCAGAGTCAAGTTGACATTTGAAAGTGCCTTGTGCAATTTTGAGAGTGTTTACTAACTAAAACTTGTACTCACCGTGTGTGAGCCATGTTATGTACTAAACTGTGCGGTCACCCACCCTGTAACTGCTTGAAGCATGTGCACTGAAGTTTGTGGTCACCTGTATGTAGTGATGGACCCCCCCACCCACGGCATGGAAAGCATGAGTCTCCACGACGGGCATGATCGCATGATGCAACAACAACAACAACAGGAGGAGGACCGGCACCTGGCCAGCATGCGCAGGCAGGAGAACCCCCCTATCTCCATTCAAAGTAAGTCGTTCCACCACTGTCAATGGTTGTCAGGACTGGTCCATTGTTTCATTTTAGGGAGCAGTTAGGGAATCAGATGTGCTACCAAAATGTCTTCATACATTGTCTTTCAAACACATGATGAAGATAACAATATAAACATAGTTAATAAGATTTAAGACATCTGCTTCTCCTTTCTTGGTAAGGTAAGATGTCTCCATACTTTGAATCATCAACTTCCTTCAATGCAAACTGCTGTACAGTACATCCACTGTGTTACTTGTACAACCACTGAACATGTGCACCTTATAACTACATGTATATATTCCATATCTTGCTATAAACATTGTATTCAATTAACTATCTTCTTCCTTTTACACCGTTTGCTTGGAATGAAGTAGTTTTTCAACTGTGCTTAAAATGCTGTTTTCGCAGACTGAATGTACATTGTATGTACATTCACACAGTCACCACATCTGTGCACTAAAAGTTGGAACCATGGGGTCACCTGCACATTTACATTTACTTGTATGCACCAAAAGCCCACACTATGTACACAGTCACCACATCTGTGCACTAAAACAATGCGGTCACCCTGCAACTGTTTGTACCAAGACCAAGAGCTCACACCATGTACACACTACTACATCTGTGTACTAAACCCTTATGGTCACCCTGAACATGTACATGTACCTGCACAATTACATTGTACTTGTACGTCACAATAGGCCACACCATGTACACAGTCACCACATCTATGCACTGAATCCTTCTGGTCACCCTGGACAATTACAATGTACATGTACCTGTACGTCACAAAAGCCCACACCATGTACACTTGTCACCGCACCTGTGCACTAAAACGTTGTGGTCACCCTGCCTGTAGAAATGGAAGCCCGGATGGCTGCTGATGCTTCCTATGCCCAGTTCAAGGCCAAGGGGAAGGGCAAAGTTGGAGGACGTAAGTCAAAATGAGAAATAAAAGCAGGGAGGCCTTTAAGTTCTTTTTTTCAACGCAAATTTTTTTTTGGCAAAATTTTTTTCCTGCCAACAATTACATGCAGACAAAATGCAACAGAAATCCATCCATCCTAAACAATTTTTCTGCCAGTAAGTGCATTACTGGTACAAAATCTGTATCTTTTTCCCATCACTGAAACTGTCTTCTGCCTTTCTATACTCTCTGTTCACATATATAATTCTATTCTATCTTGAAAAACTGTTTTCCAAAACTGTACCTGTATACCCACAAGTCACTTCTATTTCCATACCTTGTCTTGGAGGCCTTCCTATTCATTATGAAAACCTTAGTGTACAGTTAGCAGTGTCATAATGTCTTGTATCCACTTGTGTTTCTTAATAGTATATCATTCCACAATGTTGCATGTGAGTCATTTATACGGTCATTATATGGGGTTTATAAAAGTAGCCCTTTTGTACTGAAAAGTCTGGGAGCAGCATACATGGATAGCTACTGATACTAACAGCACATAGAAAATGCATCCTCTATAAGATAGTGTGTATGATTTATGCATTTCTATGCATTGTATTAATCATAGTTACATGACTGTGAACATCAAAGAGGAAAAAAGGACTTGCATGGGAAAACTTTGTGAATTCACACTGATTGTATTGTAAATGTATGTACACATGCTGGGTGCATTTTTCAACATGCATGGTGGGATACAAGATACAACACAAGTTCAACATACAGCTTGCTGCATCATGGTTTGATATGAGAATGTCGTTATTTGGATAAAGCCATATGATGAGAGTGATGTCAGTTTCCATTGGTTGAAACATACAGGTAGCATGCCTTTTTCAATGGGTCAATAGACAACAGAACTGTGAGTTTGTCTAGCTCTTGGTGCATTCTTGCATTTGGCCATGTGTTAACTAAGGTAGCAGAAGTAATTACAATGCTATGGAGTGTTATGTGTTGGAGATGAAGCCTGCCCTTGGTGCTGAAAACATGGTTATCCTACAGCAACTCTTCCAATGACTGCTTGAACAGGAATTATAGTCCAGAAGACTCCAGATAATATTATTTACTGGAGTGTCTTGTTATATTTCAGTCCATACCATGGTATGGATGAAATATATTGTGTTCTCTGATGTTTCTTCTCCTTCTCCTTCTCCTCCTCCTGCCAAACAGTCAAAGGGATTCAACTCCGCCATCATTCAGCCAAATGACTTGAAATTTGGCATGGAGGTAGAGTGGGCCAATACCCCCAGGCGTTTTTTTCATTTTTTTGATACATGCCTTTGAAAAATTTTTATGGAGGTTTTTTTGGGCATTTTTCGCCAAAAAATGGATTTTTGGATCCTGAGCCCTGGTGTTACAACCAAATGATCTGAAATTCGGTATAAGGGTACCTTGAACATGTGTCTACAGAACAACAGTCACATATTTGGCATACACCACTTCCAAATGACTCATTTGGGGGACTTTAATGGCTATTTACACCAAAAAAAGGGCCAAAAGTGCTATACCCGTTCCATGTTCTATCTAAAGAATGGCACGTTCTATCTGCCGTTGGCCATGGAACAGGTGTTCCATTGCGGGTTACCTGAGGTCACATTGCACCTAAGTGGTGCATAATGACCCACACATTCAATTTTATGTGCCTAAGACCTTCAAAATGTATCAAATCTCATCATTGTTAGTATTTGCATACCTGTAAGAAGATTAGTAAAGCTTTCGAGATTCAATGTGCTTGTTCTTGCATCTTTGTTCTCAATTACATGGCTACTATATAATTCATTTATTTGAGAATCTTTGCCAGTTTTACACTGGGGTAAGTTTGGAATAGTCCACTTTTGCGTGGGAGGGAGATGGACTGAAATATGCTGTATTTGCTCCCAAGCAAATGTCGGCCTCTCTAGTTCTTAATCATATTTTAACATGATTATTAGGTCTATGTATCTACAACTGGGGATCAATACATGTTGGATCTTTGTTAACGTTCTTAAAGTGACAAAGGAGTTCAATAATTAAGAAGCCTGCTGGGTTTGAACTATGTAGTTTGTTAAAGAAATACCTCATACATGTACTTATAGGATGATAAAACTCCGCTTTTTGCACTGTTTTCAAATTTAGTCTTCTTCTTAGAAAGTCTTACAGGTGGTTGTTGTCGGTTTTCATTCGTCAAAATACATTAAGAAAAATACAATGTACGAACTCAGCAACATGCAAAAGAAATTCAATCTCTCATATTGGACAGTGTCTTAAATTAAATTCAGTCTCTTATATTGTACTATCAATGACAACCCTCAACAACCACCTTTTACTGTTAGATCATCTCTTAGACGTTTTCTTTCCTCCTTGTGATTTTGTTTTCCTGTTTTCTTTGTGTTCCTCTCCTGTGACTAACCAGGGTACATGCCTATCAGGCTGGGTGACCCAGGCTCCATCTTTGATTACGAACCCTATGAGGGCAAGGAGGAGGCAGGCAGGGCTATCTATGGTACCTCCCTTTTCTCTTTCTTCTTTTCTTCTTTCTGTCATTTCTGGCTTTTCTTTGTTGTTTATGTTATTCTTAAACTTCTCTACATGTTTGTTGATAGCAATTACTTTTCAGGAAGGTACAAATAGTTTTATGCTGAGGTTAAATGTTATTGAATTGAAAAATGCAAATAAGGAATGGCTAAGCTGGTTGCACTTTCCCAGGCTGACCCTACCCTATCCCCAGCAGTATGGTTCAAAATGGTCAAGGGGTTCTACTCTACAACATATATGTAGACTTACGAACACTTTAGATTTAAGACACGAACATTCCAATACAGGATTCATACTATGGTAACTGTATAAAGTAGAATAACACAGGGTACTTTTAATGTGATGCAAGTCATTTCACAACACCCCAAAATAAACTGGTAATGTTATATCAAGATAATTTACATCTAGCTTGTACGTACTAGGATTAAATTCGAAGGTGTCTTAGACATAAGCTTGAGATATTGTACTAGATTGTCATCAAACATTGACCACCATCATCATCATAGCATTGACCACGGAGTTTCTTTTTCTTTCTCCTATCAATTACAGAAAAAGACCAAAAGAAAAAGACCTTTGGTATACCTTAAGCTTCCTGTTTACATATTAGTAAGATAGCATGTGTAGTTTTGGGTGTGGAGCCTGACAGTCTATCATGTTAGCTACATCATACGAATGGATTGACGTACTAGTATTAAGAAGTGTTCACTTTATAGACTGTGCATTACCAAATGCTAGAACATAAATGGTAGGACTCTGGATGTGTTAGAAGTACAACATCATAGGAAAAGAGGCCATGCTTTCTTCTCTCCCTCTTTGAATGTAGTTTCTCCAAGAGACTATGTTTCTTGAGTACGTGTGCACAAGCACCACCCTTCCTCACTGCATGTCCAAGCTTGCATTGTAAGCGTTATGGAGCAAGTTAAATCCCTCATTTTGTTAATTCCACCATTGATTGCTATATGATTTATGCATGCAGCTCGCTGCTTAATTCAGCTTCTTGCAACTCTGCCTAGACAGTTAAACCTCTCATGTCAATGTGAAACACAACTGGTCACAATTTCAAGCACCATTTGACACGTGAGGTTTAACTCTACTAACAGTAGTACTTCTCTGTACAGCTAACTTCCTTCTGTAGCTGTAGTAGTTCTCCACTCATGCTCCTTCTGCCCCTGCTCCTCCAAGTTACCACTGCCACATGGAAGCCAGCCAAGCCCATTCGCACCATTGAAGACTTTGTGGTGGAAGAAGAGGGTACATATCATCTTTTCATCTTCTTCGAGCTTGTTTTATCTATCTTTTGCTTCTTTAAATCTGTCCATTCATAATTGTACGCCTGCCATTTCTTCTTTTGTCCATTTAGAGCTTAAATGTATCACTCTATCTTCTTTGCAAACCTTTGTGTTTAAATCTAATAATCGTTATAGAATTTGCTGTTCACATTGTAACTATACCTACAGTCATTTTTGTACACCGTATATGTTATTCTTTTGCGTACCATTAATAATGTTCAAAGTCCTTTGTTGCTTTTCCACCTTTGAATGCATGTTTGTTTTTGTATATATTTCTTCTCATTTGCTGATTGATACTCTAATCTATAAACTTGGTAATATTTATTTTCCCTTTTAATAATTTACTTTAATAACTTAAAGTGCTTCTCCTTATCTCCCAAAACCAGTCAGCGCCGCTAAAGTTGAGGGTAATGTTCTCTGTGCTATTTCTTCTGGACAGTTTCTGTTTCCCTCGCTTCTGTCTTTCCTATCGTATTCACAATCTCTTCTTTGTAAATCTCTTAACCTCTTCTTCATATCAAAAAGCATTTTAGTTCAGTCCCCTCCACCCTCATTGCATAACATGCTGCATTTTATCAACACTATCAACAACTTGAAGATATCTTTTAGTTCTAAAAACGTTTATCTTTATTGCAACTGAAGATGCAAAATGTTGTCTTGTCTAATGCATAACAGATATAGTCTTGCAGGATAACAGTGTTTATCTGCATTACTGATTTGTTCATGCTACGAATTCTAATATGCAACATTATCACGAGATGATGCCATGATGAGAATGCCTCATTTGCAAAGCGGACAGTGAAAAGATTAGTCCCAAATACAATGTAGTTTGTTGCAAAATATGATACAGAAGCTAGCAATCCTTTATAACAAAAAATGCCAATTGGCAAACATTTCCATTCATCTCAGTTCCTCTATCTGCTAGTATGTATTGTGCTTTACACTCATCTCTGTTGTATCTTTGTATCTGCTCAGCTAATTCATTTCTGCCTAACATTAACATTTACTGATTCACTCTTGTGTTTTTCTATTTAACAATGCTAACTATCAGCAGCATACATCAGCCACATTTGACGGGGACATCATCAGTCACAATTCAGTCTTAAATATGTAGTTTGCCTACAAGTTAACTGTTTCTGTAGCTAACATCTGTCCTACTGCTGTTTCTGTTCTTTAGAAGCCATGGAGGCCAGGGACAAAATCACTGGTACTGTCTGTCATTCTCTGTCATCCTTTCCTCTTTTCTGTCTCTCTAGCTCTGTTCATTCTTCATATTTTCACATGTATCTACCCAGTGGTGAACTTTTGATTGATTTACATCAGCTAAAAGTAGATTTAGATTTACAGCTGTTTGGAAAAACATGAAATCGATTCATCCTTAAACTTTGAGCAGCTAACAAACACAGTAAATCCATGCACCAAAGTCAGTAAAGATAAAGTTGAAAAGCATAAAGGCAAAATGTCAACCATGTATCAGGAATCACCTCTGAGTTTTTGCTGTGGAATATTTTTTCCTCATCTACTCTGTCTTTGTTCTTTCCTTATTCTTTTGAAAGTTTGCCATTCTGGTCTTGTCCACATTTTTCTTGTCCTCTGTCTTACTGTCAATTATCGTTATGATAACAGCATAAACATTGTACATCATATTTCATGTTAGCTTATACTACCTATGTGACACTGTATGAATTGTAAGCACTAATATTTCCAGGCTCTGCCTTTTCTTAACTACCAACACATACTGTCCACTTGCTTACCCTTCATTTTCTGGCCTTCAGAGATGGATATGGAGTATGAGCGCAGGAAAGGCGAGGGTCTGTCCTACGAGTACGACCCACAGAAATATTCCCACCACTACTGGTCCAAGACCACAAGTAAATAAAGCAAACAATCCGTAATTGCATCCGTGCACAGAGAAATAGCCAATAAAAGGGGCATGTGATGGGTGTTGTGTTACAAACAGTGGTTTTAAATTGAGAAGTCAGGTGTTGTTTGCACCTGTCTAGTCCTAATTGATTTAACAAACCTGTATCATGTCTTGAAAGCTGATAAAAAGAGATCTTGTATGATACAAAACAGGTTGGTTGGAAATCTAAGTTTCTGTACCAGAAGAGCGTGTTAGGTATAAACTGTTACTGGCTTTCCACTAGTCTCCAGTACTGCATCTCATAGTATCTTGTACAAGAAGAATGCCTTACTCAGGTTGCCTGGTTTGCTTCTCTACATGGATGGTGTATTTTATAAGTCTTAAGTAGCATCACTGTCTTGTCCTGCACCGTTTTCAAGTCATAAGCATACTAATTTGTTACGTTATATCTTCAACATTTCTGTTTTACATAATCTAATGCACCACTGCATCTTGCTTGCTGGAAGCATCCCTTGTTTTCTTTCATCACTTTATCTTTTCTTCATTCTCACATTCTTTTCTTCCCACCCTCCCCACCAAGGTGAACTGGGTGGAGTCGGTAAGTCTTTCTGTTCCATTTTCATGTTAAAATTATAAAATATAATCACAACTTTTGCTGCTTCTTTGTTGCTTCATCCTTTTCATTTCCTCTTCTTCTTTCTTCATTGTTACACAAAGAAAAGAAACATTTCCAACTGTCCAGAAACAGTTCAGGTCCTTTCATTTCTTCTGAACATGTTCCCACTGCTTCGTCACCTCTTTAGTTACCACCTCCGGCATGAAGTACCGCAAGATCGAGGACTTCCTCAACCTCAACGCTGACTGTATGTGTTCTTACCTTCCGAGCTACTCTCTCCCTGCTATGTTTTGAGAACGACAAAGACATTGTGGTCATGTTCTCTAAGTTTTAACTCATGCCATGGCAATCCTGCATACAGCAATTTCTTTTTCTGATGCATACATATTTTTTTCGTTTGTTGATCATTCATCCTATGTTATAAGTCACACTTTGCCATACTGTAACTTACTTCAATGCCTGTCTGCCTGTCTATGTTTATATCAGTTCGCCTTTCATTTGTTTCTTTGAAAACTGTATGTTTGCCCATTTCTTTCCATCTGTTGCATTTCTTCTCCTTCACCGTCTGCTTCTTTCCTTCCCTCCTTCCTCCCCACACATGCCATTTGACAGTAATCTACAGTACAGAGAATGAGTCGACCAGAGAGAGTGGTTCAGAGACGTCAGGAATGTGGGATTACGATCCCGACAAATACTGGAGAGCCAGGGGTAAACTTCACCTTCATTCCTTCCATAAATTCTTAATGAACATCCTTTCACAATATCTTTTCTGTTTGTAAAAGCTGAAATGCGAGCAATGTCAACTTTTATAATTCTGCCAGGCAATCTACATGTATACATGTATTATCACCACATACATGTAGCTGTAAACCTATGGTTTGCATGGTGTCTGTCTCTGTGTATGACGTTCATCTTATTTCTTCCTTTCTTTCATTTCTGCTCTCATTTCTGGTTTCTGCTTTCTTCATCGCCACTTTTCTCCTTTTCTCCATCTGTTCATCCCGTCGCGTCTCTATCATCCTGATCCCTCATTCACACATCACAGGATACAGAATCTCTGCAGAACAACGTAAGTCTGTGTTCTGTCTGGGTACATGTGGTGGGGCTGGGCACTGTAGACCACTCTTAATGCGATATCTTCAAGAGAACTCAAGCAACATCATTGTACAACATGATATACTATATAGGCTTTGGTCACAATATGATAAGGCTATCCATTTTACAGGAAAGATACAATAGCTCAGGTTAGAAAATGATGTAAACTTAGTAATCTTCCATGACACCAACATGAGTTCTTGCACACAGCAAGGTTTAGGTTCTCTTGATCTTTTTTGGGTCACTAGTACTGTGCGAGATTTTAAGATACAGTAAATATGAACTGTTCAACATGTAGTCAATCCTCTGAAGATGGTTAACTTATAGTTACATTTAGGTCTGTCCTGTACCTGCTTGAATCATACAGTGCTCCCAAGTTTTGTTGTAACGGTAGACTTAGTCTCCCGGAATATAGCTTCAGATGTTCAAACTTGCCAAGATGCAAGAATGGGTATATCACGTCATGGGGTGGTTTAGCATTGATGACTTTCACTTCACATTAATACTGGTACTTCCTTTCAGTTGAAGGAGGGGTCTCCTTGGTATCATGAGCACATGTAACTCAAAGCTGTTCCTTTCTCCACCCCAGGCTATCAACAGGTCAGGCTGAAGCCAGGCAAGATTGAGGACTATGACCCCATGACCCATCCTGATGCACAGCCCAAGTTTGAGGTATGTTCGCCTGTCTTACAAGTTAAAGATACAACAACATACTTTTGTTGAAACATGAACCAGAGATTCCAATCTTACAACTCTGTCACTTTGCCTTAGCTTGCTACTTTAGCTGTAGTTACTGTATGTTGTAGTCAGAACTCTATTCTATCGCTGAGCCCTCGCTTTTAATTAGGAATCCTTGTGCAAGATTTAAAATCTATTAGCCTGGGTATCCTCTGTAGTTACTGCAGGCCACCTACTTTCACTGGCTCCATGGTAGCTAGCAACACCACGAAGCCAGTGACAGTAGGGAGCCAATGGTTACTACAAAGATGGCACCCATGCTAAAAATCTATGTTACCACCACAAAATAATTTGCTGTAACAATATGTTTAGCTTGTTGCAATCTTTCCCATGTTGTAATATTTGTAGTACATTGTTGATAGAATAACAGTAGAAATGTCCTCCCTGGTGTGGCTTTGATTTAAGTATTGCTCTTACTGTTGTGTATACTGCTTTTTGTTTGTTTCTTTGTTTGCTTCCAACAAAATGTAATCAAAAGTTGTGGAAAGCTTTCTTTCCTGTCTATAAGCTTGCTCCTTGTGTTATAAAGACAGCAGCGCTGTCCCACATGTGACTTATTGTAGCCCCCTGTAGTAGAGTAGTGCCTAACCTCACCGTGCTGCTTTGACTGACCCCTACTTTAGGCTCCCGCTGCTGTGAGTGAACCAGAGCCAGTGATCCAGTCAGGGGTACGTATCCTAACAAAATCCAACGTTTTTGGTTGATTAGTACGATACTCTTCAAAGTACTAAGAAGTATTATAGCTTGTTTTGCTGTGGTAAGTAAGTATACAAGTTATAGCCTTGAAAGTTGAACAGCAAAAGATCTTACTGATTCAGTTTTAATTAGTTTTATGTGTTATACACATGTACATACATTAGAAAATCATGTGACTCTGTAACTTGATGTAAGTGTTATTTCAGTAGTAGTGAGCTACAGTTAATTGCCAACTATGTGTGTCATGACTTGATTGAAAATGAAGTTAATGCAATTTTGAAGTACATGTATATATGCTATTTCTACAATCTTAATTATGTTAATTTTTGATTGGATAAAGCAGAGACTTTGATCATGATTCTTCTACCAGATCGGAATTTCTACCCTGACATATATGTTATTCCTGCAACATTGATGTTTGATTGAGTAAAGACAAACTCACTAACTAATCCCCCCCCTTCCATAGCAGGGCATGATGCGGGCCGTGTTTGACTACACCGCCGCCGAGGACGACGAGATCAGCTTCATGGACGGGGACGTCATCGTGAACTGCGTGAAGATCGACGACGGGTGGATGACCGGTACGGTGCAGCGTACGGGTCAGAGCGGGATGCTGCCCGCAAACTACGTGGAACCCATGTCGTAGACTGCAGCACCCAACGCCGAAACGAAAACAACAAAAAATCCACTCGTCGAATCACAACCTCTCACACGTCGTTAAGAACTTACAGATAGCAGATGATCTAGCTATGGAGCCATATTAGCACTACTACACCATCCTTGGCAACGGAAAAAAAAAAGGAACAGCTTTTGGTCAGAAACAGTCACAAACTTTTAACGAGCTGAATTGTATACTTCTAGAGGATAGGTTTTGAGGAATCTATAATTGCAATGGAGAAACTGTTGAATGTTATTGAAGCAAAGAAAAGGAAGAAAAACAAATGCCAGGATGTGATACACTTTTTCTACACTAGGGCTGACCACTTCTAGCTTGGAAGAAAACTTGTCTTCCCAGTTTCATGTCTGAATAAGGAGTGACATGAGTGATATTATGGCAAAACCTCCTCTTTTTCTGGATTTGATGAATGAGAATGAATGCCAGGATTTTACTACATTTTCCTGATGTTTCTGGGATTTGTATTATTTTAAGGACTGGAAAGTATGTGATAGAGATTCCCCTGAAATGGTCTATTCTGCAGGGTACCGAACCTCATATTCTGCGAAAACAGTACACGACTTGTAGACCAATAATGTGTGGATGGGTGTATAACTTAACTTCCAGCCATAGAGATAGTAGAGGTAGATTGCAGTAACTAGTTTGAAAGCTGAAATTTAAACATGTGCCTTTATATTTGTAGGACGTTAACTTTGAGTTTGGATGTGGTAAAATGTTGTATCATTGCAATAGCATTTTATTTATCACTGATCATACGTAGGTGGTTTTGTTCGTTTTTAGTTTTACTTTATAACTAAGTTAATGTAACTATCGGCTCTTTGTTAACTTTGAGCTGAAACTAGCAAGTTTGAGAGTTTGTGTACTAGAGTGAATGGCAGTGAAAACCTCAACTACTGTGCATGTATAGAAAACTATACCTAAGTTAGGGAACTTCTCCCTTGTATGTAACTTGAGGCTTACATAGCAAAAAAAACTTTGTAAGAAACATTTCTAAGTACCGTGCCATACCGTACTGTACCTTTCCCTTGACCAGATTACATGGACATTTTGCAGGGAATGTTTTGAGAGAAACTTTTTTGGGTGAAACTTGTAAAATTTCTTTCGGCATGAGCAAACCAATGTGTAAGGTGGTGAGAGCGTTGCATAGGACGGCTGCACACGTTCTGTGCGTGTACGCTGAACTCCCAACATGCATGCACAATGTGTGCCTCGCTTCACCAAAGACTCTGGCGTAGTCTTGCATTGTGATGACATCACCTAACACTCATCTGCACATCTCTAGACAATAAAGTTATATCCCCTGATGTACAATACGTGAGCTGTTTTATGTGAGTCTCTCTTTCTTTTAGTAACTAAACCACAAAGTGGAGACATGCAAGAAAACAGTTAAACAGGCAACTAGATAGATTAAGAAAACTGTAGACGTTTCAAGTAGCATCCACTACTTTTCATCGGTGACTAAAGAAACCTGTAGTTGAACAGGTATTCATTCAGGAGCTATGAATTGTATCTGTATCTGTATAGCCAGCTTAATATGTAGCTTGATATGTAGATGAATGAAGACAAAATTTAGACAGCCCATAGAAAGAAAAAATAATAACAAGAGTTCCGAGATCTCATACCTCCATGAAATGTAGGCTTCACATGTAAATTTCTTCTTTAATTATGCAAATGACTTCTACATTAACATAATATATGCAAAATAGGCTCTGATAGAAGATAACTGTGACCCATAGTAAGATATGTTAGCAAGATGACAGTCAGGTCCAAGAATAGGATAAAAACATGCATTGCAAGGCCATATAAAGACTGAGAATGCATAAAACTGTAATGTACAAACGCACAAATCTGCCCCATGCATCTGCTTGGAGCCACATCTCATGCATGTTGAAGATCATTAAAAAAGCCTGAGAGACAAAACCTCCATGGTTTAATCTCCAAGCAGATCCTACGGTGGCAAGGCAGTATCCGAAGTGGTGGCTAATGGACACTCCTCTGGCCAATGGATACTGCCTTGCCACCGTAGGATCTGCTTGGAGATGGCTAATGGACACTCCTCTGGCCAATGGATACTACCTTGCCACTGTAGGATCTGCTTGGAGATTACCTAGGTTGTATAGAGTGAGAGTTTGGTTTAGACTCCCAATATCTGCTTGGAGATTACATAGAATCAATGTACAACATGGCGGGGCTATAGAACATATACGCCTTGCAGAAAAAACGTCCTTGAGCAGAGGAACGCACCTCAAGGTCATAATTCTACAAGATGGCGGTAATGAGGAGACGTCAGACATTAATTCTGTCAGTCAAAGTGCGAAAACAAGGGCATTTTGGGTAACGCATTGAGTCAGTATATTATAGTCGGGTTGCCGTTTGAAAATAGGTACAAAACATAGAAAAAGGGTTAGGTTTACAAAAACACAGTTGTTTAATGTGTAAAATGAGCCATTCTTTGAATTTATGTACATATTTGATAAGCAGAATTGAACCGGAGAGGTATACAAAGGAAAATCTAGTCCACAGTAAAATATTTTTCTAGCTTCAAAAAACTCATTAATTTTCATAAGTTTTTGCCTATTATTTCACTTATATCCCACAGAAACTGAAATGATATGTTTTCCGCTTGTAAACTTATTTACAAAGTCATAATATGAAAAATTCTGTAAAAAGTTGAAAACCCTTTACGAGCCCAGTGATTTTGGCAATTCCCAAATCGCCCAAATCCGCGAGTGGGCTGGATCCTTACATTACAAGCACTGTCTGTATCGGCACTTCCGGTTTCCAACCGCCCGAAATTAGGGTGTTTTGGGGTTTTAAGTTTGATACTTGATCGACCTACAAATCTGAACTTTTCTAGAAAATTCTGAATGTTTTCAACAAGTTTTCAACGATTCTGTCGTACATTTTAAATGGTAAACAAACGCCACGGAAGAGAAAGGGCGTACTTGGAAGTTTTAGCCGATTTTTCCGGACTCTCACGGTTTCGCTGTTTGCAGAATGCATCATTTTTCAGACACCGAGAGGCGAAGCCGCGGCAACCGGATGTGGCTATGTTGACAAACTCAGCGCTACTACAACAGCTCGTATCGCTGAATTACAACAAATTTTGAGGCGTAATCGCCTAATTTCTATCACAAATAACTCAACATCATGACAAAAACTTCTCGTAACTGCTTGTGAGAAGGAGAAGGCGTAGTTTTGGGGGTGCTTTCGGCGGGCTTGGTCGCAAAAGTTGCCGGGCGGTTGTTGAAAGGGAGCCGGTGTTGATTTACGGGGAATTTCTGCGGCCGAATTTCTGCGCTCAGCGGTACATTTTTCGGTCATATTACAAGCATAGTTTGAAAGATTGTGATTTTCCTCAACTCTGTTCAAATCCGTGGGGCTAGGGTGGTTCATCCAGCCCGCTAGAATCCAACTGATGTGGCCAGGCCGGCCCGCGAATACGCCGAACCATTGGCCGGTCAGATTGCCGCTAGCAGGCCGAGTACGAACCGGCCTAGACCCCGGGCCTGGCCCTGGTACTGACTCGCACTTCCAGGGTTGCCTTCTCTGTTTTTCTGGCGAATTAAGCCACAGACATCGCCCAGTAACTTGTGGACTAATAAAACACTGAGGTGTCCCCCTCTCCTAGGCTTCAAGGTCGCGCCAACAGTCCAACGGTCTCAGACACGCCGCGCCGTATTAGACGTTGGCCGGTCAGATTGCCGCTAGCAGGCCGAGTACGAACCGGTCTTGCCCCCGGGCCTGGCCCTGGTACTGACTCGCACTTCCAGGGTTGCCTCCCTCTGTTCTGGCGGACTTTAGCCACTACCAGCGTCCCGTAAGTTGTGGACTAATAAAACACTGATGTGTGCCCCTCTCCTTGGCTTCTAGGCCGACTTTTCGTGTTTTGACGTTCAAGTGGGTTCAACTAGCAATGGTTCAAACGACTCAGAGTGGCCGCTTCAACACACACCGGGCAAGCCGATCGTAAGATTGCCGGAATTTCTTTGGTGATGAGAGTGGTGCACGCCCGCCAAGGCCTCTTGGGCAACCCGATAAACGTAAAATATATAATCATGGTTAATGCTCAATGATCTATTGAAAATTAACATTTCAAAAATATTATTTTATGGTAAAATGATATTTAGAATAAATATTAAGCTGTTTTTATCACGAAATTGCGATAGTTTGCAGGGACTACTTTGTGCCAGCGGTGTTGGACGGGTGTGTTGTTCGGCGCACGTGCGGGAAAGAACTATACGGTAATTACCCGATGATCAAACAAATTGACTAATCAGTGCACTGTATGTATTGGCTGCTGATTGACCAATAGGCATGTCCAATAGATTTTTAACCAAAGGTTGTGTTCAAATGTCTCTTCTGATTGGCTCAAGTTCTCTGGCACGCTTAGTCAATCCGCTCACATTGCGAAATGATACAACTATAACCGCAAAATATATAATCATGGTTAATACTCAATGATCTATTGAAAACTAACATTTCAAAAATGTTCTTTTATGACAAAATGATATTTAGAATAAATATTAAGCTGTTTTTATCACGAAATTGCGATAGTTTGTAGGGACTACTTTGTTTAGGCGGTGTTGGACAAGTGTGTTGTTCGGCGCACGTGCGGGAAAGAACTATACGGTAATTACCCGATGGTCAAACAAATTGACTAATCAGTGCACTGTATGTATTGGCTGCTGATTGACTGACCAATAGGCATGTCCAATAGATTTTTAACCAAAGGTTGTTTTCTAATGTCTCTTCTGATTGGCTCAAGTTCTTTGGCACGCTTGGTCAATTTGAAGCACTAATATCATTAGCTGCTAGGGGTCGCTCTTAAATAAACAATGTAAATTCGTATTGGCAATTTTACCACCGACAAGTACCATTGTAATCCGCCAGGCGGCATTTTTGACACGTGGCGAAAAATATGCGATTCCGTCTGATAATCGACTGCACGGATGGCAGCCATTGAATTGCTTTCTGGACCGTATTGTGATGTTTGTTGGAGCAAAGTGGAGAAAGTATGCAATACAGGTAACTTTTATGAATTGATTTGAGTTCTGAAGACTCTTCTCTTTCTAAATATCCAAGGTATCTTTGTCTGGCGTCAGTTAACTGCTAAAAATCCAAGGAGACGAGGCGAGCCTCGGTGTTGAGTTGACCTAGCCTTGGTATCCTTTTTTCACGGGCCGAATTAAATGTGTTTCACCGGCAATTGCTGTAAGAATATGTCTTTTCCTGGCAGCCTATCTTTCTAGTCGGCCTTCTACTCAATGCCGTGCTAAAATTATCGAAGCCGACCCCGTAAAAATGCCCCGACGTGCGTTAATGTGCCGGGCGGGCAGGTAACACTCCCAGCGCCGTAGAGATGCCAGGGAGCTCCCGTGGCATGATTACCAGGCTAAAACCAAGACGCCTCCTTTTAATACTTGATAATACAGACGCCAGACAACTGAATTAGTCAACATATTCTGTGCAAAGGGCCGACTTAAGAGGACGAATTCCATGAAATTCACGGCGGAAAAGTCACCGCGTTGGAGGAGCTATGTCCTCGGGACCAGCGGCAGATTCGCCCGCGCAAAGTCCCGTAGCGTCCCCCGCTCCGGTGGCTGTTGTACTTTGCTCGCAGTCTTAAACCAGGGAAATCGGGCTTAGTAATGTTTGCTACAATTAACCAATTCCTTTGAAGGAATATGGCTTTTCTGTAAACGCGTGTACTATAAACGCGGGTATTTTAACGCGTGTACTGTAAACGCGTGTACTATAAACGCGGGTATTTTAACGCGTGTACTGTAAACGCGTGTGTAAACGCGTGTACTGTAAACGCGTTTACTGTGAACGCGTGTAGTGTAAACGCGTGTACTGTAAACGCGTGTACTGTAAACGCGTGTACTATAAACGCGGGTATTTTATTTTAATTATTTTAATCTTTGAAGGAATAGGGCTTTTCTGGTAGCCTATATGTCCAACCGGCCTCTGAAACCAACCCCGTAAAAATGCCCCGACGTGCGTTAATGTCCCGGGCGGGAGGGGGGCACTCCCAGCGCCGTAGAGATGCTGGGAAGCTCCCGGTGGCATGATTACCAGGCTAAAACCAAGGCGCCTCCTTTTAATACTCGATAATATAGACGCCAGACAACTGAATTAGTCAAGACCAACATATTCTGTGCAAAGGGCCGACTTAAGAGGACGAATTCCATGAAATTCACGGCGGAAAAGTCACCGCGTTGGAGGAGCTATGTCCTCGGGACCAGCGGCAGATTCGCCCGCGCAAAGTCCCGTAGCGTCCCCCGCTCCGGTGGCTGTTGTACTTTGCTCGCAGTCTTAAACCAGGGAAATCGGGCTTAGTAATGTTTGCTACAATT